GCCACCACCAAATTTATTGTCAAAATTTGGAAAAAATGCTCCCGGTGGTGGTCCACCTCCACCGCCAACACAGCTTTTGCATAATGTAGTTGAGATACCTGAATATTTGAGGAAGAAGAAGGAAAAAATTGCTGAAATTCCAATGAGAAAAATTCCATGGAATGCAGCTATTGTAAGTTTCTTGATTTGATTTTGGGTCCTTTTCCCATTCCTCCAAAAAGTCCGCAAGTTATATCTGCATTTTTTTGATTTGTCCGCAGTTTGGTATTTCGGCGTAATCCGCCAGTTTTGTATTTCGGCACAAAATAAATAGTTTTACTTGCGGATAAAATTTGCGGACAACTGAAAAGTGCGGATTTTTCTTGCGGACTTTTGAAAAATTAAAGGATCGGATCCAGACTATTTTCAAAATTTTATTATTATTTTTTTAATTTAGATTAAGCCAACCAACTTAAATAAAGAATCTCTTTGGGCGCAAATTGATGAGGATGAAATTGCTACAGATGATGTTTTTGATTTTTTAAAGATGAAGTATTCTGCAACGAAGTATATTTTTTAAAATAAATCTTAGTCGATAAAATTATTTTTAAGTAAAAGTAGCACGACATTAGCAAATGATACAACCAAGAAACACTCAAAAATGAAGATTCCACTTATTATTCAAGATCAAAAACAGTTACAGACTTTGGGTATTTTTTTTTTTGAAATTTTGAGGAAAAATTTAAAAAAATTTTTTAAAGCAATTCTCCAAGGCTCATGTAAATTAAGCTTTAAAGAATGGTATAATGCTTTGATGGAATTGAATGAAACTGTGTTACATTCCGAACTTGTTGGACAATTAAGAAATGCTTTACCGTCAACAGACATTTTGAATAGATTAAAGGATTGTTCGGAGGCAGAAATGCAAAATATGCCTGAAGGAGAACAGGTTTTCTTTGATCTATAGAATTGGGACTTTTTCTTGTAAATAGCTAGGGCCCAGATTAAAACATTTTGTTGGAGTTACTGGTTTTTCTTGGAATCTATAGAGATTAAGCTTGAACTGGACCAACGCCGGGCTATTTTCTTGGACTAGAGCTGTCATTTTTTGACTTTTAGATCTTTCTTGAACTTTACGCCTAAATCGTTAAATCGAAAATTATTTCATACCCAGATTTTCTTCCCGTTCTCTGACAACCTACTAATAGAAAACGTCCTAAAAATTTTAAATTTTTTCCTTAATTTTCAGTTTATTGCAACTTTATCAAAAATCAAACATTTACCGATACGTTTGGAGGCAATACAGCTTTGGCTTTCATGGTCTGATCAATTTTCTGAACTCAAATGTGGAGTAACAACAATTGCGGAGGCGTGTGAGGTTTGGAAATATAAAAAAAATTTTTGAAAATTTTTAAAAATTTTAATAGGAAATAATAAAATCTCATGGTTTAAAGAATTTTATAAATCTTGTTTTACTTGCTGGAAATTTTATGGGAAGAGTAAAGAGTTCTGGTGCAACATTTGCTTTTGAATTAGGAGCATTAAATAAGGTTTATTTTTTATTTTTAAATTAAAATTGGGTCAAGCCTAACAAATAAGTGCTGAAATTTGTCTACCATTGGACAACTCCCAAACGGTTGAATTACCGAAAAGATCAACCCCAGAATGTCAAGATACTCAGAGGGTCAGCTTAAAATACTTGGGCTGATCATGAATCATTTGTTTTTTGGAATTAAGGGACATAAGATGGAAATTATCTCGCGAAACGTCGCATAAGGCAAAAGATGCAGTCAAACACTTTCTTGATTTTAAGTCCTCTTTTTCTCCCAAATTTTTGGAGTTGACCTTACGGGTGACGACTCTTGTGGGGGGTTTTCCCTCCTTTTGGGTGTACCTAATTAAAATTAATTTTTTTCTAGTTGGTAGATACAAAAGATTGTGAAAATTCTGAAACACTCTTGCATGGTCTAATATTTTTATTTCATAAAAAATTTGATGGAAAATTTGACAAATTTGTTGTTGATGATTTTCATCATGTTTCTAAAGCTTGTAAAATTGATTATTTGGATTTGGAAAAGTCTATGAATTTATTGAAGAATTCTGTTAAAAAGGTTTATTTTTTAATTTTATTGTTAAATGATGGAAGGGTTTTTATTTTTCGGGATAAATTGACGCCTAAAAATAAATTTCTTTTCGTTTCACCATCTCTGGGACAAAGTGTCATCTAAAAACTTAAAAATAAATTCCTCTTGTTTTTAACAATTTTTGGGACCAAATGTCATCTAAAATCTTTTTGGGACGAAGTGTCATCTAAATCCTAGAGAATGAATTTCTCCTGGTTTTTTTGCTAATTTTTGAACAAAATGCGTCTAAAAAATTTAATATTAATTTTTTTAAAGATTTCAACACATCTGGTAACTTACCAAAAACAAATTGCTAATGATTGTTTTCAGTCAAAAATAAGTATTTTTGTGGAAACGGCACAAAAGGATTTATTTGTTATTGATTCGGTTTTTTTATAACTTTTTTAATGTTTAAAAATTTTTTTCTAACTTTAAAGCTTTGGGAACATATGACATTAAAATGGAAATCACTTGTAACGTATTTATGTTTTGATCCGAAAAAATATCCAATGGAAAGACTTTTTGGCGATTTAAATAATTTTGTGTGTCAATATCAGGTTTATTTTTTATTAGTGAAAAAATATTTTGGGGGTTTCTATGGGTCATTTTATAAAGTCCGTAAGTTCTGTTCGCAACTCATGGGACGAGCCTTAATACCAAAACTCTAAAAGCTTGTAAGTCCTGGTTGTTAACACATTCCATTCCCTTTTAAGAATGCTTGGACACAAGTATCAAAATCTTTGTATAAAAAATCTGAAGGAGGACGTAAAGAAGCTAGTTCCAAAATTGATAAAAGAAGAAAACCTCTTCATCAAATTCAACCAGAAATGGCTAATGAAGTGGCTAAAAAAGCTAGGGAAAGAATGAAAAGTAATTTGAATCAAAGTATGGATGGTGGTGGAGGAGGTGTAATTGATAGAATTGAACAAATGCTTGTTGAAGGAAAATATAGGCCAGATTTACCTGAAGGAGCACAGAGGAGGTATAGAGTAAGAAGGAAAGGACAGCCAACAGTGCAGGTTTTTTGTTAATTTTTTTAATATTTTTGGGACGAGGGGGGGGGGAATTAAAAGGTTAAGGCTTTTTAGGCCCACTATTTTTTGTATTATATAAGGTAACTCATTTGGAGGACTTATGTCCTGAAAGCCTACCTTTCTGAAGGCTCTACCAGCTTTTTTTGTTAAGGTCACCCTTAAGTTTTGTGGCAGAATTTGTTATTTTGTATGAATTCCCTTGTGAGCTGGGTCTAACTAACTACATCTAAATAAGTCAGTCTTGATGAATTCATAACACAATTCCGACTAACCTCGGGAACTTTCATTAAGTGTGTATTTTTTTAATTTTATTTTCTTTCGCGGAAGGGGAACTTTGGCTCATCACTACAAAAAATAGTGAACCAGTTATTTTCATTTTTAAAAATTAATTTTCTATAATCAAATAATTTTTTTAATTTTAAAGAAAAATTTGGATCCTCCTCCTCCAAATAAACCATTGGAGCAACAACAACAACCTACTAATAATAATAAACCCTTGGATCCACCATCAAAATCTTTGGATCAACACAAATCTTTGCCGCATACACCAAAATCTCCATATGTGGCAGATGCAGTAAAAGCTCCAAGTGCTGTTGAATTATTACAACGACTTAGAGGATTAGATCCGTGACAGATTAAAAAGGCATTTTAATTTTCTTATATACCAAAAAGTAAGAAAAAAATTATTATTATTCCCGATGATATACACAAAAATGTAAATAAAATATATTTTTAAGGGATTGGACAAGGAAATACTAAATAACCCAAAATTGTTCCGAAAACCACTGATTTTTGATGAGTCACTTTTCTCTTTTCTTGGGAGTTAGTCTAGGGTATTCCAAGGCTGTTTTTACTTCATTTAAAAAAATTTTTTGATTTAAGGACTATCCTAGCATCGATTCGTTCGAGTTGGAATTATTTTCGAGATGGTCTAGCATGGTCATTGACCCCCCATCATTGACCCCCATGGGTTTTCTCTAGCTTGGTCATTGACCCCCATGGATTTGACCCTAACATGGTCATTGACCACCGTGGATTTGCCCCCCCCCCCCCATGGATTTATTCCACAAAACGTTATTTCGCCAAATAACTTTTTGGGTTTCAATCGCATGCTCTGGGATAGGTCCCTGATCTAATTTTTAAAAATTCTAGTCCAATCCCTTAAATATATTTATTATTCTTTACATTCCTCTCATTTATTGAATATTAATTACCAATTATAAGTATTATTCACTTGCTCGCGCTAATTTTTGCCTTTTATTATTATTTTATTTTAGCTCTTTCCTCAACACTTTATGGTTTTTTTGTGATTATGTTTTTTTCTTTCATTTATTTCACTTAATTTTCAAACAAAAAAAATAATTTTAGACTCTTGATTGTTCTTTCTGCCTTTAAAAATTTTTTTTTCATTTTTCGGCTGTGCCTAGAAAAAAAATAAAAAATTTGGCCTTAAATAAAAATTTTTAAATTTTTTTTGTTTTAATCAAAAAAATATTTTTCTATCTGAATTAATTATTTTGATAATACTTTGGTTTATGTCCCCCTTTTTTCCTTTTTATTTTTTCTGACCATTTTGAGTCTTTTTCTAGACAATTTACATATCATTCAAAGGAGCTCTTCGAGCTGACATGAGTCGAATGTGGCACCAAGATTAGTTAGTTTTGATGATTCTGAACCAAATTAGGAAGCTGAATCTTTGACTCGACTCGAAGAGCTCTTTCGAATGAAATAAAAATTTCTCAATATAAAGGGAAAAAATATGAAGGAAAAAATTTGGAAGGAAAAAAAGGGGGGACATAACCCAAAGTATCACTATGATTTTTAAAGACTTTTAGATTAAAGAAAAATTTTTTTTGATTAAAAAATGAGTTATTATGGAAATGATATTTATCGATGGTCATCGAGGAAGGCAGAAGATGAGGAAAAGGAAAAGAAGGTTTTTTTAATTTTAATGAATTTAAACAAAAAATTTTTTTTATTAAGTATAATGAATTAATGCAACGACAAAAGGAAGGAAAAGCTTCGGACACTGCTGTTGAAAACGAGTATGGGTTTTATCTTTAAAGTTTTTGTATAAATTGAATCCAATTGTGAGCATTGGGGCCTTTTCTAAAAATAAAAATTCTGGGGCCAGGGCCAGAATTTGTTTGTTTTTGGGCTTCCCGGTAATTTTTGTTAACCTGGGTCAGTGGATTGATTCCAACACAAATTAAAATTTCAAAATTTTAATTTGAATCAGTCTGCCTTTTCTAAAAATAAAAATTCTCGTTAAACTATTGCGTATATTCCAGGAATCTTGTTGTTCCGATTCCCTAAAGTCGTTTTTTTGTTCGGGAATCTTAATTTCACGAAATTGCGAATTTAGTTTTTCTGATTCATTTTTTCACAAAATTTCTAAAAATCTCGAATTTTCGTTAAAAAGAATTTTAATTTGGATTCAATTTAAATTTTTTTTATTTTTAAAATAACCTAAAAGATTTGCAGTTATTTTGAAGGGGACGATTCTGATGAAGATAATAATAATGTTGATGATGAAGAGGAAAAATCTGATGACACAAAAATACAAAAGAATAATAAGAAAAATGGAGTTGAAAAAGAAAAGGAAGAGGATGAAGATGATGATGAATTAGATGCATTTATGGCAGAAATAAATAAACAGGCACAAACAGAAATACATGAAAGTAGACAAAAGGTTTGAATTTAATATGAGTGTGGATGGTGTGGTAGGGAAGGGGGTTGAGGGGTGTAAGGTTCGAGTCCGTTTGTTGAAATTAATTTTTATTTTATTCTGAATTTATTCTGAAAAATGATTTTTTAGATTTTTAAAAATTGTCTTTGACTTTTGAAAATTTTAAGGCTCTTTTTCTTGATTTTCTAACAATTTTTTTAACATCTTTAATATTTTTCTAGGAAGAACATGTAATAAATACAGGTGACTTTACAGGAGGACAGGAAGGAAGAGATGATATTGAACAAGAAGATATGCAAGAAAGCATGATTAAGTATTTTTTAAAATTTTTTTAATTTTTAAAATTTTTATTTTAAAGATTTATGGAAGAATATAAAGAAAGACATGCAAGTGATGACGAGGATGAAAATGTTGTTGAATACGATGAAGAAGGAAATGTTTGTTTGACAATTTTTGAAGATTTTTAAAATTGTTTTTTGAAGGTTATATGGACATGGAAGAAGGAAATTGACCCTCTGCCACCTATTGACCATTCGGAAATTGAGTGAGACAAAAATTTTTTTAATAAAAAAATTTTTTTTGGTAGGCTGAAGGGGGTGTATTAGTAGAGGAAAGCGATATTTTTCTTTGAAAAGGATTGGAAAAAAATTTTTTAGAGAAAAATTTGATTAGTCTATCTTGATGGGAATTGACTGAAAAATATTGTCGCAAATTTAAAAAAATTTTAGGTGAAATTTAGAGAGATTTTTCTAACAAAATATAGGGTAGGATGCGAGAAAAGAATAAGGATTTCTACCAAATAAAAATTTTTTTGGTAAAAATGGAATATTTGCAGACGATTTTTGGATGGTTTTTCTTGTTGGGGCGTTTTGCTCCGCTCGAGAAAAAATTTTTTTTTAACTTATAGAAAATTTTGTGAATAAGAAAAAAAAATTTTTTTTTAATTTTCAGGTATAAACCTTTTGAAAAGAATTTTTATTCTGAACATCCAGACATTGCAGATTTGACATTACAACAAGCATTTGAATTGAGGATTACTTTGGATGTATATTTTTAATTTTTTTTTAAAGTTAAAAAAATTTTTTTCAGATTCGTGTTTATGGACAAAATATCCCAAAACCAGTTGTTAGTTTTGGACATTTCCAATTTGACAAACCTATAATGAATTTAATTGTTAAAAATGAATTTGAAAAGCCAACGCCTATACAAGCACAGGTTTTTTTGATTGAAGAAAATTTTTTGGAAATTTTGAAAAATTTTTAGAAATTATTTTTCGGAATTTTTAAGAGTTTAAAAAAATTTTTTTGGAAATTTCTGAAAAATTTTAGAAATTTTTTTAAATTTTTATTTTACTTTTTTGAACAAGTTTTTCAAGTCAAAATTGTTTGAAAAAAATTTTTGAAAATTTTTTTTGGAAAATTTTTGAGTTTAAAAGAATTCTCAAAAAATATTTGTTTCAAGGCAGTTCCAGCAGCTTTATCAGGCAGGGATGTTTTGGGATTAGCAAAAACTGGAAGTGGAAAAACTTTGGCTTATATTTGGCCTACAATTGTGCATATAATGAATCAAGAAGAATTAGCACCGGGAGAGGGACCGATTGCTTTAATTGTTGTTCCGACAAGAGAATTGGCTATTCAGGTTTGTGAAAATTTTCTGAAAATTTTTTTTGAAGAAATTTTTGGAAAATTTTGAAAATTTAAAAATAAAAATTTTTTTGTCAAGCCTTCTAAATTTCAGGCTTAAAACCTTCTCCGGCCTTCTAAAAATTTTTTCAAAAATTTTTCAAAAAATTTCCTTTTTAAAGGTTTACAACGAAGCAAAGCGTTATACTTCCCTTTACAACATTGCACTAGTTTGTGCTTATGGTGGTGGATCCAAATATGAGCAGAAAAAAGCTTTGGAAAATGGGGCTGAATTAGTTATTGGAACACCTGTAGGGTTTTCTTGTTGGAAATTTTTGACAATTTTTTAAAATTTTACAGGGAAGAATAATTGATTTGGTTAAAATTGAAGCAACAAACTTTTTAAGAACAACATTTCTTGTGCTTGACGAGGTTTGTTTTTTCTTTAAATATTATTTTGAGGTTCTTCCCCTTCCTCTAAAAAGTTCCGCCCTATGGGTGAGTGGGGAATTGGATTAAAACATCGATTTTGTCGATCCTAGGGATGGAGATTAACGAGTAAAACACGGTTAGCTCATGTGTATTTTTTTAGGTTTGATTCAGAATTGTCAGAGCTGCTCCTCTTCCTCTTGGAGACAGCACCACATCTGGATAGGGGGACTTGAATAGAAAAAATCGTTTTTATCTACCTTAGAGACGTTAATGAGCTCTTACCTTTGCTCGTTCTTTATTTTAAACACCAATTACCTAAAATCTTCTAAATTCAATTTTTTATCTTTTAGGTTGATAGAATGTTCGATTTGGGATTTGGTTTGTTCAAATAATTTTTCTAAAAATTTCAAAAAAATTTTTCTTTTAAAGAAGCCCAAGTAAAATCAATATCAGATCATATCCGGCCAGATAAACAATGTTTAGTCTTCAGTGCAACATGTAAACCAAAAATTGAAAAATTAATAATGCACGTCTTATATAATCCAATAAAAATTTTGTGTGGGGATATTGGTGAAAATACTTGTGTTCAACAACAAATAATTGTTTTGTATAATCAAGAAATGAAATATGAATGGCTTTTTAGAAATATTGTTAATTTTATTACAAGTTTGGAATTTTTAACAATTTTTTTTTAAATTTTTTAAAAATTTTTTTTCAGTGGGAAAAGTACTCATTTTTGTGACTAAGAAAGCTGATGCTGAAGATGTTTCAAAGAAATTGGCTTTGAGAGATTTGGAAACGGTTTTACTGCATGGGGATATGCATCAACAGGTTTTTAAAAATTTAAATTTTTTAATTGACTCGAAATGGTCAGACCCCAAAATTTCCGAAAAAATTTTCATTTTTAAAAGAGAATCTCAGGAAAAATTTTCAAGAGACGCATTATTGAATTAGGGCCTTTTATTTTTAATTTAAAATTGACTCAAAATGGTCAGACCCCAAAATTTCCGAAAATTTAAAAAAGGTTTTTTAAAAATTTACAACGGACGCATGGCTGGACTAGGCCTTTTTATTTTTATTAAAAAAATTTTTTTCAGGAAAGAAATGAAAGAATAACCTCGTTCCGAACAAATAAATCTGTTTTGGTTGCAACAGATGTAGCAGGTTTTTAAGGAAAATTAAAATTATTTTATAATTTTTTCCAATAAATTTAAAGCAAGAGGATTGGATATCCCAGAAATTAGAAATGTAATTAATTTTGATGTTGCTAGAGATATTGATACACATATTCATCGTATTGGAAGGACTGGAAGAGCTGGTAAGTTGAAGGGAAATGGGCAAGGGGAGAGAGGAAAAATGTGGTTAAATATTTTTAATAAAATTTTCAACAGAACGCCAAGAAATATAAAAAAATTATTTTGCCTCTATAGAGGATTTTAGTTAAATTAAAAATAATTTTTTATGGTTGGGGCTCGAACCTCCACCTTTTATACCGGAAAAACTAAGGGTTTATCCACTACACCAAATGAGTCGTTGGGCTTTGGAAGGCCACATCTTGGCCAGATCAAAAAACAGGCAAAAACGGCTAAAAATCCTTGCTAGAAAGGACACATTCTCTATCGAATGAGCCCGGTCTGACCGTTTTTAGCTCGGACACCTCGCAAACTCTCCTTGTAAAAATGACTCCTCTAATTTTACCAACAAGAAAAAATCCTCCGTTTTGCCAATAATTTTATTGGAAAAAGGATTTTTAGCCTTATTGACAAAATATGGGTTTAGCAAAATGTGTGGGCACGGAAAAAGATTTCTAATTAATTTATTTTAAATAATTTTTAAAATTCATTTTAAAGGTCATCAAGGCTCTGCATATACTTTGGTGTTAGAAAAAGATTCAGAATTTTGTGCTCATTTAATTGAAAATTTAAAATCATCAGATCAAGAAAAATTAATTTATAATGAACTTGAACAAATTGCATTAAAATGCCCTTGGTATGCAAAAAGACAAGAAAAAGAAAAAAATTTGAGTGGAGGAAAAGTGACAGATGCAGCAGGAAATTATATTGGAATAAATCAATTTAAACCTAAAGAAAGGCCTGGATTTGGATTAAAAAAGGCTCCTACAACAAGTGGTGGTTTTGGTTTAGAAGGGGGATCGTCTGGAGGAGGAGGTGGAAGTTCTTCAATTTTACAGAATCAACCAAGGTTTTTACTTTAATTTTTTGAGAGGGGGGTTTTTTCGGAATTTTTGAACATATTAAAGGGCGGAATTTGGGGGTTTTTCTAGTTTTTTGAGGGATAGATTTTGACATGTTTCGAGGTTTTTGAATATTTGAAGAGTGGAATTTGGCTAGGGTTTTTTATTTTTCGAGGGATTTTTGAGGGGTTCTGTGTAACTTTAAAAGCTTATGAATATTGAATTTTAAAAAATTAAATATATTTTTTCCTAAAATTATTCTTTTTAGCATAACAAAACAAATAGCGAGAGCAAAAACTTTAGTGGGAAGTGGAGGAGCTGCAGGAATGAATAAAATTGATATAATGAGATCTGCACTTAAAGTATAAGAGTTTTTAATTTTTTAAATTGAGTTAATGTGTATATAGCAGGGCTCTCATCGACAAAATGCCACTCAAAAGTATCAAAATCTTGATAAAAAAGTATATAGGGAGAAAATTTCCAAATTTAAAGTATACTCAAAATTAAATTGGAAAATATTTGTTCGTGCTCAAATCTTTTATATTTCTCTCTTAAATGAATCTTTTCTAATAATTTCTTGCTTCCATTGGGCATTTTGTGCATTTCAACGCATGACATGTCAAAATTCGCTGATACAAGAAATAAAGCCCTGACAGTCTTAACCTCAAGCTTTCGTCCATTTTCAGCGCCGCAGGCGAAAATTTTTTGAAATTTGGAGCCCAAGAAGCCAGATTTCTTTCTTTTTCAGCGCCGCAGGCGAAAATTTTGATAATTTCGAAGGCCCAAGGCTAAAAAAATTCACTTTTTTGCCCAATCCCTTCCCCAATTTCATTTTCAATCCAAAATGTTGATTTTAAAGTATATACTTTCAATAAAGTATAAATTCAATTTCTTAAGTATGGAGGTCGGTTTCAAAGTATAATACTTTCAAATAAAGCACGAATGAGAGCCCTGGTATATAGTAAGGATGTCACGGGTTAGAAAAAAGTTGGGTCGGTTTTTAAATTTATTGAGTCAGTTTCGGGTCGGAAAAAAGTCGGGTTCAGATCGGAGCACCCGGGGAGGATTAGGAGGGAAAAAAGTCTGGTCAAGTTTCGGATTTTAGAAAAAGGGTCGGGTTTCGGCTCGTAAGTCTGTGTTTCGAGTTTCTGATAATCTGTGGCATCCCCGTGAACCCCTTAAAATAAAAGAAATGTTTTTTCTAGGGAACATTTAAACATTCATTTCAACCATCATCTACCGATGAATTTCATTCACGTCTTGGAGCAAGTGATCCTAGACCAGAATGGAAAATTAAATTGGAAGAACAAGCAGAAAGAATAAATAGAGAAATAAAAGAAAAACAGGAGGAAGAAGAAAAAGCTAAAAATGAAGAAGGAAAAGGAGAGGAAGGAAAAAACCTTCCACAAAAGAAGAAAAGTCGATGGGATAGATAAAGAGGAAATTTTTTTTGGTATTTTTAAAAATATTTTTGGTCAATTTTAAACAATTTAAAAGAAGAATGTGGTAGAAGGTATTGAGGGGGAGGAAGACAAATTTCATTTAGAGATTGGTTGGGGATCCAGACCGCGTGATCTTTCCTGGATCTAGAGTCAACATCAAAGACTTTTTTTCAGTGTTCCTTGATCTTTTCTCGACTCAAGAACAAGAATCTGGACAAGATCTTTGACCAAAATCAAGAATCAAGGGTCTTAAAAATTTCCTATTTCTAAACCAGAAAATATGGAAGGAACTGGGATAAAGGTATTGAGGAGAAACCCAAACTTTACCAGAAAGAAAGCAAAAAAGAAATTCTTTAAAATTCGTACCTTATTAAAAAACAAACTTAACAACAACAAAAATGTAAAAACTACTTTTTAAATACTTCCCCAAAAGCCTAATTCTGTTGTTGTTGTTGCACAAATTGTTGGTCATCAATACTATCCAAGTCATGTTTGGGTTCATCTCCAGTAGCTGCAAACATTTTTCTTCTGAAAAAATAAGAGGGAAATTAAGGGGAAAATGAAAAAAAGAAAACTTACGCTCTTTCCAAATCCTCCGGATAAAAAATTTTTCTTACAGGCTCATCAATTTTAGGCCTTCTAATATTAAATATAGGTTCTTCAAATGGTGGATGTGCAGAATATGCATCAAACCAAAGTGGTCGATCTTCCCATTTTTGATTTCCAGAAGTTATAACGCCTAGGACTCTTTAGGAAATAAAAGGGGAATTTTTAATTTTAAAATTAAAAAGAAACCTTCCATAAATAGAACCAGCACGATGAGATCGCATTAATATTGTAAATTTTGATGACATTTTTTCGGTTGTTTGTTTGGCTGCAAAGTTGATACTTTTAAAAGAGAGATGTTTCTAAAATAAAAAAAGGATATTAGATCTGATAATCAAGAATTCGATAGCGAAATTTTCGACAAAAATCGACCGTAGAATTCGATGCGATTTTGCTGCGCTTATGGGTGAATTGTGTTATTTTTCCCTTCTTACCATTTTCAAAATTTACCAATTTGACATTATAGGAAAGTATGCGAAATGTAATTTATTTAAGTGAAAATTTCATTTTGTCAACAACTGTAGTGATTTTTGATTGACCAATTTTTCTTTAGTTAACTAGAAAATTGGTAAACTTTAGTTTTTGTTTTCTGATTTTGAGAGGGAATTTTTTATAATTATTTTTTCATTAGTTCATGCACGTTTATTTTAGTGTTAAGGCAAATAATTTTTAATATCACAAATCTTTCTGTAAAATCTACGATGGAATTTCTTGAGGATGAAGATACGAAGGCATTTTTTGCGAAGCTTGAAGAAAGTCCTGAAAAGGTTAATTAAATTTTGAGAAAATTTCATTCAAATAGTTTTTTATAGGAGGAAATTGATAATTCCTTAAATGATGATAATTTATCAAATGATACTGCCGAATTTTTTGATCAATTGGAGTTGGTTGAACATGATAACAAAAATGTTGAAGAAGGTGAAGGTTAGAAAGTTAAAGTTAAATTTGGGCCCCTCGTCTATTTAAGAATAAGGAAATAGAGGGGGAAGATGGGCGTTTCCCCAGAGGCACTGAAAGTTGGGTTACTGGATCGATCGACCGCTAGATCGACACAGACGGAGATGAAGCTTATTGTTAGTTGAAATGACGTTCAACTAGCTAAGTGACTCACAGTCTTGGAGGACGACTGAAGTGATTTTCCCTATCTGCCTTGGGGTTGTAAATGTCTTCTCTATAGGCAGGGTTCTAAAGGAATACACCTTTCAACTTTATAACGCCTATTATTATTTCATTTTTAGATTCTAACATTAACGAAGATGTTGGTCAGGAAGTTAACTTGGAGGTTAATGAAGAAGTTATCAAAAATGTTAGTCTTCATTACGAAGATGTAACTCAAGAAGTTGATGAATATATTAGTGAAGAAGTTAATCAAAATATTAGTCTTCCTTATGAAAATGTTTGTGAAAAACGTGACGAAAATGTTAGTCAGGAAATTAATCAAGATGTTAGTGAAGAAAAAGATGGATGTGAACAAGTTACGGAGGTTATTAGCGACGAAAAATTTGATGACTTTTTGCGTGATGAGACAGATGTGCTTTTAAATGAATTTATGGCTAAATGGCGAAAATTACAGGATAAAAAGAGGTTTGTGTTTTTGACTTTCTGTTTGAGTAGTCTTGGACATTTTAAAATAATTAGTGAGCTGGTTGAGATAGGAGGCCAGTTCATTTCATTCTGGCTTATCAGTTCAGTCCCGACCCTATAACTAGTAAAGGGATGGTCACTTCTTCATTTTCTTGGTACCCTTGGATAGAGAATTAAACACTCTATAACATACCAAAAAATCAAAATTTTCTTGTTTTCGGACCGAAACTTTTCCAAGAAGTCTATTAGATCAGGGTGGCCTTTTTACCTCACTTGGGAGGCATTTGCCATCCTCTTTTCCCCACTTTTTTTCTTAGTTGCCACCTTTTTGTGAAGCCATGCCCCCTTTTTAGTGATTTGATAAGGGTCACGCTGCACTAGAAATAATTTTTGAACATAACAGTGTTTTATTTTTAAATTTTCTTTAAAAGTATTCCATATTCAAGTTGATTCTATTCAAAATTTTTTAGGGAATTCTTTAAAATGGAACTCAAAAAAATGGAATTGGACAATGCTTTATCTGGCCGAGTGAAAAAAGTTGGTTACAAATGGAACGAATATGAAAATGGGAGCACGAACGAATTACGCAATGCCTTGAAAGAATTAAGAATCTCAAAAAATTAAATATAATCGTATAAAGTAATGCCTTAGTTGTCGCCCTTTGCTTTTTCCTGCCCATTTTCATGTTATCTAATTGCCTTAAAAACAGAAGAAATTTTTCTTAATAGAAAGGAAAAAAGGGGGGACCGCCAAGTATGACATTTTGTAAATCATTTTGCCTGTCTCGTATTTTTTCTCATGCCTATTTTTTGAAAATCGATTTAATTCGGATATTTTTTTCTATAAATTATTGATTTCTTTTTTGTTTATCTTTTTTTGATTGTTTTGATTCAACATATATTTTTTTCCTTTAAAATCAGGTTTGTTGTCGAACACCGACTAATCGAGGTTCTTTGGTTAATTACGGATATCCTATGTTTTTTCCAGTAGTCGACAACATACCCTTTGCTTTTTTACCTTACACGTTACTAAATAATAATGAATGTTTTTTTTTGTTTATTTTAAAGTTGACCAAAAAAGGAAATGGATTCACATCCATCTAATGCTGAGGAAGCCGAAGAAAACTTTCAAGATAAGAAATCAGACGCTGTATCAAACTTTTCGCCTCGTGGTGCAACACCGACAGTTTTAACTTTGTTTAGTGAAGCTTTAAATGAAAATAATTTTGACGAAAATGAAGAAAAGATTTTTGAAAAACATTTGGAATTTGTGAGTTATTTTTGAAGTTTTATTTTATGAAACTTATAAATGTCCGCAAGTTTTGTCCGCAAATTGTGGTTTATGGTTGTTGGTTCGAACCCGCTCGGGATAATTTTTTTCGCTTTTTTAAAAAGATTAAAGTAGGGGGCTTTTGGAATCTGATATTTTGACCCTTTACAATTAGTATACGGCATTATATCGGGCTAGTAGGGACTCTTAATTGATGCCACATTTTCAACTCTGTTTTTCAGTTGGTTGGCGGGCCATTTGACTTTGAATTGAGAAATGTTCGTCAAAATCGTGTTAATGTTAAATTAATGTTAGAATTGACTGATTTATGTCCTCCAAAAATTCAGGTTAATTCGATAAAAATTTTTGCTGCTTTAAGAATTGTTTTTATTTAAAGGTTTGGAGTACTTTTGTTGGAATTGTCAAAAAAAATGTGCAAACTTGGACAGAAGAGGTTTCAGATTTTATTTTTTATATTTGCGAAAATTTTTTGCATGGGAGGGGTGGGAATAGGGAAACCGAAAAATGTGTTAGCATCGAAATTGAGGACGCGGGAGACACATTTTATTGTCAATTTTTGGAGAACCAAGAAATAGATATTTGGACGATTCTTTTCTTATCGAAACAGAGGAGTGGGAATTTTTCGTCGAATTCTCTATTATTTTCTATAAGGGAAATTTTTTTATTAAAAAATTATTTTTTTTTCAGGATGACCAGCTTTACAATGTTTTAATTCAAACTACACAACAAATTTTTGATCATCCTGCAATTTTGGTTTTTTTTTTTTAATTTTTAAATTAGAAATTTTTTTAATTTTCAAAGGTTCCAGCATTTGAGTTAAAGAAAGTCGTTTTATTATTTTTGATTTAATTGGTTCACCTAATGAATTGATAAAGATACCAGCTTTGAAAATGTTTGGATATTATTTATTCAGAGCTAAACAAAAGTTTGTTTGATATTTTTATTTTTTTTGGTTCACTCTCAAAGTTCTACCTATCCATCATAATTCCTTTTATCATAGCAATACCAAAATAAGACAAATTAGTAGTTTCAAAGGGCGGTAAATCACAATCCTGGGATCCCTAACTTAATTTTTTCAACATATCGTTCGAAACGCGATCCATCGGATTAATCCCGTTAATTTTGTGTGGCGCTTAAAACCTGGATTCCGCTTCGAGATCCCATAAAATCCTGTAAGCTCTCCCGTGCCAGTCTCTAATATTTATGGACTAACAATGAGAAATTTTTTGGGTTTTACTCAGAAATGCGTACCAAAGCTGGGACGGCTCGATGTTTGCGGGGTTGTAATTTTACTCATTTTTTATATCTGGAAATATTAAAAAAAGTATATATTAAATTGATATATAAGAAAAAGAAATATCAACCCGCAAACACGGAATTGTTGGCTCCTCCCATCCATGATACTTGCCCTTATTTTTTTTTAATTTTTGATTTTTTTCCAGACTTAAAAACCTGGCAATAAGTCAAAGAAGTTTATTTTACTTATTAACTGATAAATTAATGCTCAATTGCCATTCTCTTTCATTAGCAACTTACAACGCTTTATTTGAAATTTTGGTAGAATTATTTTGTCCAGAAATTTATTCTGTAAGACGTGAAGATTTGCCAATAGAAAATACAAGATTTGAAAATCCTCAAATTTTAAAAGTTGTTGCACAATTGCTAATTCAAAGTGAAGAATCGAGTGAAACATTGAGAGTCAAAAAAATTTTTCTTCAAGATTTGAAAAGACATTGCAAAGCTTGTAGTGAGAATAAAAGGTTTTTTAATTAAAATTATTTTATTAATATTGATAAGTTTATATCACAGGTCACAGGGTTTCGGTTCGAAAAAAAGACTCTTTGAAAATGTCATTACAGCTGTCTCGTATTTTTAGATACCCCCTTGAAAATGAAAATTTGTACCTTATGCCGAGGGCTTGAGCTAACCAATTGGCAACCTAATTTTGCCAGTTTAATTTGAGGGGTGCCTAGCAAATTTGGCTCGTATTATGAAAAAAGTCCGGGCGGGTATTCATAAGTTTTTTTTTCAAATCGGGTTTTATGTCGAAAAAGTCCGGATTTAGAGTAATTCGAATTATCTTTGGTGCATAGATTGTGTGATTTCAAAAATGCTGTGTCTAAAGATTTTATTTTTTATAGAATAATACTTCAAATGAGTGTTTGGCAAGAATGGCTAATTTCTCTATCTTATATTTACCCAGAAAATGAAGAACAAAAGAATGTTTCTGAACTTGTTTTTCAACTTTTCTCAATTCTTTCATTTCATGCTATTCGTTTTAAAAAGGATGGTTGGAGAGTTTGGGTATTTTTTTAAATTTTTCATAAATTTTTTCTGTCAATAAAGGTTGGGGATTTTTCTTGAAATTCTTTAAATTTGGTTTTTTATTGTAATTTAAAAAATCCGCAAGTTTTGTCCGCAAAAATTTTTCGAAAAATTTTTGAAATATTTTTGTTTCAACCTTTTAAGCCTGAAACAATAAGCAATAAATTTCATTTTCTTTTCAAAAAAGGTTGATACAATGGCAATAGCTCATTCAAAAGTTTCATGGCAAAAATATCGAAAGACTCAAAAACAAGAAGAAGATGCTAGAAAAAAATTGGGAGAAAATTTAACTAAAAATGATCAATCGTCTTCTTCTGGTGGAGGAGTATCATCACTTTATAGAACCCAAGATTTTGTTTGGTCACAAGTACAAATTCAATTTTTAAATGATTTGTTGATGTCAATACGAGCTGTGGTACAGGAATGGAAAGAGTATTTTTTGAAATTTTTTTTTCTAAAATTTTTTTAATTTTTAAGTTCGCCAAGTCCAATTGCTGATTATTTAAATAATTCGGATAATCAAGTAAATTTTTTTTAAACTTTTTTTTTAATAAGATTAGGATTTTTACACTTTAACTTTGTTAGGGAAGGGGTGAGCGATTAAAGTGAGCAATTAAAAAAATTTTTTTTCTTTCAGTGAAAATTTTATTTTTTGCTTTTTAAACTCATTAGGGTTTAACCATCAATGGAAAAAAAATTTTTTTTTCATTTAAATTTTTTTTTTGATTTTAAAAAGTATGGTATAAGAACTTAAGTTAACTCTTTTCGGATTAATTACCTAATTTATTAAAAAAAATATTTTTTCAGTTGTTCATTACCAATACTGTCCTTTTAAATCAAATCAACCAAAAAACTATATTATGTGGAGATTTTAACATTAGACACATAAACTGGTATTCTAACGAAATAATTGACAATTATGACAAGATCGCGAATATTTTCATAGAGTTTATAGGTCAGAATCAATTAAAACAACTTGTTACTGAACCAACTAGGGAAAATTCAATCCTGGACCTAGTACTTACATCTGATTCCGGTATTGTTAGAACTATTAAAGTTAGGGAGAATTTTTCAACTTCCGATCACAAAATGATAGAGTTTGAGCTTAATTATCGTGTTAAAGTAATTAGGAAGCCCAAGAGTTACGTAAGAGATTTTAGTAAATCCAATTTTATTAATCTAAATCAAGTCATATTTCGAAATAATTTAGATCTAGGTATATCAACGAAATTCACAGTGGAAGATAAATACATTTATTTAACAAAAGAACTTCTATGTCTTTATAACAAATATATACCAATGAGAGCACTAAATAAGATAATAAGAAAAGCATACCCTCAAAGAATTAAGGAATTACACAAAGAAAAGCTTATATTATTTAGGTTACTTAAAGAAAGAATATATGATAACAATTTAAGAGTTAAGTATAAAATCGTCTCAAGAAACCTAAAAAAGCAATTAAAAATTCATCATAACACAAATGAAGAAAAAATAATCAATAAAGGTGGAAATTCGATACATAAGTATATTAGAAACAGACTTACGCAAGATAATAATATTCCCTGTCTAATTGATAAAGAAAACAAATTTTACTTCAGCGATGAAGAAAAATGTAATATTTTGGGAAAAGGGTTTCAAAAGAATTTTCAAAAAAGAAGCATTAATCTCTCAGATAGCGATGGAAATATAATTCCAGAATCAAAGTTTACAGACATAGATTTAAGTACTAGTATTGTGTGGGATACCCTCAGATCACTTCCTAGTAAAAATTCTACTTCTCCAGACAATATACCTTATATATTACTTAAATATTGCGCTGACTCACTTGCAAAAATAATCACAGATACCTTTAGAATTATTATTGATAATGGGCAAATTCCATCAATTTGGAAATCGTCACTTATTATACCTCTATATAAAAAAGGGGAAAAATCAGATCCAAACAATTATCGTCCAATATCGTTAACATGCACCCTGTGTAGGATTTTAGAAAGAATTATCGCAAAACAATTAGTAAAATACTTAGAAGATAATAAGTTCTTTAATCAAAATCAGTTTGGGTTTCTTAAATCAAGATCCACAACAACACAGTTATTATCCACAATGAATGATCTATATAATGCAATACAAGATGGATATAGTATAGATATCATATACATTGACTTTGCTAAGGCATTTGACACTGTACCGATAAATATTCTTCTAGATAAGATAGTAAAAGCAGGCATTAGTGGAAAAGTCTATACATTTCTTAAAAATTTTCTATCTGATAGAAATTTCAAGATTAAGATTGGTGACCAAATATCTTGCGAATATGAAACATTCTCAGGTGTACCTCAAGGTAGTGTCTTAGGACCTCTTCTATTTCTTATTTTTATAAATGATCTTCCGAATCAAATCCCTGAAAACATTGGAATAAAATTATATGCAGACGACGTAAAACTATATGTAGCTCATAGAAATGGCATAGAAAGGGATAAACTTAATAAAGCTTTATGGAAACTTGAAAAATGGACAGAGTTAAATGGTTTAGAAATATCTCCTCATAAGTGCTTTGCCTTATATCTAGGGAAAAATAACCTGAAAAGAGAGTATAACATTCATGGATTAAAAATACAAGAAACAGAATGCATTCGCGATCTTGGAGTTTTAATTGATTCTAAAATATCTTTTAATAACCATATAAATATGGTTATAAAAAATGCATATCTAAAAAGTTTCCAAATAACAAGAATCATTAAGTCTAGAGACTTAAATCTTCTTGTTAATATTTATAAAACTTATATAAGACCCCAGCTAGAATATGCAACTGAAGTGTGGAATCCACACATGAAATATCAAATAGATAAAATCGAAAGAATTCAAAAACTATTCACTAAGAATATTTACAAAAAATGTGGATTAATCAAGGTCCCATATGAAGAAAGATTAAATACTTGCAAACTTGAAAAGTTAATAGATAGAAGAAAGATTGCCGATCTTTCCACTGCTTTTAAAATTATAAAAGGGTTTACATCTCTTAATTCCCAAAATTATTTTAATTTTTCAAATAGATCACTTCGCAGGCCTCTACTTCTAAGGATTAAAAAACACACGAACAGAACAAAAAATAATTTTTTTCATAGGGTGGTAAATAAATGGAATAATCTTCCAAATGAATCATTTAAAATAAATGATCCCAAAAAATTTAGAAGTTTTATTAAATTATCACAATCTAAATAAAATTTTTGGAAAAATTAACCTTGAGCGTTATTGTGTTTTTTTTTATGTGTAATATTAAATTCATTTATTTTTATTGTTCATTTTTAAAGTTATTTTTATTTTTGATGTTGTTTCCTACATATATATATTTTTTTTTTGACATTAATTTATTTTTTATGTTTTTTTTTTGCACCACATTAATGTATTTTAAAATACCTGTGGTTTGCTGATAAATAAATAAATAAACATGCCGACAGTTTAGTAATGGCTTGTGGAGGTTTATTAAAAAATTTTTTAAATAAAATTTAATATTTAATTTTTTAGGACTTTTACCATTACTTGCAGCAGCAACCTCACCAACAGTTAGTTTTATAATTTTTTATTAAAAGAAATTTTTTTAATTAAAGAGTGAATTAAAATTATTTGATACTACCCAACAAGAATTAGATATTTCTGATGCTGCGTATTTTTTGGAAATTTTTGCTGAAATTGCTGATGTTTTTATTTTTACTTCTTCACTTACACTTAATGAATTGGAACAAGAAAAAAATATGCCTGCTGGAGGAATTTTGAGACAAGCACTTAGATTATGTAAATATTATTTTTTAAGATGAAGCAGGTTTGGGTTTTTGTCTGTTCAGTGATTCAACTAACAATATCGAAAATTTGTATTCCTAGTTACCGCCGAAAATTTAACACTCTGGGCCATTTCCAATAAGAGATAGCTTCTATTTAATGTTTACCCTTCATTGTAAGAGAAAATTTTTTGATCACCAAGGGGTATCTAAAAATGGTTAAGAATGAGGTTTAACTGAGTATCTAAAAATTAATTTGACCCCAATCTAAATCCCCGTAATATCCCTTAAATTATTTATCTGACTTTTTATAATTTTTTAGCAGCAACATCGGCAGTTCGAGGAATTTTATCAAGTGTTTTAAGCAACAATGAATCTATATTTGGATCAGAAATTAATTCTACAAAATATGAAGCAATTAGAAAATTTATTAAAAATAAGTCAACAAATGTGGAATTTAAAGATCAGTTGCTACAAACAATGGATTTGCAACGTTTAAAGAATTTGATTTACAGAGATATGGTTTGGAAATTTTCTTGATAATTAAAAAAATTTTTTGACGTTTTGACTTCGAAAAATACTTTGTGTTTAGAAAAAATTTTCTGAAAATTTTTTGTAATTTTTAAAATTTAATTTTTAAAGGAAGAAGTAGAACAAGCACAATTTTTGGCTCTTTCTGTTGTTTATTTTTTGTCTGTTTTGTTGGCTGCTTATTGTGGAGATATTCTTGAACCTTGTAATGATAAATTACAAAAATCAATAGAACCTGTAATTTCTTTATTGCGAGAAATTTTGTGTGATTTTCGTTCATTTCTTCAAAAAACTTTGTTGGGAACACATGGACAAGAAATTATGAATGATAAAGGTTTCTTTTTTTTGAAATTTATTAAAAATTTTTGGAATTTTTTAAGTTATGCACACACTTAAAAATGTCAGTGTAATTGAGATTTTGTGTTCACAAGAATGGCAAACTTCGCTCCAAAAGCATTTTGAATTGGAGTTTATGGAGCTGGTTAATGAAGGTTTGTGCAAAGATTTTTTTGAAAAAAAATTTTTTGGGGAATGGTTTTTTAATTTAAATTAGGGTTCTCTCTACCAATCGATATCAGTTTCTGTCCGCAAATAAAAAATTTATCCCTACCGCGGTCCGCAAGTCAAAAAACCATATAGTCCGCAATTACTGACAGCCCTGGTCGGTATACCCAATTTTCGGTTATGGCCTGTTTTTGTAATTTTATTTGTTAACAATGTTGTTGATTTCTGCTAGTTTTATAAAAATTTCATTTAGGTTTTATTTTGAGTGTTCCAAATAAAATACTTGGACAGTTTAAAATGTCTTCTCTTCCACCTGAAATACAATTTGATGTTTTAAAATGTCTTGATTTCGAGCAATTATTCTTTCTCTACCAAAACAATTTTTACTTTTACAATTTAATTAATTTATACGAGGGAGTATTGGCAAGAAAGAAATTTTGTAGTTTCAGTCTGGTATGAGTATTAACTAATTTGTTTTAAATTTTTTTTTCAGACAGGAGCAATATTTTCAAGCCATCATATTCTTAAAAGTAATGAAGTACCATCTTTTATTTTGAATGATCAACTTAAAGAGAAGGTTAGATTTATTTTTAATCTGATTAAATTACATGTATTTTTTCAGTGGCAAACAGCGTTGGAGGAATCTATTACTTTATTTTTACAACCAGATACTACTGATCCTTTACAACCAGCTAGGCCTTTTTTTTCACTATTTTCACATGGTCCGAGGCGTGTTAAGAACGTTTTTGTTGAATTGCGTTTAAAAGGTTTTTGATATAAATAGATGGTAATTTTCCGTTATGGCCCCGCATTTTAAAAATTTCTTAAAGTGTTATGAATATCGGCAAGATATATGCCATTAGAAAAAGCTTATTGAGCTGAGTCGAATGGCATGAAAATTAAAGCCCTTCGATTCGTAGGAACGAAATTACGAGTGAATGAATAGGTTCACTTTGGCCATTTTGAGCCTATTTCTATACAAAATTATGACCTATTTTTTGACCATTTTCATGACATTTTAAAACAATTTTTAAATGTTCGGCCCCAAAACGGAAAATTGCCATTATTTACTTGTGTCTCATAATGAGGCGAGACACATTTCCTGAGGATTCTCCCCTCTTTGGGCTTTCCACCTAGATAAAATTGCTCATTACCTAGTTTATTGTTTTACATTTTTTTCTTATTAGAAGATTTCTTTATTCTAAAATTGCCAAACTATCCCAAAACTATTGAAGAATTGATTATTATTCGTTCATGGTTAGAACAGCTTTTTGATTGTGGTTTTGGAAATGCGGTGTTTGGAGATATTATATTTAATCCACAAATGATTGATTTACTATTTGACAACGACAAAATTAAAAAATTTAATGTTCATAGCCTCACTTTACATACTCAAAATATTACTGACAATATTTTGGATTTTGCTTTAAATCGTTTTGCAATTTATTTGTCTTTCAACATCAATTTCGCTTCTGGAAATACTGATATTTTATTCAATATTATAAATGAAGGCAAAAAAGTCCCTCATGTTATTTTCACTAATTGCCAGTCCTCAGAGTTTTATAATCGTGTTATTAAAGTAAGTAATAATGTTTAAAGTTCAGTAGTGGACAAAAATATGGGAACGAAAGATGGTTAATATATCAGGGTTGGCTAATTTCGCATTTTGCATATTTCACGTTTTAGGCCTTTATTTTTAGATTTCGTCCAGCCCTGCTCTACACCCAGTCAAAATATTTTTTGTAGAAATTAAATTTGATAAGCTCAAATTTACAGAGGTCGAATAGACCAAATATAAGAATTTAAAACTAGTAAGGGCTCAAAAATATCTTTTGAAGTCGAAAACCCGATTTTACGTTGATTTTGAGGGGGAATCGAAGACTCGCCCCCCCCCCCCCCCCATCCTGCATAGCATGTATTTCAGTATGGGCTGTATATCAAAAAATGCTAATCTGGCAATTCTAATACTCATTAAATAACTTTTAACTGAGAAAATAGGCTTTAGTTTCGTATTTTTGCCTTTTACATTTCAATTTTAGTATATAAATTAATTTTTAGCACATAAGAACATCGAACGATTTCTCAAAAATTGTGCCTGCTTGTGACTTTTTTTATAATAGATTGGAAAACTTTAAATTGCCAACTGGAACAAAACTTATTGGGACTGAGCACAAATATAATAGAGAATATACAAAATACCAAATTTCCAATATTTACAATCCAAAAATGAAATTTTATTTATCTATTAATATTGGACCTCCTTCTTCTTTTATTATTAGAAAATAGAAGAGTAGAATTTGAGAGGATATTATAAAAATTTTTTTTAATTAATTGGACAACGATATATTTTAAAAAATATAAGTTATTATTGATTTTAGATTCAAAAAAATTTTTTTTATTTTCATCTATTTTTAGCGGGTTTATGCTAAGCCTAAAATAAAATTTTAAAATAATCCATAAGGGGTCGAAAAAATTTTTGTAAGCTACTTACCCCGGTTTTATGTTGATTTTCGGGATATCGAGATCTCGACAGTGAAATGTAATATGAGCCTAGTTTTTTAAGTATTGATAAGTTTATCGGAATTTTTGTAGATTTTAATTACATTTTGAAATACAAAAACCCTAAGTGTTCATTTAATTATGTGGTGGGCTAAAAATGAACATTTTAAAAAATATTTTTTATTTGAAATATTTGAAAAACGAAATTTTGAAAAAAAATATAATTTAATTTTCATTGAAAATAAATTAAAAGTTTTCTTTGTTTTATTCGTTTTCATCAGTTTATAGCCTGCCAATTTATTTTTAAATATTTTTAAACTTTATTCTTAGTGTTTTGTATAATTGCGGTTTGCCATTTTTTATATAATTCCTTTTTGCCAGGCTGAGTTTAAATCTGCAAAAATTTCTTTTTAAATTTAGAAAAAAAAGTCCGCAGGCAGACGTGCACTTTGATACGGATTTTGCTATCCATATCCGGATATATCTGGGGCTAGTATCCGTATACGTCTATTCGAAAAATTTTCAAATATTTGTCTCAGCCTAAGTCTAAAAATAAGCGGATATTAGGGACGGATATCCGCGGATTTGGAGCATCATATCCGTATCCATGCGTATTCGTCCGATTAAACAAGGATCATCCCATAAAATCCCCAAGGCCGATCTCTATATATAAGGGTATAGTACCAAGTATTATAAAGGTTACCAGACTTTATTCTATATCATAAAAAACCTGTTACCGTTTTGTCCGGATTAAAATTAAGTTCAAGAAGATTATTCTTCGATTCTATGGATAAAAACATAAGAAAAATGTCCAGGAAGTCCACCATTAGATAACACAAATTTTATTTTTGGATTATAAATATTGACAATTTTGTAACAGGTAGATTTCAAAGTTTCCGCACTTTCGGGTAATTTAAAAATTAACTTTCTGCAATAACAACTAAAATAAATAGAAGACACCATTTTTGACAAATCTTTTGATGTTGTTATATACTAAAAATTTTAATTTATTTTTAAATTTAATTTTAAATCACTCACTTCAAATATAAGATTATAAAGTTTTGTAATGTCAAAAACCTCAAAAGGTAAAATAACATTAAAATTAACTCTAGGTAATCTATTGCCTTCATTTATTATAATATTAAATAAAATATCAGTATATTTTTCAATGTTGTCGTCCTCATGAAAATTAATTCTAAGACTTTCGTAAATGGCAAAACGGTTTAGAGTGAATTCAAAAATATTTTCGTTTATATCATTTCTAGCCTCTAATTTGAGGTATTGAACATAAAATTGTTTTTGAATTGTTTTGTCGTTATCAAATAATAAATTGATCATTTCTGGATTTAATGTACCATATTCAAGAGAAGCATTTTCAAAATAAGCAAATTTAAAAAGTTGTTTTAACCAATATCGAATAATAAGCATTTCTTTTATTGTTTTTGGGATGTTTGGCAATTCCAGAATAAAATGTGTCTTCTTGCAATGAAACAAGAAACCATTCTCTACTGTGACTGTGAATTAGATAGATATATTTTTTGGTACCATTCGATAGAGGACCCTCGATCTACTCGATTTGAAGTTACCCCCCCCCCCCCCTTTTTTTTAGTAGAGATAGGCAAAATCACAAACACGGGAACCCATAGATTTTTTTCAACATGTCTTAAAGGCAGGATTCCCGAGATTAATCCCGTTTCGTCTCTTCAAATGTGATTTCGGACAGGACCCCTAAAAATCCCGCACGGAACCTGCCACATGCTGATCTGTATATATAAGGGCATATCTACTAGGTTAACCAGAAAGTCATCGAATGAGTGAAATCAACGAACGGTCCATTTTATTTTATAGCATAAAAACCTGTTTTCAACATACAAACAGCAATGCTTTGAATACCATATTGAATATTATGTTCAATACCATCTATAAAATCATCTTCAAATCGATATAAAAACAAAGGAATAGATTTATCTATCGCCTGTCCCCACTGAAAAATACAAGTAATCTAATCAATATTAAAATTTACTAGGTAATAGTTTGGAGTCATCCGCCCCCTTTTCCCACTGTCCTGTCCATTATGAGCTTTTTGCTTGAATATACTTATTTTAATATCTTTTCGAGCTAATCGAATAATACCATGATCGGTTAGGTTTGATAATTTTTACCAAAATTTAAAAGTGAAATTCTCGACTGTTAAACCTTTTTCCCGCTGCAAGAGATTAAATTTATCCTAACATACATAACTTTGTCCAATCAAGTCAGATTTCGTTGATCTTAATGTCATACAACTCAGTTCGAAGTGCTCTTTCGAATGATATATGATATACCATAAAATGTGAGCAAGTACAAAAAATAGAAAGGAAAGAAAGGGGAGGAACGACTTCCAAACTAAACCTATTTACTACAAGACCTTCTCCAAAAGATGATCATTCAAGACAAAATCAGAAACTACAGGTTCAAAATTAATGAGTACATAGGAACCCATCTCTTGACGATTATAGGAATCCATCGCTTGAGGATCGATTTTTTTGATGGGAATCTAGAATTATTTTAAAATTAAAAAAAGTTAATATTTACCAGTCTAGGTATAAAAATAAAATGGATTTATTCTTCATAGACCTATCCCTAAACCTTCCAAATTACAGATATGCCCCTTAATGCAAACTCCCCCGATATCCACCTTAATTCTCCAAATACACATTAACCCCACTAAATCCCTAGATTAAATAATTATAGAGAGGGATATCGAGGATTTAGAGGACAGAATCTCTAAGTCCTTCGAATAAACAAGTATAGATGAATGATGCCCCCAAATTTTTGTTTAAGAGAGAATAATTGTTTAAACTTTCTAAAATCCCTTATTAATCCTTCCAGAACCTACCAAATCCACCAACCTTTCCCTTAAGCCGTTAAATTCACATTAATCTCTCTAAGTCCTTTAAATGAATGATCCCCCCAAATTTTAACAATTTTCTATTCAAAATACAAAAATGAGAACATGGAAGAAAAAACCCTGATAATGGGCCCGGCAAGTGAGCAGTACGAGCTCCAATTTTAAATTTAAAAAAAGTTAATATTTACCAAGCTAAGACTACAAAATTTCATCCGTGCTAATTCTCCCTCATATTTTTTAATTAAATTGTAAAAGTAAAAATTAGTTTGTTTAAGAGAGAATAATTGCTTAAACTTTAAAGATTTTAAAACATCAAGTTGAACTTCAGATGGAAGAGAAAACATTTTTAATTAGTATCTGCAGAAGAAAAAATATTTTAAAATCCAACTTATAAAATCTCCACAGGTTTATTATTGGCTGAAAAAGGCACTCCATCCGTTTAAAGGGCCACAGTTCTCTGACTGTTATGAGGCCATAATTTGACCTCAAATTTCAAGTGCCCTACGTAATATTTTTGAAAAATATCTGTTAGTAAGGATTAAAGATTAATATGAAAATTACAGTAGCCTCATAACGGTTAGAGAACTGTGGCCCTCTTAAACTCAGGTTTGCCTTAAAAATATTCAAAGTATATTCCAAACGATTCCTCCTGCCTAGCTGAGTTCGAATTTATACTCCTTTTATTCTAGGAGACTAAAACTCAGAGATATTTGCCCTAAAAATTAAAGGCACTCACTGCCGTTTAAGGGATGCCCATCTCTGATAGTTATGATACTATAAGTTTGGCACCAAAATTTTGAACCACCTACATATGAAAAATAAATGTTAGTATGGAGAAAAGAATTAATTTTGATTATTTTGATTAATAGAAGAGTGAATAAAATAATGGTCTTATAAAACGGTAGCCCCCCTTAAGCGGCGGGAGTGCCAAATTAAAAAAAACCATGGTGGGGATATAGCAGATTTTTGGGGTTAAAATTCAAATCTACAAATGATAGCCCATTAGACAAAGCTCTTGAGCTGTTGAGTAAAATCAATTTAATATGGCCTAAAATGAGTTACTCCCCCCTATGGGTTTACAACAGTAGGGGGGCTTTATCTCTGCGAGTTTTCGTCTCCTAGAAGGAGTCAACTTAGCTGGGGAAAGGAATGGATTGGTATATATTGCGAATTTAGGTCTGGGGTCCCATGTATTATAGTGACCCCTTATTATTTAAAAACAGAAAAATCGCGCAGGGTAAAAAATGTTGATTTTATTGCCAAAAAATATTTTTTTTCTATGGACAATTACAAGCCTGTTATTACCAAATTTAATCATTTATATCAATAATTTTATGTTTAATTTATTGGAAACATCCTAAAAAATTTTTGTAAAATCAGAATAAATGCCGTAAAAGTCAGAATAAATGCCAGAACGAAATAAAACAAGTTTGGTTTATATAAGGAGAAAAAGGGTGGAAAGGCAATTTATAAATAAAGCTAGGGTTAATACACGCGACCCCCCCCCCTCCCCCCTCCCAGATTTTCCTTTGTTTTTAAGAAAATTTCGCGCCAATTTTTCTCTATCTACTTCATAAATTCTGTATGTCTAATAAATGAGTGATGATAAGAAAGACAGGGGTCAGTGATTGACGGCCCATAGGTTAGTAGCCCATATTCTCTTCATGGGCCGGTTTCGGTTTGGCATTGACAAATATTTAAAAATTCGAATGAACTTTGAACGGTGGAAAATGTTGAGAGGCAATTAAAGTATGGAATTTGAATATAATGGAATATGGGGGATATGTAAATGTGTGGGGAATTTGAATTTGAAAAGAAAAATGATTTGCTCCCTTGTATAATTTGAAAAAAATTTTGGAAGTAAAATTTTTCTTCTCATTTGAATTTGCTCCTTTAAGGGAGCAGGCCAACTCTCCGCAGAGCTATATCTTGGTTCAGAATTGCGAATCTGGGATGCCCTAGTATGGGTAGATGCGTCTCGATGAGCTGAATCTAACCATACCAGTTCGTCCCGGATTCGACCATTTTGAACGAAGTTATAGGCTTTGCGGTCAGTTGGGTTCGTGGTAAGTTGGAGTGTACCCTTCCTTTAATTTTTATTTTTTTTCCTTCTACATATTAAGCCTGTGTCCTTATAAATATTCTTGTTGTCTTTGTTCTTTGAATGTTCTTGGCCAGATCAAAAATCGGGCAAAAACGGCTCAAAATCCTTGCTAGAAAAGGCACATTCTTTATCGAATGAGCCCGGGCTCAACCGTTTTTAGGTCGGACACCTCGCAACCTCTCCGTGTTAGATGGCAATTCTTTTTTTTTTAAAATTTATTTTTAATAGTTTCCAAATATTTTTACATTGATACATATTTTTAAATTAATTTACAATTTAATTTTTACATTCGAAACTTTTTGTTCAGTAGCTAGAAAACAGAGGTACCGCTCAATACGATTTTCTCGAATTTTTGGGCGAATTGAATTATTTTCACCTTCTTACCATTTTTAAAATTTACCATTTTGACATTAAAGGGAAATATGCAAAATGTTATTTATTCTAGATGAAATTTCATAGTGTCAACTCTTTAAATTGGCAAACCTTTGTTATTTTTTTTCTTTTTTATTTACCTAATTTTTGATTGTTTTGATTCCACGTATTCTTTTTTTAATAATTTGGCGGTTTAACAAGGAGAGTTTTCGAGGTGACCAACCTAAAAACGGTCGAGACCGGGCCTATTCGATAGAAAATGTGCCCTTTCTAGCAAGGATTTGAGCCGTTTTTTCCCGTTTTTGATCTGGCCAAGATATGGCCCGGCAAAGTCCCAAAATTTGACATAATTTTCCCCTTTCAAATATTGTATATGTATGTTGATCTGAAAATTGTCGTTTTTTAGTTTCTCTACTTTTTAATTATTTCTAATTTTTTTAGAGTAGACAAAGAGAAAAATGGACTCGCACCCTTCTACTGCTAAGGAGGTCGAGGAAAATTCTGAAAATAACAAAAAATCTGACGCCAACTTTTCGCCTCGTGGTGCAACACCAACAGTTTTAACTTCGTTTAGTGAAGCTCTAAATGAAAAAAATTTTGATGAAAATGAAATGAGAGATGTTCAATTGTATGAAGAAATTTGTTCTGATGAGGATTTGAAAAAATCAGAAGATGGAGGAGGGAATGGTTACAATGAGAAGATTGATGGTACCGGACAAGATGAGGGAGGGGAGGATGACAATGAAGCAGCGACCTCAGAAAAACATTTGGAATTTGTGAGTTGTGAATTTAAAATTTTGTTTAAGGGACGTAGAAAAGTCCGCAAGTTCTGTCCGCAAATTGGTTTATATTCGTGGGTTCGAACCCTCGTGTAAAAATTGACAAAGCAGTTTTTTATAGTCGTGGGTTCGAACACGTGCAGGAAATTTAATTTTTTCACTTTTTTTAAAAAAGTCAAAATAGACCTGCTTCAGGGTGATTTTTGTATTTTGTGACTTTTTTTGACCTTGTCTTTTTGATTCAAAATCAAGAATCTTGTCAAGGGCTGATTCTCTAGTTTCCGGCCTCTATTTGGTGGCATAATTTAAAAGTGCATTAAATCTAATTTTATTAATTTTTTTAAAGGAATCTCTATCTCAACTTAAAAATTCTCAATTGGGGAAGACAGTTGTAATTCATTCAAATGACGAAACTCCTCAAGAAACTTTTTCCCGACTTAAAGATGCTTGTATTGAAGGAACTCTGACTTATGAAGACATTATGGATGGACTTTTTAATACGGTTTGTTTGGGGGTTTTTAATTAATCAAACGGGTTAATCCGGGTCGCCGAAACTCTTTTTGGCACCCTATTGAAGTTCTTCGGTTTTTCGGTTGTTAGCTGATGCCCATCAAAGGCGACTGTGCTATTTGGGATTCTGACGTCCTTTCCCCAGTTTGGTATTTCGACGCATTGGCCTTCCTTTAATCAAACGATTTTTTTTATTTTTCAGTTAGTCGGCGGTCCATTTGACTTGGAATCAAGATACGTTCTTCACAATTGTGAAAATGTTAAATTGATGTTAGAATTGACTGATTTGTGTCCCCCAAAGATACAGGTTTCTTTTTGTAAATTTTGCGAATTTAAAAATTTTTTTACTAAAAGGCGGAAATTTGGAGTATTTTTGTTGCTATTGTCAAAAAGAGCTTCTTAAATTTGGAAATTTGGTATTCTTATTATTTTTATACTAAAAAACGAATTTTTTAAAGTTCAAAATCTGGTCTTGTTTCTCTTCTATTGGATAGATTGCCAGATGCTGATTTTATCATAGCCGATTTATTTATTCAACTACTTACAGTGCTAACTGGATACAGTATTTCTGTAAAAGAATTTAAACATTTTTTGAAGTCATTAAAAGTTGACAATAATTGCTGGGCAAGTTTTTTCGATAATAAAAAATGTATTTCTTTCAATGGGGTTCGAACCTTCGTCATTTTTGGTGTGGTACCTAGCAGGGATGTCACGGGTTGAGAAAAATGTCGGGTCGGGTTTCCAAAATTTTTCTCGGATCGGGTTTCGGGTTGAGCAAAAAGTCGGGTCGGGTTTCGGATCGGGTTTTCAAAATTTTCTTCGGATCGGGTTTCGGGTCGAAAAAAAGTCCCTTTTTCAGCGCCGCAGGCGAAAATTTTCAGAATTTTGGAGGATCATTAAGCTAAAAATCTTCTTTTTTTCTGCGCCGCAGGCGAAAATTTTCAGAATTTTGGAGGATCATTAAGCTAAAAATCTTCTTTTTTTCTGCGACGCGGGCGAAAATTTTGAAAAAACTCGGGTCGGGTTTTGGGTCGGGTTTTAGAAAATTTCTCGGATCGGGTTTCGGGTATCGGGTCGGAAAAAAGGCCGGGTTTCGGGTAACCCGTGACATCCCTGGTACCTAGCATTATCCAACTACACCAGGGAATTTAGTTTTGCAAAATTTTCTTGTTTAATTCGAGTTTTTGTTGTGATTTGGTTTAATTGAGTTGTAAAAAATGTTTTCCGTTAGTTTGGTCCGAACCTTAGTCATTTTTGGTGTAGGACTAAACATTTTCCAACTACATCACGGAATTGAAAATACAAAATTTAGTTTATTTTAATGGGATGTTGTTGGCGTGTTTTTTGAAGTTTTTTCATTCCCTATCCCCTGTAAAAATCGGATCTTATAATTAGGCCTTTTTTGATATTGGTGATATCGCTTAGGCACAGCTCCCACCCTGTTAACCCAATTTTAAAAATTAAAAAAAAACTTTTTTCAGAAACGCAATTCAATCAAATTACTCAATGTAATGGCAGAAATGCCTAAACGTGAAGGACCTGATGTATTTTTTGCTTTTCCTGGGAAAGCTTCAGCGGTTTCTTTTTAATTTTTTCCATTTTTACAAGTCATTTTTAGGGTATATTTATTCCTCCATTAAATCGTTGGCCTCATCAAAATGGTTGGACATTTTGTACTTGGTTCAGAATGGATCCATTGAATAGTGTTTATTTTGAAAGAGAAAAGCCTTTTTTATTCAAGTTTGTTTTTTCAATATTTTCTTTAATTTTTCGGCCTGATAAAAGATTTGTTTACGTCCAATAACCGACATAATTAGGCTTTTTTGATCAAGCTGGCATGGTTGATCTATCGTTTGTCAAGACCCTTTTTACATAGTGTTCTTGTCGTTGCTTCAGATAGGGCCGGGCTACCCAGTCCAAGTAAAATTTCGGAAACCCAGCTTTTTTCTCAACTCGACCTATTCTTGGTTGTGCTTGGGTGACCCACTTTAATGAAATAAAATTTTTGTTAGTTTTTTTAGTCTAAATTTTTCTGTCCGAAAATATTGTCCGCAAAAATTCTTTTCATTAAAATTTATTTTTTTCAGTTTTTCAACACCCAAAGGAAATGGATATTTTTCTTATTTTATGGGCTCTTGTTTAGTCTTACGTTGTATAAGATCACCTGGAAAAGAAATTATGCGTTGTATAAAATTTGAATTTATGCCTCGTAAATGGTACCATATTGCCTTAACTTTTATTTATTCTCGTTGGTCAAAAGGAGAAATTCATTGTTTTGTTGATGGTTGTTTAGTTGAAGTTATTGATTCTAATTGGTTTGTTTTTTTTTGTTTTTAAATTAGTGATTGGCACGGGACGGCCTAAATAATCCGTGGGAGATTTTTGAGGACACTCTTAAAAACATCAATAGTGAGGGTTGGTGCACACTCCATCATACATATCTCCTTGAGATCCACTCCCTGGATACTCCCTTGTCTATTGCCTTAACTTCAGTTTCTATTATAATTTGTGTTTATTAATTCGACTATATTTGTCTTCCTTTTTCAAGGCTAGTTTCTCAAAACGAACATTTTGACCATTGTTATATTGGTTGTGGACATGAAGAAGATGAAGGAGAAGCTTTCAGTGGACAGATGGCTGCAATATATGTCCTTTCACAATCAATAACACCTCAACAGGCAGCGTGTCTTCATTATTTGGGATCTTCTTATCAATCACATTTTAAACATAAAAGTGAATCTAATTTACCTGAAAATTATAAAAAGGTTTGGAATTTTTTAGGTTTACTTTTAAAAATTATTTTTGAGTTTTTAAAGTTGTTATTTGATGGAAAATTGAGTGAATCAATTATTTTTTCGTATTGTCCAAAAGATTGTCATGGACAAATGGTTTTGTCACACCCACCGGTGATTTTTTTTAATTTTTTTTTGAATAATTTTGGAATAATAACTATACAATTTGGAACTGGAAAGAATGACTAAACCAAGCGATTAGTTTAGTCGAAAAAATTTTCGAGAATAAGGGTGTATTTTCTGACTTCCTGATTTAAGGACGTGAATTCGGAAAATTCCGATTTTTTTAAATTCAAATAATGGTTTGACCAATTTTTTACTACACAAAAAATCCCTTTTTCTTTACGGACTTCGATTTTATTATTTTATTTTGATAATAGGTTTTATTTATTTCTCGTTCATTGTTTCCCGCAAAAATTGTCCGCAAAATCTCTAAAAGAAGAAAAAAATTAAAAATTTTTAACCCTCGGTTTATTTTCTTTTTTTTTTACAGAATACTTCAAAAAATGCTACAAATTCATATTTTGTTCAAGTTCCTCATGCAATTATGAAAAATGTTTTTTTAATAAAATTCAATAATCATTAACAATTTTTTAAAGGGTGTAGAAGTAATAACAACTCATTCAATACATAATTCTTTACATTCTGTTGGTGGTATTCAAATGCTCTTGCCTTTATTTTCTCAGATTGATATGGCAAAAGAAGAAAATATTGAAGAGGAAATTTGGTTTGATTTTTTTTACTTTTCGGGATCAAATGTCCTAATTTTTTTTGTGGGATTAAATGTCTGAAAGATTTAAAAATGAATTTTTTTGGGAACATTTCACTACTTTATAGTCAAAAAATTTGTTTTTCGCGAGGATCAAATGTTATAAAATTAAAAAAATTGTTTTTTTTTTGAGATTTCTCGGCAAAATTTTTTTGGGATCAAATGTCCTAAAATTTTGATTTTTTTAATTTTTTTAGTTTAAAATTACTCACTGTAATTGCTACTTTGCTTGGAACTTCTCTAAATTCTCAACAACAATTTTTACAATGTCGAGGATTTTCTGTCATTTCAAATTTATTGCAAAACTCTTCTAATGTTCATTTAAGTATGAACCTTTTGGAGGTTTTGAAATTTTTTTTAATTTTTTAAAAAATATTTTAGACATTTATTTCAATGTCTAAAGCTTTTGCCAATTTCAATAATGGATTGCCTTTACTTAAACAATTGGTAGAAAGTGTTTTTCTTGCATCACATTTGTGGTTGAAAGCTGAGCCTTTAGTTAGTTATTTTTAATTTATAATTCAAATTAGGATGTTTTACGGTCAATTTTGAGACCATTCACGATTAGATAATTCAATTTTCAAGTAATCACCATGGGTATGACCGTGAGAGCTAGTATAACCGTGAGAGCTAGTATGACCGTGAGAGCTAGCTCTTACGGTCATAGCCTCATCACTGGTGATTACTTGAAAATTCTCTCCAAAGACGAGGAGGGACTGTTTAATAGCCGGTTATTACCCATTTTATGTGGTTAAATTCTTAAAATTTATTTTTTGTCTTTTTTGAAATTAGAACTTGGATTTTTTGTCTTTTTTTAAATTTTTTCTTTTTAAAAAAGGTCCAAGTTCGTTTATACACATTTTTGGCAAATGAATTCTTTTCAAATATTGATTTGTTACAAATTGTCCGTCGAACACAAACTGTTGTTATTTTAATGAATACTTTGAAAAAATATTGGATAACACTGCCAAATGGATATATTGAAGAGGAAGGGGAGGAAGAAGGGGAAAATAATGCTCAAAATAAATCCCCTTCAAAAAATAATAATACAAATTTTGATCGTTCAGCAATAGTACATGTCCGTACTTGCATATTAAAATTAGTTTACAATTTTACTTTTTTGTGTTGTGAAGGAAGTGAAGAAAGAGATGATGAATTACAATGCATTTTTAATTTTATTGCTACAACTAATGAGGTTTTTTTGGGAAATTTTTAGGGAATCTTTTGGGGAATTTTTTTGGGTAGGTTGATGAGTAGGAAGGAGATGGGGAAGATTTTTAAATATTCTGGTAGCGTTGCTGGGGAAAAATTTGACAATACATTTGTTGTCAATTCTTGGAATCAAGGAGCAAAGACTAGGAAAATTCATTTTTTTTATCGGAATAAGATAGGAGCGAGGATTTTTGTTTAGGCGATTTTTTATTATTCTTTGTTGACTGGATAAACCTTTTGGTTACTGAATATTCAAAAAAAAATTTTTTTTAGGACGACAATCTTTATGATGTTTTAACTCAAACTATGCAACAAATATCTGATCATCCAGCGATTTTGGTTCTTTTTTAATTTCTTAATGTAAAATTTTTTATTTTTAAAGGTTCCAGCATTTGATAAAAAGAAAGTTATTTGTATTATTTTCAACTTAATTAGTTCGCCTAATGAATTGATAAAAATACCAGCTTTGAAAATGTTTGGATATTATTTATGCAGATCTACACAAAAGTTTGTTTATTATTTTTTTATTTAAAAAAATTTTTTCTTGGTTCACCTTTCCGAGAGTAATGTTTGGTAAAATAATTTTCCGATCCGGAGACCGAACTTTGTATTTCCATGTCGAAACGAGTCATTGTCATTTTTTTTTGAATTAACTGGCAAAAAACAGGATTTGAGACTGACCCCAGAAAAACTTGGTTGGATCCGGTCCGGTGGTGTTTTTATTATTCCTCGTTGACAGAATTTGTGTTTTTCTTTTCCCTTTTACTATCGAAAAACCAAAATATATTGACAAATGGAACTTGATTATTTTTTTGTGTTTTTAAAAAATTTTTGGGGCTTATTTGTGACAGAACAACATTTTTATCTCTTGCACATTCTCTTAAATTTCAAAAATTTTTGGGTTTTTAATTTTTTAATCTTTATATTTTCTTCATTTTTAGACGTAAAAACGAGTCAATCAATCAACGGAATTTATTTCACTTGTTAACTGATAAATTAATGCTCAATTGCCATTCTCTTTCATTAGCAACTTACAACGCTTTATTCGAAATTTTGGTAGAATTAGTATGTCCTGAAATTTTATTTGTAAAACATGAAGAATTGACGATAGAAAATACAAGATTTGAAAATCCACAAATTTTGAAAGTTGTTGCGCAATTGCTAATTCAAAGTGAAGAATCGAGTGAAACATTGAGAGTTAAAAGAATATTTCTTCAAGATTTGATAAGACATTGCAAAGATTGTAGAGAAAATAGAAGGTTTTTTTTAATAATTTTTATGGGTTTTCAATGGGGGGCTCTCTAATAATTTTTAATTGCCAACCTAATTTTCCAAACTTATCTCAATCTGTGGGATATCCTTTTATTGGGTTAGGTTTAGATTGTGGAGTACACCCCAAATTACCGCGAGGACAACGTACCGCAGAGAAATAACTTTGTTCAAAATGGTCGATTCAGCTCGCCGAGATGCATCGAACCATACCTGGGCCTACCGGATTCGAATATTTTGAACGAAGTTATAGCTCTGCTGTACGTTGGGGTCGTGGTAGGTTGGCCTGCTACCAGATTGTGTTTTCCAAATTTTCTTTGATCAGATTTCTGGCGAAAAAAGTCCGGGTTTTGAGACCTCATCTCTGGTGCAAATTTTATGTGTGCATTTAAAATGAAAGTTGACTGTGATTACAAATTTATTTTTTAAAGAATAATACTTCAAATGAGTGTTTGGCAAGAATGGCTAATTTCTCTATCTTATATTTACCCAGAAAATGAAGAGCAAAAAAATGTTTCTGAACTTGTTTTTCAACTTTTTTCAATTCTTTTATTTCATGCTATACGTTTAGAATATGGTGGCTGGAGAGTTTGGGTATTTTTTTTATAAATTTTTGAAATTTTTTCTGTCAATAAAGGTTGGGGATTATTTTTGAAATTTTTTTAGTTTTGGTTTCTTTTCCAAAATCCGCAAAAATTTGTCTAAAAATTTTTTGAAATATTTTTGTTTCAGCCTTTTAAGTCCAACAATATCCATAATTTGTTTTCATTTTCTAATTTTCAAAATAGGTTGATACAATGGCAATAGCTCATTCAAAAGTTTCATGGCAAAAATATCGTAAAAATTTGACACAAAAACAAGAAGAAGATGCTCGAAAAAAATTGGGAGAAAATTTAACTAAAAATGATCAATCGTCTTCTTCTGGTGGAGGAGTATCATCACTTTATAGAACTCCAGATTTTGTTTGGTCACAAGTACAAATTCAATTTTTGAATGATTTGTTGATGTTAATACAAGCTGTGGTACAGGAATGGAAAGAGTATTTTTTTGAAATTTTTTAAAATTTTTTAAAAATTTCTAGTTCACCCAGCCCAGTTGCTGATTATTTAAATAATTCGGATAATCATGTAAATTTTTTTAAAATTATTTTTGAAAAGGCGTAGAATCTTTCACTAGCAAATTTGTTAGGGAGAAGCCCTAGCTATCAGAAATTTTTTTTTAAATTTTCCCCTTGGTGAAATTTTTATTTTTTGTCATTTTTAGCGAGTGGGCTAATTTCGAGTGGGTCAAATTCCTTCTCTTCTCTGCTTTTAAAGTTAATGGGTGTTTAACTATTTCTGGATTAAGTAACTAATTTATTAGAAAATTATTCTTCAGGTTTTTATAACCAATACAGTCCATATATTTTCCCAACTTGCTGACAGTTTAGTAATGGCTTGTGGAGGTTTTTTTAGAAAAATTTTTTGAATAAAATTTAATATTTAATTTTTTAGGACTTTTACCATTACTTGCAGCAGCAACAGCACCAACGGTTAATTTTAAAAAATTCTTTTGTTTTTAATTTTTTTAATTAAAGAGTGAATTAGAATTATTTGATACAACCCAACAAGAATTGGATATTTCTGATGCTGCTTATTTTTTGGAAATTTTTGCAGAAATTGCTGATGTTTTTATCTTTACTTCTCCACTTACACTTAATGAATTGGAACAAGAAAAAAATATGCCGGCTGGGGGAATTTTGAGACAAGCACTTAGATTATGTAAATATTATTTTTATTTTTTCAAATTTGAAAATTAGGAAGGTTTGGGATTTTGTTTGTCAAATTAATACTGTCAGGCACACTTCATTTTTAGATGCCGCAACAATTGGGCACTTTGGACTCTATTTAATGTAGCCTTCATTATAAGAGACAATTTTTTGAGCTTTAAGGGGATATTTAAAAATGAAACAAAGTTTCTAAAAATTGAATTCGACTCTTTGACATTTGTTATTTTGACTTTTGGTTGTCAAAAATTAAATTTGATCCCAATTTGAATTCTCTTAAGCAATATTTTTAAAATTTTTTAGCAGCAACATCGGCAGTTCGAGGAATTTTATCAAGTATTTTAAGCAACAATGAATCTATATTTGGATCAGAAATTAATTCCACAAAATATGAAGCAATTAGAAAATTTATTAAAAATAAGTCAACAAATGTGGAATTTAAAGATCAATTGCTACAAACAGTAGATTTGCAACGTCTAAAAAATTTAATTTACAGAGATATGGTTTGTGAACATTTTTTTTGAATTTTAAAAAATTTTTTTGACACTTTGACATTTGTCAAAAAAAATTTTTTCTGAAAATTTTTGAAAATTTTTTTGTCAAAAAAAATTTTTTTTGAAAATTTTTTTGACACTTTGACATATGTCATTCTCTAAAAAATTTCATATTTATGAAATTTTTTATTAAAAAAATTTTTTTTATTTTAAAGGAAGAAGTAAAACAAGCACAATTTTTGGCCCTTTCTATTGTCTATTTTTTGTCAGTTTTAATGGTTTCTCGTTATAGAGATATTCTTGAACCTTCACCACAACAACAGATAAATTCAGGAGGAGTAGTTAATTCAGGAAATAATTTAAAGAATAATTCGGTGAATGATGGAAAGCAATCTGGTAAATCTTGAAAAAATTTTTCAAATTGGGATAAAATGTCCAACATTTTTTTTTTTTGCAAAATTTCAAGTATTTAAAGCAGGAATCCTCGTCGTTCTGATTCCGGAAAGCAGAAATTTTTTTATGTCACTTAGGATTTCGGATGGATTTTTATTTGGTTTTTTTATTTTGGCAGTTATTTTTGTTAATTAGGGATGAAATGTCTATTTTCTAAATTTCAATAAAATTTTTTTCTAGTAACCAAAGAACCTGCCAAATTAAATTCAATATCAGAAGAAGATAAAAATGAAGATGAAAATCATTTGAATAATGAAAATGAGGACGAAAAAGAAGATGAAGTTGAAGAAGTAAATGTTGATGAAATAAATTCTAATAAAATGTATGAGGAAGGAAATGAAGAAAAAGCCAATAATGAAATAGTTAAACAGATTTCATCAATTCAGTTAAATGAAAATTCTAATGAAACGAATAATAATAAGGATGAAAATTCGGATACAAATAAATATGAACCTCATCATTTAACTAGGTAAAAATTTTTTAAAAATTTGTCCGCAAAAAAAGTTGCGGACAAGAAGGTTTGTCCGCAAAAAATTTGCGGATGTCCGCAAAAATTTTTTGTTCGCAAAATTTTTTGTTTTAATTTAAAAAATATTTTGATATTTTTCAAGTTTAAATCGACCCGACTTGGTTCTTTCATCAAATGAAAATTCTATTGAAAGAAGACGATATCTTACAGATAAATTACAAAAATCAATAGAACCTGTAATTCCTTTATTCCGAGAAATTTTGTGCGATTTCCGTTCCTTTCTTCAAAAAACGTTATTGGGAACACATGGACAAGAAATTATGAATGATGTTAGAGGTTTTTTTTGTTTTTGAAATTTTTTAAATTTTTTTTTAATTTTTAAAGTTATGCACACACTTAAAAATGGTAGTGTAATAGAAATTGTAATGCTTTTGTGTTCACAAGAATGGCAAACTTCGCTCCAAAAGCATTCTGGTTTAGCATTTATAGAGCTGGTTAATGAAGGTTTGTAAAAAATTTTTTTGAAAAAAAATTTATGGGAAGAGTTTTTTTTAATTTCAACTTGGTTGATTACTACCGGTTTTTAAACGGTCCCCTTGATCTTAGGTTATGTCCTGCTTTCGACCAACAGATTTTGGTTCGGGTAATCCTCCGTAAATGGCCTTAAATCTGCACGTTTGGGATTTTGTGTCTTTTCCTGTTTCCAGTTCCTAGAACATTTTTCTTAACACTGTTAGGAGGGAGCTCTGCTTATTTTTAGGTAATTTTCTATTTACTTTTTACATCCTAAATAATATTTAAATAAAAAAATTTTTTTATTAGGTCGTTTAATGGCTCATGCTACGCGAGATCATATTTTGCGTGTTGCAAATGAAGCAGATTTTATTTTAAATAGACTTAGAGCTGAAGATGTTAGTAAACATGCACAGTTTGAGGTTTCTTTTTAAATTTTTCTTTTGAACATTAAAAAATTTTTAATTTTTAGAGTGAAGTAAATGATCAATTACAGCATAGAAAAACAGAAGAACAACTTTCTAATCAATTAATAATTTCTGCTAGACGTAGAGAATTTATACAATCAACTAAATTTTTGGAAAAAATTGTAAATATATTAACAAGTCCAACGGGCGCTTGGTATTCTGATTTGCAGAAAAATATGTAAGAGGGGTTTTTTTTAATTTTTTCAGAGTGTGAGAACTTTTTTAAATTTGGATTTTGTTTATTTTTTGGATTAGGAATAGGATTGATATTTAAATTTGAGAATACGGGTTAGCACAGTACTGGTAAACCGCCCGGTTAATTTTTCCTTGAAGCGGGTTGTGCTTTTCTTTCCTTGTTTTTTGATCCGCTTCAGGGAAAAATTAACCGGGCGTTTAATCGGTTTTGTTCTACTCTATTCTATATAACAGTGATGTCACGAATTTCCTAAATACCGGATACCTCAATCCGAAACCCTGACGATTTTTTGATCAGAAATCTTACTCGGATAAGAAATCCTACTACCAGTGATATTCCTGCTGTATCTAACAGTAAAAAATTATATAAAATTCAAACGAAAGTTAAATAGAAAAACTTGCGGACAAAATTTGCGGACTTTCGGGATCATAAGAATAGCCAAAAAAAAATAATTTTTAATTATAAATTTTTTAGGCCAAAATTTGAAAAATTGGATGTTTGGGAAGATGATTCACGTATGAGAAGACGTTTTGTACACAATCCTTATGGTCAACGTCATTCAATATCTTCTTCAAACGAAAAAAGAAAAACAAAAAATTTGGAAGAAGAACAAAATAAAATTAAAAAAGATGAAGATTTAAATAAATTATTAAAAGATTTGGCAAGAAAAATGATAGCATCTGGTGGTGTTTCTAAAACAAATAATATATTGCAACAATTTGTTGATGAAACAGAAATTGAAAGATTAATTAGAGAAGAAGAGAATAGTAATAGTGTTAATGCTTCTACTACTAACAATGCTGCTTCTGAAAATAAAAATGGTAAAATCAGAATTTTCGTATTTTTTTGTGTTTTCTTTTAAAAAGTGTAATTCTGGGAAAATCAGAATTTTTGTTTATTATAAGTCAGAATATCCTATAACACAAAAAATCAGAATTCATCAGAATTCTGGTTTAAAAATTCTGATTTTTTTTTAATTCATCAGAATTCTGGTTTTAAAATTTCATTCTTTTCTTAATTCATCAGAATTCTGGTTTTAAAATTCTGATTTTTTCTTTAATTCATCAGAATTCTGGTTTAAAAATTCTGATTTTCTGGAATCCATCAGAATTTTGGTTTAAAATTCTGATTTTTTGTTTCTTGTGGTTATTGGGATATTCTGATTTATAAAAAAGGAATTCTGATTTTCCCAAAATTACTGTTATAATGTAGAAGATTTTTCCTTAGTTCTAGTTTTAAAAAATTGGAATGAAATCAGAATTTTTTTAAATCAGAATTCTTATTTAAACTTTATTCTTTTAATTATTTAATTAAATTTAAAAAATAAATATTCTGATTTTTAATTAATTTATTTTTTGCAGGTCAATCAACCTTCAGCACCTTTGCTAAACTAATAGCCCCAGGCGTTATCGTTCCAGGTAATTTATACATTAAATTTTTTGTATAATTTTACATTATATATTTTTTAAAGGAACAATTACGTTAACCGGTTCTGATTTGTATTTTGATGCTGATGAAGATGACCAATCATTTAAACAAAATTTACAGGTGGGTGAAAAAAATTTTTTTGAAAAAATTTTTTTGGAGGTCGAGAGAGTTTAGATTATTTTTTAGTTTTGGGTTGTTGAGTAAATTTGGGAAATTTTAATTTTTGGGGGTTAACCTGCGCGCGAAAAATAATATTTTTTTTCTAAATTGTTAACACGACATTATTTTTTTTCTAAATATTAGAGAGAAGGGGGGAAAATATTTTGAGGGATATTTCTATTTCCTTTCCTCTATATTAAGTATAAGTATATAATTTTTGTGTGCATTTTTGGGTAAATTATTTGACGGATATTTGGGTTGACACGTCCTCATGTCAAAAGTTGTCATTCTTTCTCTTTTACTCTATTAGGAGAAAAAGATTTTAAAATACTATTAGAGGTTGAAGAGTTTTTTTTTAAGATTTTAAAGTAAAAATAGCCTTTTTCATACCATCTTCTCTTTTCTATAAATTCTTTTTCTTCTAATTGGCGGCCTTCATTTTCTCTTGAGTCATCTTACATTTTGTCTTTTTTTTGTTGTTGATATTTTTCTTGATTTTGTATAGTTTTTTTGGAACAAGTTATCTCGTTTTTTTCTTGGTTGTTGCTTTCTTAGTCTAATTTGTTTAATTTTGTTTTTTTTTATTAAGAGACTAGAAAAATATTTACAAAATGATTTAAATGTAGTAAATAACAAAATTAATTTAAAAAATATATACTATATAATACAGTCAGAAAACGAAAATTTTTAGCTAGTGAGGAATTGTGTTGTCGGCTCTTGAAAAATTTTCGGATATCCAGAACCAAATCGAAAACCCCTCGGTTCTATGAATGTCTGTCAACTGACACCTATATTTACTAACTAGGACAAGTATGCGTTAATGGTACATTTCTAATAATAACTATGTGTGACTGTAATATATTTTGAATAAGAAAAACAAAAAAATAATCCCAATTTATTAGTATTAACAAATTTGTCTTCTTTGGCTATAATCTCTCTAAAGATTTTACATCCAACATTAATTGTCTTACTAATGCCCAGACAGCTTTTGCACTTTCATCTAACGATTTTGTTGACTTTCCTCTTAATAAATCTAAATGAGGTAAAAAGAAATGAGGACATCGTCGACATTGTAAACAGCTAACTAATTGAAGTAGAATTCCTTTAAGAAAAAAATTTTTTGATTGAGATTTTAGGTAAAATTGTGAGCCAGACATACCGGGACGGCTTATATGGGTTTTGATTTAAAACAAAAACTTCTCTTCAATAGGACAATGTACCCAATGGCCTTAGGTCGGTATTCAGTGGATTTAGGCCGTCCCCGTCCCTCTACGTCTGGCTCCCAAAAAATTTTTTTAAATTAAAACCAATAAGTCTGTCTCCAATACAAAAATCATGCCATTCATTATCACTATAATGTTTCTCACATTCATAAAGTACCAAATTTTTAATCAAATAATTTGTAACACTTGACCCAGCAAAATTTAAATGTCTATCTCTCAAAGTTTTTAAAATTGAAAAAACGCGTCCTCTATTAATATGTTCAAGTAATATTTGTTCTGCTTGTGTCATACTAATCATCCAAGCATCACCTTCCATCATACTACTACTACTTGAATTTGTTGTCATTGTTGTTGTATTATTTAATTGTTGGGGTTGTTGTAATAATATTTGGTTATGTTGTTGTTTATTTGTTATAGTTGTTGATGTTGAAGAAGAAGATATTGGCCATATATCTTTACTTAAAAGATTAAATCCTTCAATTCTAACTTCTTTTGCTACTTCAGCACTAGGCCATTGTATTTGGGGACTTGGCCAATGATTTGCTGAACGAGGCCAAATTCCATTACATCGAAAGGCACAAGTTAGCTGAAATCAAACATATTTTTTCGAGAAATTTTTTAGACTTTTGTGAACCTGAACAATATATTTTCCATAAACCAAAAGTTTAACATCATTCCCCTCTTGTAAAAATTTACATTTTTCATTAAATGGAGGTTTTTCAATTGTTTGTGTAACAAGTGTTTGAAATCGAGAACGTATCTTTCTTGCAGATAAGTATCCACTTGCAGTAATAAATTCAACCCATAGAGACATTGATCTTTTACGTCCATCACTTAGTTTTAAAACGGCACAACCAGGAATTGATCCATCATCAACAAAATTAAAAACTCCCATCTTAAAAAGTTGAGAGATTTTTTTATACGAAGGCATGGCTTCTGTGGTACGACTTCCCCGTTGAACTTAGTTGTGAGGTTGATCGTAGTGGGCGGCTCGGAATGGGATAAATCCAGAGCTAAATTTTTGAGTGTGGAGGGTATAACGTGAGCGCTTTCCCTTTTAAATCAAGCTTATTAGGCCTATAGTCTCTGTGTTGGCAAAAACTAAATATTAATTTTACTTGGTTGAGATAGAGTATAACTTCAAATTCATTTGACGAATGAACTTCTAACTTTAAAAAATTTAATTTTTTGATTCAAAAATTTTTATGTCTACTTACTCCTTCAAATAAGCCATCATTCTTTTGAATAAACGTTGAGATGAATCGGGGTTCCTAAAAAATTGGATTTTGAGATTTTTCGGGGTTTTCTAGATGCTTTTTCTTGATTTTCTTTTTTTATCTCATTAAAAACTAACCAAATGCTCAACATTTTTAAGTACATCCTGAATTACTTCGCTTACTAAAATTATAGCTTTTTGTATTTCCATTTTTCGGGCTTGGACTTTATCATTAATAAATAAATTTATTTGTTGATAACAAGCTGCGTTCTGGCAAAGCATTATTATTTTTATTGCTAAAATTAAAGAAAAATTTAAATTTGAATAGAGATCGGACTGTGAGGTCGTACGAGAATCGTATAAGAAGTAATCCAGATCTCGTTAACCGAGATCTATAGGTTCGAACTTTCGTACCGGTCCGTTTGCTAGTTTAGAATGGGCCTTAATTTTTAGATTTTTAAAATTAAATTTTAAGTAATTGTTTGCCCTTGGTTAAAGAAAATTAAAGAAAAATAATTAAAAATAACATAATTTTGTAAGTCATAATTTTTAACCACGTTTAAAAGCTTTCTTATATTTAATTTAAAAAAACACGGAAATTAAATATAGAGAGATAAAACAAAAAATTGTATACAAAATAATTAATTAATCATTATTTTTTTCTCTTTTTTTTTGAGTAGTGCGCGACGCTATAATTAAAAATAACACATTTATTATCAATAATTAATAAACCGCAAAAAAAGTATTATTTTTTGACATTAAAAAAAGGGAGGAATATATTATTGTTTTTGGGGAATAATTGTGAAAATGAATTTTATTTTGTGTGAAAAAAATGAGAAAAATATATTTAAAACTTGGCGAGTAAAATTGTTTTTGGAGGCAGGCGCTAAAATTTGAGAATAAATGGAAAAAGGAAAAATAAAGGGGGAGGAAAGAATAGGAGGCGCACTGTAGTATCATTTAGGTAGTTGAAAATTGAATTAGCGAGAAGTAAAAAATTTTTCTTAAAAAGTTGGCCCCGCCTTTTTGATTTTTGTAATTTAATTAAGGAAAAATATTTTTCTGTAGAAATTTTGAAAAAATAGGTTTGCAAAAAGTTTTTTAAAATTCTATAAGTTGTAGAAACATTTGTGGACTGAATTTGCGGACAATCACTAAAAACACCCTCCATACATATTAGAGTTCTATATTGCCAAAATTGAAAATTGAATTAGCAAGAAGTAATGTTAATCCACAAATTTTTGAGACATGACTAGCCTGCGATAATATTATTTTTGCGAATCCGTAAGCCAGATTATGAATTTTTATTTATTTATTTTTTTTTAATTCGGCCCGGTTTTATTTTGATAAAAACTGTTGATCACCTCAATTGCCCAAACGTTTGCATATTTCCAGTTTTCCTAAAGTCCGCAAATTGTTATCCGCAAATTTTCTCTGAACTTAAAAACTAATATATTGTTATTATTAATATCACCAATTGATCGGTTATATAAATTCTCCGACTGGTTAATGATTGTGGGTGTGTATTGTTTTAATTTATATATTAGGTAGAAAGGAAAAAAACAATCGACAATTGTTTTCTTAAAAAAGTTAATTTTTACTGACACATTTTTGAAAAATGAGTAAGAGAGAAGGTAAAGTTAAAAAAAGTTGGGGATTTTAGTATAATAATAAAATTGTGCAAAGATTAATTTTACGAAGAGTTTATTTTTTGGAATTTTTATGTGATTTTAAAAATTGCTATAGAGGGAGATAGGACTGATAAGACAGACGAGATCAACCTTTTCTCAAGATCTTCAGTTTCCGGGGATAAGTGCTCCATTCCTCTGCAGTGGAGGATTCCCCCGGAGTCCCCATCCCTTTTGATCGATCATCAAATCATGTTTCCTTTGTACTAACAAGGAACCATCGTTTACTGTGACTGCGAATTTGGTATATTTTTTGGTACCATTCGATAGAGGATCCTCGACTTAGTATCGTGGCGTTATCCTTTTTCTTGCAAAATTAGTTTGGGCCGAGTTATGGCCGTTCAAAGTTTCAGTCCATGGGAGTGGTTGAGTATAATGAAAAAAGCTAAAAGAAGCGCGCTGTTACTTTTATCCACTCTCTCTGCTTTCCTCACATTGTCTTACAAAGAGGAAAAAAGAATGCAAGAGGCGCGAAGAAAAAAATAAGGGAGAAAAATGTCAGACACTATAAATAAAGAGAAGGGGCGTGGCTTGGTTCTTTGAGGATGAAAAATAAGAGAGAAATTGTTTATTTACCCCATAACTTCATACTCTAGCGTCTAACTTTGAACGGCCATAACTCGGCCCAAACTAATTTTGCAAGAAAACGGATAACGCCACAATACTAAGTCGAGGGTCCTCTATCGAATGGTACCAAAAAATATATCAAATTCGCAGTCACAGTAAACGATGGAGATCTAGCTGTCTATCATGTAAACGCTTACTAGGGGGAGTTTATGACCTCATTAAAAAATAAGGCAAACTCGCGCCTTGAGTAGCTGCTAAGTCGCTAGTGCATTTGGCGTGTTGAGCAAGAGCACCTGGCGTGACTGCCAGGAGGTCACAGAATCGATGCCTACCAGAGGCAAAACTTTTTCCTTTTTTAATTTTATATGAAAATTTTTTAGAGTCTCCAATACTGTGACAATTTACACCATTCCCGATGGAATTTTCAAGAAATTCGTGCAATTTTCCTTCGTCGATTTTTACTTCAATATACATCGTTGGAATTATTTTTGGATTCGAGAAGTTTGTTTTTAAAATTTTTTATAAGAAAAAAAAATAATTTTTTAAAGCTGCTATAATGTTTGCTTTCCGCGATATGGAAACTGTTCAACGTGTTGTTTCTTTATTGCCTCCTGTTGGTGTTGGAGTTAAATATGGATTACCTCAAAGTAGAAAATCGAGTTTAATGACTCCATGGCAATTATTTAAGCATTCTAATATGCCTCAGGTTTTTTTTATAAAAATTAATTTATATGGCTTCACAGCAGGGAGGGATGGGTTAATCGCATTCGGATTTTCTTCCGGTTTGAGAACCGATCTGAGGAGAATTTTGAAGACCCGACCCCAAGAAACTCGCGCTGAAAAAACTTTGAAGACCCGACCCTAACCCGACTTGATTTTTTTCTCAGTCCGTTTTCTCTATGCCTTACAAAATTTTTAGGAGTTTAAGGTGGACCTTATTTATATATGGGACACATCTTAAATTGAATTTTTCGGGCACCTAATTTTTTTCGTGTGTTTATCAACCTATTGACCAGCCAAATCTTAAAAGTCTATTAGATGTTCCTTTTATTTGATATCTCTTATAATGAGTCCGGCTTTTTATCCGCATCAGCTTTTAAAATTTTCTCTTTTATTAAATTAAATTTTCAAAAATTATTTTTTTCCAGAAATGGCAACAAAGAGAAATATCTAATTTTGATTATCTCATGTTTTTAAACACAATAGCTGGCCGTACTTATAATGATTTAAATCAATATCCAGTCTTTCCTTGGATTTTGAGCAATTATTCTTCTGGTTTTCTTTTTATTTTTAAATTTGATTTTTTATAATTTATTATTTTAGAAAATATTGATCTAAATGATGCAGCAAATTTTAGAGATTTGTCAAAGGTTTAATTTCATTTTTTTTTCTTTTTGGGATTTTTTGTGGACTTCCCCTGCCTTTATGACGATTAGTTTTGGTTACTTTATATCAGGGCTAGGCTCCAAACTTGGAACATTCGGACTTGGGACATTATCTTTCGTTTTCCACTTTTAAAATTCAAAAAGGCCCATCCCTGTTATGTATATTAAATTTGTGTTCATTTTTTGGTTATCCTGCTAGTTTTATCGGCTAAAATTTCTTAAAAAATTGGCTCAAACCAATTCCACTCTTCTTTTATAATTTTCAAATCTTTTTAAAATTAATTTAAAATTTTCTCTAGCCAATTGGTGCATTATCCGAAACACGAAAAAAATTATTTAAAGAACGTTTTAATAATTGGGATGATCCAGAAATTCCACCATTTCATTATGGAACACACTATTCAAATGCAGCATTTGTTCTAAATTGGTTATTTCGTTTAGAACCTTTTACAACATTTTATTTACAATTAAATGATGGCAAAATTTTTGAAAATGTCAATTCAAATCGCCTATTTCATTCAATTGAAGAAACTTGGGAACATTGTTTAACTGATACACATGATGTAAAAGAATTGATTCCAGAATTATTTTATTTGACAGAAATGTTTTTGTTTAATGAAAATAATTGTGAAGAAGAGAAGAATTTGGGAATTAGAGAAGATGGAAATAAAATTGGGAATGTGATTTTACCTAAATGGGCTAATGGAAAAGCTGAAGAATTTGTTAAAATACATAGAAAGGCTTTGGAAAGTGATTTGGGTTAGTTTTCAATTTTTTAAATTTTTGCGGTTTTTTGGATTTTTTGCGAATTTTTGCGGATTTTTCGGATTCTTTTGCGGATTTTTTTAATTTTTTTACGGATTTTTTAATTTTTGCGGATTTTTATGAATCCAATTAAACTTTATTAGTCCAATGAACTTTTTTATGTCCGCGGAATATTTATTCGTCTAATAAAGACACATCTTCAATCAAATTGGACACGTAAAGGTCTATTGGACTCATAATCTAGGCCAGAACCTAATTTTGTAGAATTTTTGCGGACAGTTTTTGCGGACTTTCTGAATTTTGTGAATAAATATAATATAAAATAATACTGTTTTATTTAGAAAAAGACAAGAAAAAGTCCGCAAAAAATCTTTTTCTTTTCTTTACAAATTTTGGGTATTCAAAAAAATTTTTTTCAAATTTTTTAGTTTCTTGTCAATTAAATCAATGGATTGATTTAATTTTTGGTTATAAACAACGTGGAGCTGAAGCGGTTTAGTTTTTTTTTAATTTTTATAATTTTTACCTTTTTTAAAATTTAGATTCGTGCATTAAATACTTTTTATTATTTAACTTATGAGGGGGCATTTAATTTACGTTCAATAGAAAATGCTGCTTTGAGGGAAAGTATACAACAACAAATATTAAATTTTGGACAAACTCCTGCACAATTGCTAAATGAACCACATCCTCCTAGACATTCTATAATGACTATGGTTTGTTTAAGAAAAAAATTTCTTTTTTTAATTTTGAGAAAACAATTTTTAATTTGGGAATTTTTTTTAGATTTTCCCCTATTTTTTAATTCCAAAGCAATTAGTAAATAATTAATTCTTAAATGAAATATGGGACGTTAAATACGACTTTAAGTATTAGTTGTTTATGGTGTAATGGATAGTGGTTTAGATTTAGTTTTTGATGGTCGTGGGTTCGAAGCCTTTTGGTGGAAATAATTTTTATTTTGATCCAAAAACATTTTTATTTAATTTTGAGGATAATAATGGTCTAAAAAATTTTTTATAAATAATTTTTTCAGAGCCCTCTAATATTCAAAACTTGCCCTAATGATCTTTGTATGATCATGAAATTTATTTCAAATAGTCCAGTTGTGCATATTACTGCAAATACTTTTCAACAAGTAGATAATCCAACACTAAGTTTGTTTTTTTTTAATTAAATTTTAATAAAATTATTTTTTAAAGTAACTATTGCGCAAAATTTGGTGTTTGCTTTGAATCGTTGGAATCCAAATTATAATCGTTTGTTTTTTAAATTTGTAATTTTTTGGGTTTTGCGGATAATTTTCTGCGGATTTTTTTAAAATTTTGACGGGGACGTTTTTTTAAGAAATTTTCAGTTTTAAAATATTTTTAGGATTAATATAGATATGAGGCTTTTGCGAAAATAACGATTTTTTTAATTAAAAGAAAAGTCCGCAATAATTTGTCCGCAAAAACATTTTGCGGATTTGTCTAGAAAATTATTTTTTTATTTAATTTTAGTAAAATATTTTTAATTTTAGAACCTTCTAAACAACATTCATCTACAGTTGTACCTCCTTTTGATGCGGAAAAAAATGAAAATAATAAAAATAATAATGCTACTTCATCATCTTCAACTTCCTCAGTTAATCAACAGTTAGATACTTCTATTTCACCATCAGAACTTCCAATAACAGTAGATCCTCTACTTGCAGTTGGAAATCCTTCACAAAAATTGCCTAAAAGACATTTGGGTTGGATTTTTAATAAAAAAAATTTTTTTCAAAGAAAAATCCGCAAATTTTTGTCCGCAAAAAATTTTTGCTGACAAAAAAAATTTTTTTCGGCTTTTTAAAATTTTTTAAATTCATTTTTTAATTTTTTTCTTTTATTATAAAGGCGATTCTTTTGATCAAAGATTGCAAATAACCTCAGCCAATTTTGTTTGTTCAGTAGACAGTAAATATATAATTGCTTGTGGTTATACAGATTATAGTTTTAGAATTATAGAAACTGAAAATGGTTTGCTTTTTTCATTTTTTATTTTAAAAATTTATAAAAATATTTAATATTTGAAAAATAATTCAATTTTTTGGGATAAACCTAAATTACTTAAAAATTTTACATAATCATCTATATGGTGTAGTGGTTAACCACTTAGTTTTCTGACTAATAGTAGTCGTGGGTTCGATTCCTATCGATTCAATTAATTTTTATTTTAATGGAACAAATATTTTATTTATTTTTTTAGAATTTTTAAAAATTATTTTTCATTTGAAAAATAATTTTGGATTTTTGGAAAAATATCTCAATTATTTTGAAAAAAATATTAAAAAAAGAAAATATGGGTTAATTTGTTCTCGATGGTGTAGTGGTTAACCGTTTAGTTTTCGATAGGTGAAATAGTTGAGGGTTCGAATCCTTTTTGCTGAAATTAATTTTTATTTTAATGAAAAAATATTTTTATTTAATTTTCTAACAAATAATCTATTAAAAAATATTTAAAAAATTAATTTTATAGCACAAGTTAGACAAGTAATTTATGGACATGGAGATGTTGTAACATGTTTAGCACGTTCAGAAACTACACTTTTTGCTGATAGTTATATAGCTTCGGGAAGTGCTGATTGTACAGTTGTTTTGTGGCATTTTAGTCAAAATACTGGGACTATAGCTGGAGAATTTAATTCTGTTGGGGAATTGCCTGTACCGAGAGCTATATTGACTGGGCATGAAGCTGTTATTACAGGTTTATTTTTTTTTTGAGAGGGGGAAGTTTTTTAAATTAATTTTATTTTAGCAATAACTGTGTCTGCTGAACATGGACTTGTTATTTCTGGAGCAAAAGGTTTATTTTTGTTTCATTAAAAATTTTTTTTGAAAGGGATAGTTTTAGTTTCTTTGTTTAGGAGGGAATTCTCTTCCTATATGAACGGGCCAACTTTTTAAGTGATCGAACTTTCATTTCGGAAGGACTGGTACTCCGTTGACCCCCAACCCTCCCCATTTTTTCATCAAGTAATGTTTTTTTAATTTTGCCAGTTCCCTTATGTTTTTTGCATACCCCCGAAAATTGATTTTTAATTCTTTAAATTAAAAAAAATTAATAATTTTTTCTTTTTTTTATAGACGGAACATTATTAATACACACAACAATGGGTGATTTTCTTCGAAATATTGAATTTAATAACGGAAATTTATCAACAATTAATCAAATTTTGTTAAATAGAGATTGCCAACTTGCGGTTTGAATTTTTTATAAATTTTTGAAGAAAATTTTTTTATTTTTAAAAAATTTCAGAAAATTCAAATATTGGAAATTTTGTTGAAAATTTTTTTGAAATTTTTTGAAGATTTTTTTTGAAAATTTTTGAAAATTTTTTTGAAATTTTTTGAAAATTTTTTTGAAATTTTTTAAAAATTTTTTTGAAAATTTTTTTAAAATTTTTTTTATTTTTTGAAGATTTATTTTTATTTTTTAACATAATTTTCAAAAAAATTTTTCCTTTAAATTTAAAGATATTCCATGGTTTACAACAAAAATTAATTTCAACATTCAGCGTTAACGGAAAATTTCTTGGCCAAATAGAAATTCAACATGAAGGAAAAATTTTATCTTCAGTATTATCCAGAGATGGAGAATATTTTATTATTGGAACAGAAAATGGAAAAATTTTAATTTTGCGCCTATTTCCTTTAGAATTAATTTATTCTTATGCACAAACTGATAGTTCAATTAAATCTGTTGCTATTTCAACAAATCAAAAATTTGTTTTTGGTGGATTAGATAGTGGGGCTATTGTAAGTTTTGAAAAATTTTTATAAAATTTTTTTGGGAAGCAAAATTGATTTTTTAAGGAAAATATATAAGAGCTTACTGAACATTAATGCCCCCCCAACATCCGCCAAGAAAAAAATTTTTTTCAATTTCATTTAGGAGCGAAATTATAAATTATGTGTGAATGATTATCTTGTGTGGGATTAATCCCCAAGATTTTGTCAATTTTGAAAATTATTAAAAGTTATTCTGGAACGGGGGATCCCCTCGTACATTATCTTCTAGGATCTCGTTTATATAATATTTCTCTTTTTTTGCTCTTTGTTTTTACTTATATCTCACGGGATGGCTTATTAATATCCCAATTACTCTGCGCTATATCCAGGGATTATATAAGCTCCTAAATTTTACATTCTATCAAACTCCTCAAAATTTTAATAAAAATTTTTAAAGGTTGTTTTCAATGTTGATTTTAATCGTTTTGATACTTGTAGACAACAACAACAAACAATCCAAAGACGAAAATAAAATTTAGGAAAAAAAATTTTTTTTAAATAATACTTAATTAAAAAAAATTTTTTAGGGGGGAAAATCTGTGAAAAAATAAATAATGCTCACAAATTTATATAAAAAAATTGTGGCAAATTAAAATTTAATTTCACTTTAATTTTAAGAAATTATCTTATTTTTATATTTTCTTTTTGTTGCTATTTGTGATGCTTAATTTTAATTTAATTAATTTAATTAATTAATTATAATTTAATATACCTACACCTAAATATGTCCCCTTGTCTATTCATTCTCTCTATTATTATTTTTTTTCTTTCTTCGATTGTTTTTTTTTAATTTTTTGGATAAAATGAGACATTTTTAAATTTAAAAGTAAATTCCAAAAATTGAATTTTTATTTTTTAATATATCTTTTTTTATTGAAATTATCTCGGATCTTACTTATGTGATGTTGACCAGGGATTCACGGGTTGAGGAAAAAAAGTTGAGTCGGGGTTTCAAAATTTTTCTTCGGATCGAATTTCGATTCGAAAAATGTCAGGGTTTGGATATCGGAGAACTTGTGACCTCCAAGATGCATACACTCTTACTTTACTGTTTGGTTACTAAGTCCGCAAATGTCGTTCCGCAAGTGTCGGAACACCCAGAGGATTTCCTAGGCAATACCCCTCATTTGGTATACCCCTAGTTTTTTTTTGAAAATTTTCAGCCTAAGGCTGTCTACATAAGTGAGGTCCGACTAAAAAAATTTTTTTTTAATTATTGAATAAATTAATTTAATTTTTTTCAGATTTTCTTTCAACTACTAATAAAATTTCTTTTTTGTGCTACTTGTTGTCTTCTTTTTAAATTTCTTTGGACAGCTGTTTGTATTCCAACAAATTTTTTACATTTTTCTGCTCCATCCTCTGCAAGCCTTGCTTCTTGAACAATTATGCGGGTAGGTACAAGACGGAATGGAAAACTTGGCTGTATAAATTGACAGGAGAAGGCATAGACATTCATACAGGCAATCTGAAAAATTGTTTAAAAATTTTTGGAAAATTCTCAAAAATTTTTTTTTGGTGAAAAAATTTCAAAACGAATTTCAAAAATTTCAGGAAAATTTTTAAAATTTTAGAAAAATTTCCTAAAAAAATTTTTTCGAATTTTTTTTTGTTGAAAAAACCTGTTCCTGAACAAGACCTTCTCGACATTCAGTTCTGTCTTCTCCATTGATTCCTCTTAAAATTTAAGAATAAATTATTTTTAAAATTTTATACAGCAAGTTTGTCCAGTCCGTGTGATTTTTAATTTTTTTAATACTTAAAAAATATTTTTGATTGGTCCGCAAATAACGTCCGCAAATTTTTAAATTTTTTCTGGACAAGATTTCTAATTTTATTCTGTAATATGTATAAAAATGGAAGAGCATTTTTTAAAGATACGGAAAAATATTAGGACAACGAAAAAAAATATTAAAAAATTTTTTTTTAATATTTGCGGACAACTTTATTTTTTTGCGGACAACTTTTGCGGATTTTTTAAAATTTAATTTATTATTTTTTTATTATTTTTTATTGGTTAATTTTTTTGATATTATTAATTTAATTTATTTTATACCTTTCATTATTTTCCCCTCCATTTTCCTTTTCATTTTGTAACAATCTTTTTTCCATTCTCATCCAATAATTACCACGTTGCTTTCTTAAACATTCTCTTAATCTAATGGCTAAAAGCTCGGCTAAAATCTTTTTAAAAAGAAAATAAAGAAAGAAAATATTTATTTATATATTACCTTTTCTTTTTTATGTTTAAGCAAATTTGGAGGAAATTTAAGACGAAAGCTTTTAGCCATTGTTTCTGCTCCTTTAGGACAATCTGTGAGGGGAAAAATTATATTTTTAATTCTGAAATATTTTAGAATTATAAATTCTGAATTTAAAAATCACAATTAACAAATCAGAATTATAAGTCAGAATTAAATATCAGAATTTAGAAACCAGAACCAAAAAATCAGATTTAACAAATCAGAATTATAAGTCAGAATTAAATATCAGAATTTAGAAACCAGAACCAAAAAATCAGAATTAACAAATCAGAATTATAAGTCAGAATTAAATATCAGAATTTAGAAACCAGAACCAAAAAATCAGAATTAGAAATCATAATTTAAATATCAGAATTTAAGACCAGAATTTAAGAATCAGAATTAAAAATCAGAATTTAAAAATCAGAACTAAAAACCAGAATTATTAAATCAGAATTTAAAAACCAGAACTAAAAATCAGAATTTAATAATCAGAATTTAAAAATCAGAATTTTAAAAATCAGAATTATAAAATCAGAATTTAAAATTTCAGAATTAAAAATCAGAATAATTAAAAATAATTAAAAATAATTAAAAATAAAAATCTCTCTACTTTTACTATTTTCTCTTTAATATACTCTTTTTGAACTTTTATTTTTATTTTTCCAACTTACTTGTAATATCAAAATCCTGTCTAAACCAACTTTCCCATTTTTGATCTAATACACCCCAAGCAGTTGATTTATTTGAAGAATTATTTTGTTTTCCTTTAGTTAATTTTTGGGGTCGTATAGTAGTAGATGAAGAAATGGACTTTTGAGTGTTTCCATTATTGTTGTTTTCAACAAGTGATGGGGGGACTGTTATTGGCTATAAAATAAAAGGGGATATAAAGGGATTTTTTGAATGAATTTTTTATTGAGTTTTTAAGTGTTTTTTATTTTAAGACTGTCCGCAAATTTTTTCCGCAATTTTAAAATTTTTATTTTTTACTAAATTTTGTCCGCAAAATGTGCCTGCATTTTCAAATTTTTTACTATTTTTAAAAAATTGTCCGCAAAAAATTTGTCCGCAATTTTTTATTTTAAATTTGTCCGCAGATTTTTGTCCGCAATTTTTTCATTTAAATTTGTCCGCATTTTTTGTCCGCAATTTTAAAATTTTTATTTTTCTCTAAATTTTGTCCGCAAAATTTTGTCCGCATTTTCAAATTTTTTACTATTTTTAAAAAAATTTTTTCTTCCATTCCTTGTACCTGAACATTCCCTCTCTCAACAAATCTGGGTAACTCAACAAGATTAGGAAGTACTGGTAATGGTGTTTTTTGTTGCTGTTGTGTTTGTGTATTATTAATTGTTGTTAGGAGTGTTGTTGTTGTTGGTAGAGTCGTTGTTGTCGGAAGAGTTGTTGTTAATTCTGTTGTTGTCTCTGTTGGCGGTGGTGGTGTGGGTGTGGGTGTTGTCGGGGGTGGGGGTGTGGGGGGTTGTGTCTCTGGTGTAATATCTTGATTAGCTGCAATTTCAACCATATTTTGTTCTTCTTCTGGTAATGTTTCAGGCAATTCAAATTTTGTGTTTGCAAAGGATTGGTGTTGGCAGTTAATTAAATTTGTAAATTGAAGTAGAAGAAAATTGAGAAGGGGAAAAATGAGAAGAAGATTCATTTTTCTGTTTTCTTTAAAAAATTTTTTTTGGTTTTGATAATGTGTTTTTTGATTTTTGGTTATTGTCCGCAAATATTTTTGCGGACTTTTATTTATTTCTTTAGTTGGATTTTTTAATTGGATTTTTTAAAAATTATCTTTCGAGTTTTTCTCACGATATTTTTGGAATTCTAATGACTGAGGTTAAATACGAGTATCCAGATATCCTTTTTGCCGTTGTCCGCAAATTTTTTGCGGACTTCTGTTTTTGTGTAAATTTTTGTTTTTGTTGTTTTCACACAAAACGGATTTTTTGTTTTGTGTGTGTGAATATACAAATAAGTAAATTTACTATAAATTTTATTTAAAAAACATGAGAAAAAAATTTTTTTGGACAGAAAAAATATTTGCGGACATTAAAAAAATCTTTTAAAATAAAATAATTAAAATATATGTAGATATTTTCACTTTTTTTAATTTTTTGACCAGTTGTTATTTTATTGTTTTATTTATTGTTTGGTGTATCTACATGCGTGAATAAATTTTGGGGGAGAAAGAAAAATAAAAATAAATATTTTTATATATTAGCCATTGGAGAGGGGGAATTGTCGTCACCTTGTGGCGATTTTTCTTCTTCTCTCATAGCTCGTCTCTCTGTCTTGATTTTTATTTATCCTAAAGATCACTATCTCTTGAATGATTTATTTAAATTATTTTTGTGTAGTTGAGGCGGACAATATATTTCTTTTCTTTTTTTTAAGTCTTTAATTCTTTATTTTTTTTGTCCGCAAGTATTGTCCGCAAAACTTGTAGTTTTTTGCTTGAGCATACCTCGATTTGGACTTATCCTTATCTCCTCTTACATAGATAAGTTTTGTGAGGGTAACTGATTTTTTGTGATTTTAGTTTTTGAGTTTTTAATTTTTTATTTTGAGTTTTTAATTTTTTATTTTGAGTTTTTAATTTTTGAAAAAAGTCCGCAAATTTTGTCCGCAAAAATTTTTTGTCCGCAAAATTAAAAAAATTTTTTTTTGAATTACCAATATTTCTTCTACATTTTTAACTCCTTTTTTGATTTAAACATTTTTTGTGTGATCTTTTGGAATTTTTAAAAATATTTTTTTCCTCTTTTCATCTTTTTTGAGATAAAATTTTTTTGGAGAACAAAAAAATTCTTTTCTTTATTTTGCCACTTTTATTCTCTCATCTCTCTTTAAAAAATAAATATCTACAAATAATATAAAAATAATTGCGCGACCAATCGAGCGAAGAAAAAAATTTTTTGTTGTTGCTATTCCTCTTTTTTCATGAAAAATACCAAAAATCTCCACGGCTTTTGGTGTTGTTTTTGCTGAAGAGAAGGGGAGGGGGAGGGGAGGGAGGAGATATTTCCTTTTTTTATTATCCGCTTTGTAAAAAGAGATGAAGTGAGAAAATTAAAAATTAGCTTTTTTATAATGAAAATAAACAGCGGGAATGAACGGATTAAAAAGAAATTATTTTTTAAAGAGGGAGGGGGAGGTATTTTTAAATTTTTTGAATTATTTTTAATCTAAAAAATCCGCAAATTTTGTCCGCAAAAAAATTTTTATCTGCAAAATTTTTTGTCCGCAACTTTTGTCCGCAAATTATGTCCGCAAAATTTTTTTGTCCGCAAAAATTTTTTTGTCCGCAAATATTGTCCGCAACTTTTGTACCTTAAAAAAATCCGCAAAAATATCCGCCAAATTAAAAATTGATTTTATAATATTTTTCATTTTCCATTTCAAATTTAAAAAATTTTAAACATTAATTTTATTATTATTCCCCTCTTAAAAATCTCTTCAAATCCCCCTTCAATAAAAAAAAATACTTTTTTTTTATTCCCATTAATATTTACCCTTTTTTCTTTTATTTATTTATATCGATTTAAGTCCCCCCAATCTTTCCACGCCATTTTTATCTGTCCTTTCCTTTCAACTCGCAATTTTTTTTTCTTGACAATTTTGTTCTTTCTCAGCAACAAATGCCGTTGTAATTTATAAATTAGTATATAGGACAATTCGCCAATTAATGGAAAATATTTAATTTGGTCGAAGGAAAATTAAAAAAAAAATTTTTTTATGAAAGAAATTTTTTGCTAAAGTTGAGATGCTTTGATAAAATATATAAATAAAATTTTTGGATATGTTGAGAGGGAAAGATTTTCGCTTTCCTACGTCCTGTTTCCCCATTAAAAAATAGTTTTTTGGGTAATATTTCACTGTGTGACAAAAATAAATATTTTTCCCTTTATGGCGAAGTGAAAGATTTGGTGAAATGTAATTTAAAGAATCGAATTTCGTGTCTTCACATTTGACCAAAAACATATTTTGCCAATAAGGCTAAAATTCACGTTTTGCCAACAGTCTTTTGTGACAAAATGGAGGTTTTTAGCCTTATTGGCAAAATGTGTTATTGGTAAAATATGGAAGAGCAATTGAATTTTCCTTTTCTATTCTTCTCTCTTTATTTTTCTCTGTTTCTTTTTTCTCTCTTCTTCAACATTTCTCTCGCTTCAATTTGTTTCTCTTTTTTCTCTTCTTTCTCTCTATTTTTCTAATAATCCCAAAGTAAATATTTGACGAGAATGATGCTAGAGAGTGACTTGGCCAATAATTCCTTAAGCACTTGGACACGGTTTTTTTCTGTGCGTGTTTGTGAAAGGGGTTAAGAAGAAGAAAGAAACAATGAACAGGAGAGAGAGAATGCCGTCAGCCCTTCTTAAGACCTCAAAAAAAATATTGGGAGGCGACAAAATAAAAAGGAAAAAAAAGTTGGCCATCGAATAAAAAATTTTTTTTTGTTTCTTTAGTCACTTCTTTTCTCAGCTCTTATTTTTTAAATTTTGTGTTCAAAATCAAAAACTTTTTAAGTTTTTTTTATATTTGTTTAATATTCTTTCTTTTTATTTAATTCCTCTCTTGCCCTTGTTTTAAATTTTTATTTTATTTTTTTCTTTGCACTCATCGCCACGCAGCCAGCGTGTGTTGATCATCATCTGATTATCGCCTTATATTTTCCTCTTTACTCTTTTTCTCTAACCTTTTTTCATACTGTTCTAAAGGGAATGTTTTTCTGTTATGAGTGATTTTCCTTGAGATAAAGCCACGCAAAATTTTTTTTAATTTTTTAATTTTTTAGATTCAAAACTGAAACTGGAGGTCGTTAATTCTTCTCCAAGTCGCTCCACAAATGGAGTTGGATCGTCTTCTATTCATCAACAACAACAAACACCCTCCTCATCATCCTCAAATTTTCACTTGCCTGAATTAAAACCTGTGATTAACAATAATGGTAATCATCACGATGGTGCTAATGAAAGTCAAAATGTTTCTACTGAAGAAGGTTTTTTCTTTAAGAAAATTTTTTTGGAACGAAGCCAAATTCGAAGCCAAATTCTGTAGGTATCTGGGTACTGGAAAAATCCAGGCCTTTGTCCAGACCCTGCTCGATCTCTATAGGTCAGATATAAAAAAGATGCATAATAGATATCACTTCCTTTAATAAGAAATGGAAGTTTGGATTCTCTGACCATTATGAGACCTTTTTGATTATTGTTCGCAAAAATCCGCAAAAACTGTCTTGGGATAGCCACCAAGTACCTTTTTATTCTTTCAGAAATTAGCGCTTATGACCGTCAACAACAACAAATTGAAATTGCTATAGCTGCAGCTATAAATGGAGGAAGTATTACCAGTCCTTTCCGTGAAAGTGATGGTGGAGGTGGTGCTTCTTCCTCTTCATTTACTTCAAGTAATGATGAATTTTTGCATCGTTTAGTTAATGCTGTTAGAAGAGAACCTTGTTTATATAATCCAAATGATGAACATCATGGAAATAAACATTCTAGTGCGCAATACAGGGTTTTTAATTTTAATATTTTTTAAAAATATTTTTATTGGGTTTTTGGGGGGTGGAATTGTTCATATTTGTCAATCAATGGGATATTTGTAAATAAATATAGCTTGAAATTTTATCTTTTTTCTATGTTGGGTTTTGGTGTAGTTGGAAGCGTCTTGGTTTTAGCTCTCATAGGTCAGTGGTTCGACCACCACTGCGGGTTACTTATTAATATTTTCTTTAAAATCTTTATCTAACTGTCTTTTACTTTTTTAAAAACATTTTCCCTATCATTAAAATTTTTTAAAGGCTGCTGTTTGGCAAAGACTTGTAAAAGAATTAAATTACCATGAAGATGCCCATTCTCTCCAAACTCAATGGAAACGTCTTAGAGAGCGTTATGTTAGAGAAAGACGAAGAAAAGCTGCAAAAGATTTTTTTGATCCCCTTACTGGAGGTGTTTCTTCTGTCAAAAATTTTCATTTGATGCATTGGATAGATGAATTCCTTCCTGATTTATCCAATAATCAATCTTCGTCATCCAATTCTTCAAACAATGGTTTGTTTTAATTATTTGTTGGAGGGAGGGGCAGTATATATTTTATATAAACGTACTTGGAAAACATTCACAATTAAAATATTGTTTTTCTTCCCATTTGTAGTTTCTATGCACTTGCCTGGTACAAGTATTTCTGACCGACAACAACATCAACAGCAGCAATATTTTGAGCCACTTAATAACGGGTTTATTTTTTTATTTTTCGAACTAAAACAATTACGTTTTAAAGTTTTGGAAATATTGGAATTTGTAAATCTTCATTAAATGGTCCATCAACATCTGCAATTGGTACCAAGAAAAATGAATCAACAAACGGGTCGCCAAGTTCAACAAGCAGTGAAACAAGTACAATCTCTGGAGGGGGAGGACAGCAACAACAAATAATTTTACCTAATTTGAGGCATCAAATAAAATCTGAAATTAATGGTGGAAGTGCCTTTTATTCTACTGGAAAGGTTTTTTCTTTTTTAATTTGAAAATTATGCAGATGATATTTGATTTTTTGAGAGGGTTTTTTCGATAATTTTTGGGTCATTTATCGATTTTATCTATAACTAACTATCTTTGACTCGTCTCATAACCAGGTGGGTGGAGCCCCTTTCTTCCATTGGAATGATTGTGGATTTTTGGCTATCTTTATCGATTTATCGACCACCTTTATTGATTATAATTTTTAATTTTCTATTAAAATTTAATTTTTTTAAAGGCGAATCAATTAATGTACAAATTGAGAGAAGAATTGGGCCTTAGAATGCCTCCAGTGATTGGACTTGTAAATAATATTGGACAAGAACAGCAACACCAACAGCAACATCTCAATATTAGTCCTCATCAATTACAAATGCCAACGGAAACATTAAGGCCGATTTCAGCTGAATGTTATCAACAAATTGGGATTTTACCTCAACAACAACATTCCATTCAAGGTTTATATTTTAATTTTTTGTAACAAATTTTGGCTTAAGTGAAAATAAGGATACCACATGACAATGGATCATACTATCCGAACCCCAACCCGGTTTTTTTCAACCCGTCCTATCCCTTCCCACATCCCCCGCCTTAAGAGGGATGATGGGCGTGTTTTGCTGTGGCTGTGGGCCCGATTGGCCTGACCCAGGGATGGACGGATTATCTTATTCTTAGTCCAACTCGACCAATCCCTTTGATCATTTTCCGTCCGACTAGCAACATTTTTTCACGGAGATTGAGATCATGGGAATGGGTTAAAAAATTTTCTTTAACTTTCCCATGCGTAATAAAAATATAAAATTTTCTAAAAAATTTATTTTAGATATTCAAAATGATTATTTTCATCAACAACAACCATCTTCGTCAGCATCTGCAACAAATGAAGCAGCTATTTCTTCTCCTTATTTAAATAGAAGAAAACGATCAGCTTTGGATAGTTTAATGCTTTTACAACAACAACAATCAACAAATAATGAAAGAATTTTACAAAGAAATAATAATAATAGAACAAAACAAGAGCAACAACAACAACAAATTATTGCAGAATCTGGTCTTTTATTAAAAAAATTTTTTTGAAAATTCCAAGGGAAATCCTTTTACATTAATTTATTGATTTTCGGTGGCCTCTCTCTCCGATCAATATCTTTCCAATTTCTTCTCTTAGAATTTAATATGTATAGGTCAAGTCTTGGCGTCTTTGGCATAACTTAACAGGGATTAGGTTTTCTTCCGTTTTTTTCATTATGGCCCTTCTGTCTTACAAAAAATTTTTTGATAAATTTTCTTTTTAATTTTTTTCTTTAACCAGAACATTTACTTATTCAACAACAGCAACAACAACAAATTCCTTCAATAGCTTTAGCTATACATAATAATCAACAACAACAACATCATTTACCGTCACCACATCAGGTATAGAATTTTCTTAAAAATTTTTTTCAAAAATTTTTTAAAGGCTCCATCAGTTCATTCAATTAGATCATCAAATTCAAATGGTTCAACATCTTTACAACAACAACAAAATAATTTAAATAATTTATTATTACCTTCAACATCATCAACAATAACTGTTGGTCAACAACAACAAGCAAGTTCATCTACTACAAACACAACAATTATACCTCAACAACAACAACAACAATTATTTCAACAACAAGAAGAAATTGTTGAAAATGAAGAAGGAAATTTTATTGAAATGATTGGTTAGTTGAAGGAAAAAATTTTAAAAAAATTTTGAAAATTTTTTGCCTATTTTTCAGTGAGACATTTAAAAAATTTGAATGAAGATGAGGTAAAAAATAATAAAAAAATAATTAAAATTTTTATTGTTTTTTTAAAGAAAGTTGTTACAAAAATGAATATTCAACGAATATTAATGGATGCACGTTTTGGTAGAGGTGCTTGTGTTAGAATGTTTAATGAGTGAGTTTAGTTGATTAAAAAAATTTTTTTGAGTTGATTCTTATCCGAGATTCAACTAATTATTGTATCAATCGAAAGTTCTGGATGTACTTTTTATTTTTGCTAATATGGCTGATAAGATTTGACCATTCCTTAGGAAATTATTAACTGATAAGTTCGGAAAATGTTGATTTCCTATCGTTATTGGGCTCTAACTTTTTGTAGGATGAGGTGATCAAATAAATCTGCTTAGATAAAATAATCCCCATAATAAGAGCTTTCGATTGATATAAGGTTTATTTAAATCGGTTAGGAATCAATAAAGTTATGGCCCAAAATAGGGTCTCAAGACATACGGCGATTCCAAAAAAATTTTATTTTGTAAAAACTTTCTGGATAGTTATAAAATTTTATAAACATTTGTAAAGGTTTTACACTTATCCGGAAAATTTTTAAACTTCATTGAGAACTTTTTAATTAAAATAAACCTTCCGGAGACAATTTCCGCAAAACTTTAAATAAATTATTAAACTTTTTACAATTCGCAAGTATATCTTTTCCGGAAGCCTTTTGTAAAACCTTTTTTACGGAAAGTTTATTTACAACAGGAGTTTGCGCCAATGCGTTAGACGTGTTTTGAAACTGAAATTTTTGGCGTTTAGCGCGCTACGCGAAAATTTTTGCGCACATCCCTGATTTATATTTTAGTGTAATTAATTAAATAGGCGTTCGACATGTCCGTAGTGTTTTGATTTAAATATTTTTTTATATTTTAGTGAACTAGCTATGGAACAACAACGTCAACAACAACAACAACAACAACACTTGCAACAATAATATATTTTAAAAAATATCCGGTCTTCAATTTTTAATTTTACAAATTAACCAAGAGATACACGTTACAAAAAACACCTCTAAAAATTTAATTTTTTTATAAATTAAAATTTCTATTCAATAGAAACAAACAACAAACACAAAAAATATTTTTATATAAAAATCCCAACAATTGTAGATAATTAATATTTTAATTAATTAATTTTGACCTTTTTAAAAATAATTTTTCTCGTGCATTTTTTGTTGTCATTTTTACAGGTGCGGGACAATTTTTTTATGAAATTTAATTTTGTAATTTAAAAAGTGGAATGATCCAGTACCTCAAATTTTGTGTGTTTATTAATTAAATTAGCCAAATATCAAAATTCCCTTAATTTTATAAATTTTATGTCTGTTTCTAATTGAAAATGAGTAAAAGAATTGAAAAGTTAATTATTTGTGACTATTAATTTAAGAATGCGCAAATATGGCATAATAATTCGAACAAATGGCGTTTTTGCCCTATAAATAGAGAAAGTGAAATTGAAAATATGTAGTATTGTCAGAGAAAAAAAGAATTTTTAGTGGATATTGAACATTGTGTTTATTTTGAACAATGGCATTTTGTCGCATCTATACATTAGGCATTTTGTCGTTCTTTTCAGTTAGGCATTTTGTCGCATCTATCAGTTAGGCATTTTGTCGTTCTTTTCAGTTAGGCATTTTGTCGTGTTAGAATAATGATCTATTTTGTCACGTAAGAATTTAGGCATTTTGTCATTTTTTAACAGCGAGTCATTTTGTCGCATCTCAAGAGGTGAGGCATTTTGTCGTTAAAAATCGATAAAATCAATACTAATCGATATATTGATTTTTTAAAATTGTAAAATATTTTTAATTTTCAAAAAATCGATAAAATCAATACTAATCGATATATTGATTTTTTAAAATTTTAAAATATTTTTAATTTTCAAAAAATCGATAAAATCAATAATAATCGATATATTGATTTTTTAAAATTTTAAAATATTTTTAATTTTCAAAAAATCGATAAAATCAATACTAATCGATATATTGATTTTTTAAAATTTTAAAATATTTAATTTTCAAAAAATCGATAAAATCAATACTAATCGATATATTGATTTTTTAAAATTTTAAAATATTTTTAATTTTCAAAAAATCGATAAAATCAATACTAATCGATATATTGATTTTTTAAAATTTTAAAATATTTTTAATTTTCAAAAAATCGATAAAATCAATACTAATCGATATATTGATTTTTTAAAATTTTAAAATATTTAATTTTCAAAAAATCGATAAAATCAATACTAATCGATATATTGATTTTTTAAAATTTTAAAATATTTAATTTTCAAAAAATCGATAAAATCAATACTAATCGATATATTGAGTTTCCAAAGTCAAAACCATTAATAAATTCGCTGTTTTACTACAGGCATATTCGGCACAAAACATTATAAAGTGAAAAGGGGAAAATATTTTTTTGTCATTTGGCTAAATTAAAATAATATCAATCAATATATAATCATCAATAACTTTCTCTTTTTGTCAGGCGTGCAGCGTAGACCTCAACAAGTTTTAACTTAAGAAAAAAATATTTTTACAAAATAAATAAAAAAAACCGTCGATGGATTTAAATGCGGTTTTAATTTATCAAGTCCAATCGAAGCACTCATCGAAACCAAACAAATTATTGACGCTCTACGAACCATTGATTGCGAATTTTCATAACACTTGAAAAATGTTAGTTTTTTTTTAATTTTATTTTTTGATAGAGATTTACAGAGGGAGCTTTTGCGTTATAAACGTAACCAAAGACTATTACTTTTACAGAAAGGGGTAAACGTAAAATTTTTTTGAAAACGATAAAGATTCCTCGTAATTCACAACTTTTAAACTAATCTCCTTGTATCAGATTAAAAAAGAGAAATCATATGTGAAATCAGACATTTTTTGTGTCAATTAAGAACAGTAGGAGAAACAACGTAAAGATTTCCCCTGAATTTAAAATTTAAAAAATCCTACCCGAACCATTCGTTGTACATTATCTGGCATCATTACTTCAACCTAAAACACAAAATTAAATTTTATTCAAAAATTAAATTTATTTATAAAAAACCTCATCAGGTGGAAGTTTACTAATTAAATTGCTCATCATTTTTATTGCTCCAGACAATTGATGGTATTTACTATTTTTATCATCAATAACTGCCGTTAATAAATTAACACAAGTTTTGGACGGCAATTTTGTGGCAATTGCTGCACCACATTCTTCAGCTTTAAAAAAATTTTTTTTTAATTTTTTTTTTCTAAAAATAATAAAAAAAAACCTGCTTTTACAACTTGTGCATCATCATTTTCGTGTGCATCCAAAGTATTTAATAAAAGAAGTTCTGTCTTTGTTAAAAGTCGTTTTGGCTGGGACAAGCTAAAAAAATTTATTTGAAAATTTTTTTAAAGAAAAATTAATTTTAAAAATTTTAAACACAACATTTTCAACTTTTATTTAATTAAAAATAAAAATTCTTCACTCAAAAAACGAGTTCAAGCAAGCGGTGTCGAACCTACGACCCCTCCCCCCAAATCTAACACACTAACCATTACACCATACGAATACCTAACAACATTTCTAAAATTAATGAATACAAACTTTACCAAAGTTCCTTCATAGCTTTTAATGCCCCAGCTTTTATTGTTCCAGCATTATTTAAAGGATGTAAAATAGTTTGTTGAATAATATAAAAAATATCATTAAAAACTTCATCCCAATTTGCAATTTCACCATTTTTGATTAATTGAGTAAGAGAACGAAGAGAATTCTCAACATTATCAATATTCCTTTAAAAAATAAAAAATTTTTCGGAAATTTTCAAAAAATTCCGTGATGTGTCCCGAAAACCGATTCAGATAAACAATATGTCATTTGAAAGAGCTCATCAAACTGAGTTGAATGACACCAAAATTAAGCTTCCGTCTCTTCCGTGGGCCGAGATACATCCACTGGAAATCGAAAAACCATAGGGGGGAGGTAAAAATTAAATTACAAAATCAGCTCGACGGGCTATTTCAGATGACATATTGCCTGTCTGAATCAATTTCCGAAACATATGACAAAATTTTCCAAAATTTCAATAAAAAATATTTTTTCCAAACTTACTCATGCTTATCAGACAAAACATTAATTATTTTTTGAATTTTAATAGTATTTGTTTGTGCAGCCATAGATGCAGCAGTTAATGGTGGTGGTGTTGTTCCATTTTTATGAATATTTAAAGGTATTGGAGTATGTGATGCTGGGCCATTTTTATGGTGAGAAGTTGGAGTCATTGGAGATGGTTTTTTAACTAATGGAGAAGGGTCTTGAAAAATAAAAAGAAGTAATGATATAATTTATTTAATAGGGTTTAGACTTGTAGTCAAGAAAATCCAAGGTCCGGGTTTGTCCAGGAAACCGAAAAACGCCTAAACTCTTTACAAGAAAAGTTCAGGTCCAAAGTTATGCTCGTATTACAAGAAAAACCAAAGCCTTGACAAAGGGGTTCAGCACGTCTCCAAAGAGAAGGTTTGGAACGGCTATGAGCTATATCCAGGCTCAAATTTGTAAAAAAAAATTCAGAAAATAAAAAACAAACGTGTTATTGGTGGTTTAACACTTGTTGCACTATTCGAAGCCATTGGAGGATTTGGCCGACGAACAATTCTTGGAGGAACCAAATTACGGCGAGCGCTGGTATGATTCAAATCACTGGCTGAACGTTTATTCAAAAAGGCTACAAATGTATAAATTAAAATTATTTTTTAGAAATGAAAAATAAACCAGAATTTTGTGCATTATAAAGTCCTCTATTCGGATTTGGAAGATTGTCACGTTCAGAATTTATAGAATGAGTTGAAGAAGCTGTACTAGAACGTTCAATAAGCATTCGCTGCTTGGCTGGTTCAAGCTCCTAAAAAATTTAAAAAATAAATTTTTGACGAATTTTTGGGTGTTAAAAATCTCCTAAATCTTTTTAGGTCAAAAATAAAAATTTTTTACAAACCTGAAATAGTATTTCTGCTTTTGTTGGATAATTGCTTTGTAAACCTTCAAATGCTTGACGAGCAATTACTCTAGCTTCAGAATCAGCATCACTCAAAGCCAATTTTATGGAATGTGTCAATTCACCAGAATGTTTTTCAACAAGAGTTGGATCCCATTGATTTACAATAATACAAATTAATTCAATTGACATTCTAAAAAATTAAAAATTAGAAAATAGAAAAGGAAGGAATTAACAGTTCTTAATCCATAAAATTATATGAGGCTAATAGAGATTTTGAAAATCTCTTCAAAAAGTTTTTAAAAATCAAAATTATGGATAACCCAAACCAGAAGACAAATAAAAACATAGTGAAGAACAAGGAAAAGTAAAAATCGCTCTGTGGGACTCAAACCCAAACCTAAACACACACGGAATCCAGAACCCTACCACTAGGCTAGAGACATTCTCATCAGTTTTCAAATATCTAATTGCTATAAAATTAATCAAAATTAAAACCTTCTAATCTCCTTCGCCTTGTGCGAAATATGTTGGACAATAAGCGTGAGTATTTTTGAATGATGAATATTCTAAACATTTAAATTTAAAAAATATTAAAAAAGTAAAAAAACCTTTGTAATAAAAATATTGCAATTTCGTCCAGAACTAGCCATTACTTTAGCCGAATTTTGTGTTAAATTTAAAGTTATTGGAATAATAGCTTCAGCCACACGCCAAAATGATGTTCCCAACTTTTCACAGAAGAAACTTCAAAAAAAAATTTTTTAGGGAGAAAGTGAGGAAAAAAAAGTTCTCAAAAATTAGACTCCTTCTTAAGCAGCAGAAATGGTGCCCACTCTCTCGAAAACTTTCCATGGATACGTACCTTGTCCTTTTCTATCCGTTTTTCATTCAAATTAAGGGGTTAAGTACACAAAGAAACAATAAAGGACAGTCCGAAAATAAGACAAAAAATTGTCCAAAATTTAAAGTTATTCCAATTTCTTAAACAAAACCAGTATCGACCCCAATGTTAAAAACTTATTTCTAACTAGAACAAAAAACAACTCCCCAAGTAAACCTATTTTACAAAAAAATAAAAAAAAACAAACGCAATCGTCATGCAAGTTTCACGGCAAACTTGAGAACGCAAATCCTTAACAGACACTTCCAAAGCAGTTCCCAGCAATCCATACGCTTGTTCAGCAAAAGGAGCATAACATCCAATATCGTGTTTAATTAATCCTCGTAATGATTGGAGCTTAAAAAAAATTTAATTTAAAAAAAAATGTTAAGAAAAAGATAACCGCTTTAATTCGTTTCGTCCAATCATTGTTTGTATTCTCCAAAATTACCGCTTGTTTTTGACATTCAGCAATCAAATCTTTGAGGGAAGTAACCTAAAATTGTGGGTTATTATAAGATATTGCAAAACCCCGAAAAGGTGTTCAAACCCAAGAAGACTCGAAAAGGCTGGGTACAGACCAGAAATGGGCGAAATCACATTCCCGGGATCCCGTAACGGGATTGAGTTTCGAAAAAATGAACGGGAGGAAAACAGCGGATTCATCTTGGTTTCCAATTTGCCGCTTAAAACCCTGGACTCAGGTCGGAATCCCGCAAAGTTCCATACAGGATCCCTCCCATGCTGATCACTAGTACTCCCCTGGAAGACGAAAACGACTTTCCCTTTTTAAGCCTATAGAATCGAGTAAATGTTCCCCCAAAAATCCTCACCCTTAAGTCCAGAACAGCCTCAAACGCTTGACGAAATTGTTCTTCACTGACAGCACCGGCAGTTAAAGAAGAAGCTAAAAAGAATGTTATTCAAGTATTTAACAAACCAAAAATTTTACCCGAATTTGTTGGTCTAACACGAGTTTTATTTTGCATAATTTGAATGGTTTAAAAAGGTTTATACAAAGCTCGCAATAAAGTAGGGGGAAGTTTAACAATTGAAATCTGAAAAAGTTAAGGGACTATTGAAGTTTTAAAACAGATTGGGGGCAAAAGAACGACTTTTAGCTTGAAGATTTAAAGCAGCAAGGAAAAACTAGAACGGAAATCAAACTTTTCTGGAACAAAAAAAAACAAAAAAAACTTTTGGCTCCCACATATTTGACCAATACCACATTTTGCCAATAAGGGTAAAAACTTACATTTTGTCACTAAGGCCTGTTGGTAAAACGTAAGTTTTTAGCCTTATTGGCAAAATGTGGTATGGGCAATATGGGGCTAAGAAACTTTCAAGGCGGACATAGAGAAATCTCTAAACTTTCTTTTTATCTCTAACCAATTTTTTTAACGTACTCTCTCATTTTTTAAAAATGACAATTGGTCCCATTTAAATGACAGTTTATCCCACCCATTATTTTTTAAAAACCTCTCATCTTTTTTGGAATATCTCAAATCCTTGTTGACTTAAATCCTTTATTTTTTCTATTTTTTAAGAAAAAACAAAATGAGTTCTTCAAAATCTTCAACAACTTCCTCAACTCAACAGCCAACTGTAGTTGACATAAATTCTTTGACAATTGAAGAACTTTCTGGTTTACAACAACAACTTAGTGCCGAATTATCTTTTTTTAATGAATCTTTGAATGAATTGAGAAGTGTTTCTAATCGTTTTGGAAGATGTCAAGTGACTTTGGATTCGATAAATCCTGAGGAAAAGAATAAAAAAGCGTTGATTCCGCTGTCAGAATCGGTTAGTTATTTTTTAAATTAATTTAGTTTGTAAAGGATTGGGCTGGGTTTAGGTCAGGGTTTGTGGGTCTTTAATTTATTGAGAGTTTAGATCAAAGCATTAATCCCTCTCAGAGCCCCAAAACCCATTGTTTGGGTTTTCCCGTTTTTTTCTTGGGTCTGTGCTTTTCCTGGACGGACCTAGACCCAGACATTTTTTTGTCTTTCAAGAGATTTTCTCTGGTCAAAGTTTTTCCTGGACTTCAAGCACAAAACCCGGCTCAGGTAAATAAACAACCAGTCTAGACTAGACTTTTAAGTTTCGATCTTTAAAAATCTTTTCCCATTTATTTTTGGAGCTTCACGAGATTTTCCTCGGTCTGAGTTTTTCCTCGACTCGTAGCACATTAACCTCCGTTCCAGGTCAACAAACAGTTAGTCCACACCCAGACTTTTTTGAACTTTCTAAAAATAAAAGAAAATCTTTTAAAGGTTTATATTGAAGCTAAAGTTATTGATCCAGACAAATATTTGGTTGAAATTGGTGCTGGTTACTTTGCTAGAATGAATCGAAAACAGGCTTTGGATTATTTTAAAAGGTTTGTTTTTTCTAAAAAAATTTCTTTAATTTTAAAATTTAAAGAAAATATGCATTTTTGGACGGCCAAATAAACACAATAAATAAAAGTGTTATTCCAGAAAAACAACAACTTAGACAAATGGTTTTGATGGCGTTACAAAAGAAGATACAAGCTACCACTTCTGCTAAATGATTTTTCTGTTTGGATTTTTTGTTGTTTTTTGATTTGACTTGGTTTTTTTTAATTTTTTATTTGGTTATATTTTTGGGGGGTTTATTCTTTTTAGTAAATTAAGTTGCTTTTAAATTAAGAAATTTTTTTGAAAGGATTTTCTTAATCTTCCCATCCGCCCATCTTTTTCCCACCCACCTTCAATCAGAATCTGAATGTATTTGTCCTATATGATGGATACATACCCCAATTTTTGGAATTGCCCCTGGAATTGTATATCCCAATTTTTTGGAATATACCCCGAATTGGAATTCTGAATGAGGGTGGATGGGAGAAACTGATCGAACCGCAAATTGGAATTTGGGGTACCCCTCATGGATTGGAATATCCCCAAATTTTGAAAATACCCTAAAATTATTTTTAAAAAAATTTAAGTCGACCAAATAATATAACCAAATATTTTTTTAAATTAAATTCGCCTCCATTTAAAATTTTGGTTTTTACTTAAAAATAAAAAAAGGAATGTTAATTTGTTTTTTTTTAATAAAATTTTTTGTTTATTTAAATATTTTTAATTTTTAAAATTTTATTTTTTTCTAGAATTTTATATACCCTTTAAAAATATTTTTAAAAAATGAGGGGAAGATTACCCAAAAACAATACACACCTCGCATTTTTATTAGATCTTTTTCAATCTAAAAAGGTTTTTTAAATTATTTTTGAATTTTTAAATTTATTTTTTTCAAGCGTGTTGACGGCAGAGAGTGGACTGATTTTCGTTCTTTTGATGTTAGTTATGATCCAACTTGTAGATTAACACACATTCGTTTGGGGAAAACAAGGTTTTTAATTTTTAAGAGGATTTTTAAAGGATTTTATAGGTTTTTATGACTTTTTCAGATTCTTAAAAAAATTTCTTTTTTAATTTTTCTAAACGAAAAGAAATCTTCCTTTGGCCATTTAATAACAAAAATTAAACAGAAAAGTCATTAGACCCCTGGTAGGGGTCGAACCCACACCAGCAGGTTTAGGCAGTCAAGCGCGCTACCGACTAGTCCACTAGTGACTTTGATTAGTTGGAAAAAATAAATTGCTTAATACTCACCTCAAATTTTGGCTTACCATCTCCATGACCCTACAAAATTTTTCTCTACAAATTTGGATTTTAAAATAGAAATTTTTTTTCAAGGTTAATGTGCACATTAGATGCAGAAATTTCAGCACCCAGAAAAAGTACAAAACCAGGTGCTGGCTCTATTGCTTTTTCCGTCGATTTTCTTCCAATGGCACATCCCTCAGCTGTTGAAACAAATTCTTTTGATAACGAGATAGAGCAATGTTTGGTTATTTTGGAATCTTTATTTAGAGATACTTATTGCTTGGATTTTGATACTTTGTGTATTGAGTCGAATAAGTAAGAGTTTTTTTAATTTTAAAAATTATATTTTTTTGCGGACAAAATTTGCGGACAAAAAAAATTTTTGCGGACAGAATTTGCAGACTAAAAAAATTTAATTTTCGGACTGAAAAATTTATTTTTCTTTTGCGGACAGAATTTGCAGTCCGCAAAATTTTTTTTTTGCGGACTGACACTAATTTTTAAAAATTAATTTCAAAAATTTTCTAAAAAAAGAACTGTCAAATTTAAATTAAATTAAAAGATCCCCTCCAAAAAAGGAACATTATACATTTTCTAGGAAGACGGGAATTAAAAAAATTTTTCCAGAAAAGTTTCTATTAAACAAAAATGTCATACAAAATTTGATGGATTTTTTTGTTTATTAATTAAATTTGACATTTTGATGAAGTACGTTATTCCAATAATAAGTTTTTTTATTACTTCCTGGTCAATTTATTTTTTGAGGAATTAAATTTTTAATATGATGACGTTACTTCCTATTTGTCTGGAAAGTTCAAATTTTCTAGACACGTATTCTTTCTACAAAAAACCAGTAAACAGACATTTGCGGACTGACATTTGCGGACAAATGTGAAGTCTTAATACCATTTTCTGAGAATATTTTAGCTCTTTTTTGGGGTCATTTTCTTTATCAAACTGTTAAAATATACAAAACTTTATGGTGAATGTTGTCCGTAAATTTCTGTCTGCAAAAAATTTTTGTCCGCAAAATTTTTGTTTGTCCGCAAAAATTTTTTCTGTCCGCAAAAAATTTTTCGTGTCCGCAAAAAAATTTTTTTCTTTCCGCAAAAAAATTTTTTGTCCGCAAAATTTTTTTCTGTCCGCAAACCCCCACCTTCCTATCATTTCTTACCTATAATTTACCCAGATATGTTTTTGACATTAAATGTGAAATAAAAATTCTTGATTATGATGGAGGTTTATGGGATGCATCTGTTTTGGCTGTTTCTTGTGCCATAACACATTTTAAAAGAAGTGATGTTAGTTATAATTCTATAACTAAAAAACTTATTGTGGTAAATTTTAAATAAAAAATTTAAAATTAATTTTAATTTAAAAAGCATTCAAATGATAAACCACCAATTCCTTTGACTGTTTATTACAAACCGGTAACTACTACATTTGGATTTATTAATGGAATGTAAGTTTTTCTTTTAAATTTTTAAAAATCAAGAAATCGAAATATCAGATAGCCAAAATGCTAAAAATCTGTCTTATACCCCTTCCGTTTATTCAACCTCCCATTTATACCATACAAACTCGAGTCAAAAATTTAACATCTCCTGCTTATCTCAACCATTCCCACATATACCAAATAGCCAAAATGTCTATCACATATACCAAATAGCCAAAATGTCTATATACTTCCCCTTCTTATCCATTTTTATACTTCCCCTTCATATCCATTTATCACAGATATGTTCTCACAGCTCTTAGTTATCCTCTTTCAAGAAAGTTTTGAAATTTGGGATAAAATGTCTCAAAATAAAAAATTTTTAATTTTTTAAGTGATGACCCAATAATAGACCCAACAATGGAAGAATCTCTTTTAGTAGACGGATTTTTAATTATTGGGGCTAATCATCGTGACGAAATTTGTTTAATTAGTCAAAGTGGAAATTTAAATGTTAATCAAAAATCGGTAAGCAGAATTTTAGAATTTTCAAAAAAAATTTTTTTTCAGATCGAAAAATGTTGTGAAATTGCTTTAAAAAATGTTAAAGAATTAATTGGGTATATTAACACAATTAAAATTAAATAAAAAATTTATATTTAATTTTTAATTGTTTTAATTGTTATTATTGTTTTTTTACTTATTAAAAAATAAATTATATTAAAATTTATTTTTAGTAAAAAAAAATTCAATTTATTTTTGGAACACTTAATTATTTAATTATTGTTATTCTTAATTTTTAAAAACAAAAAAAAATTAATTTATACACTAAAATTTACGTAAAACTATACTAAAAACAATCCCCCCCCCCCCTTTCTCTTAAATTTATATTTTTTTAACTTTTTTAAACCCGCTAATAAACAAAAAATTTTCTTTTCGTCTTCCCAAGTATCTATTAAAATTCCAAACTAACACGTCAAAAAATTTTTTTGTCCAAAAATAATAATTTCCTTCAATAAACAGACTCTCTAATACTTAACCAATACTCACACGTAATTATTACATTTTTTAAATTAAATACCTACTAATTGCTATTTTTACAAAAATTCTGTATTTTTAAAAATTCTTTTTTTCCCTTATATTTTCTCTCCTTTTAAGTTAATTTTGCAGAAATTTTGCATTTAATTTTGTAGAAAATTAATTTTTAATTTTTTCAATATTCTGCAAAATTTATTTTTTCTGAAAATTTTTTTCGGAAAAATTGCCATTTACATTTAAATATTTTTTGAACCAAAAAACTACACACATATTAATTAATACTAAGCAAAATACCCAAATAAAACACCCCACAAATATCTCCCTCCCCTCTCATTATTTATTAAATTAAATCAAGCACGCACAAAAAATGCCTTAAGGCGCTACTCATCTCCCAAAAAATCTCCTTATTTAGATATTTAAATAAAAAACAAAAAAATATTTTTTAAGGTTATGCCATCATCACTTTTTTCTCCTTAATCTTGCCAAATTAATGTTTTCCTTCCCTTCCCTTACTCCCTTCCTTTCCTCTCAATTTTGGCCTCCCCCTCAAATTTAGTTTATATGTACTTATTAACACGGACAGCAAAAAATGTTTTTTTTTGACTGCTGACAGCTGGTTATATTTTTTGTGTGTTTGATGGATCCTCTTGCTTATAAGGAAATGTGTTTAATTTTTTGCTTATCCCTCCCCCCCTCTTCCTCCCTCCCCCTTCCCCTCCCCCTCTTCCTTCTACTTTACATAAATGTGCCAAACAAAACGAATACCTTTTTCCCTTCACTTAATATACATATTCATTTCCTCCTTAATTTTATATGCTAAACTAGAATATAAATATTTATCCTATCCCTCCAGGTCTAATTTATTTAGCAATTTATTTAGCTGAAACTGCGTGTTTTTTAAAGGCAGACAAAAGTTTCCAGTTCTCCGTCCTAGTTGATAAAACAAAAAAAATTAAAAATTGGACTTTGTATGTTCGTGTCAATCGTCACTTTGCTTTAATCAATCTTGCCTCAGAATATTTTATGGGACGACTTTCACGAGACTTTCATGGGACTATTTAATAATATTAAGTTCATGCTCTGGAAAAAATTTGCATATGTAGGAGATGGAATAGAACCATCATGGAATGAGCCGCAACCGAAGCACAACTGAATGTGCTATCATACAAGGTGTTGTGTCCGTACTCCGTACTTGCAGAAAGAACATAAATGAAAATAAATAACCCAGCATCAGGTTGGATGGTGGCACAGTCGGTTGTGCTTCGATCTGGGCTCTTTCCATGATGGTTCAATTCCATCTCCCATCCAATGAATTTTTCCACAGCATGAACATCGTATCCAATAGAAGGGGTATATTAATATCCCTTCAACATGTGCTAACATCTTTGAGTACCCCGAAATGTGTCGGGGTACGGGGTTTTCGAATTGTTTTGGGGCTGGGTCGGGGAGCAAAATTTTGTCGGGGTTGGAGTGCAACACTACTTAATTAAACTAAAAAAATTTTTTTGAGATAAACTGTCGAACAATTTTTTTTTCAAATTTTTTATTAATTCCAATTATCCAAAGTTCCGAGTTATTCATTCTAAAAAAAGGTTGGTTGAATAACCCATTCTAAAAATTAATTTGTTCATTTCCCAAAAAACTTGTGTAATTTTTGTTGTCACTTTTGCTATAAACATTTTTTTAATTTAAAAGGTCTCTTAATATAAAAAGGTGACGGCTGGCACGAACACACAGCACAAGTTAATTCATTTAAATATTCCCTCTTATTCCTTCATTCCTTCATTTTTACTCATCTCCATAAAAAACACTTTTAAATTAGCTGACTCTCCTTTCACTCATTTCTAATCCCTTTGTACTGACTGCCCTTTGACAAAAAAATAAAATAAAATTTTTTTAAACGACTTCTTTCCCCTCTTAAGTCGTTAAAAAATATTTTTTTGAGAAAAAATGTGTTGCTAATAATCTTTTGGTATTTTAAAATAATGTACTTGGGGCTTTAAACAATTTATAAAATTAAAAAAATATAAGAGTTCATTCTTTAATCATTTTTAGAGATTAGTCCCTCCCCTCCCCTTTATTCAAATTCTATATAAACACAAATTTCACAAAATTGTCCATTTTAAATAATTTTCAAACTTCAAACTCTCGAGACATTCGAAAGAATTTTTTAATCTTCTAGTAACCCATGATACTGTAAATCTTCTAAGAGAACCTTTCATTTTTTATCTCTCGTAGGGTTGCTTTACACATAGTATGTACATATGAGGGAGTGTGCTTCTGTTCGAAAATGTGGTTCTACGTATTAGATTTACGGTATTACATTTCCCAAATTTTTCTTTACTAACCAGAGTTGCATCAAAAATAAGATTATGGAAAATTGAAATTTTTTTTTTGAAAAATACGAAAAGCGAAAGAGTTAAAATTGCAAATTTCGCGAACCTATTGAAATGCAAGTACAAGCTCACAATCAACTTAATTCACACAACCCCAAACATACTAAATTCCCCTCCTTCACATTTTTCAGTTTTTTCTAAAAAATCACACAAAAAATATTCTCTCCCACTACAAAATGGAGCAGTTCAAAAAAACCCCATCTTCTTCAACATCAACAACAACCTTTAGAAAAACATCTTCATTCAATTATTCTCCCCTAAATTTATTTTTTATTCTCTCCCTAATTTTATTAATTCAATCATTTAATAACAACAATAACCAAGTTAATGCATTCATTTCTTCCTCCAATAACAACATTCCCTCCTCAAACACATTTTTTCGGTTAGTAAGAAGTGATGGGGATGATTCCCAACAACAAAAACAACCTGCACTTTTAAGTCGGTATGGACGTGCTGCTGTGTTATCCCGTTATGGAAAAAGAAGTGGTGGACGTGCAATTGTTGCTCCTTCGAGTTATGATACACAACAGAGTAAGGAAGAAGAATAAAATTTTGGTAGTGTCCTTCCCAGGGCTATCCGCAATTGCGGCTGCGGATTTTAGAAACAAAATTGCTGACTGCGGCTGCGGATTTTAGAAACAAAATTGCGGACTGCGGCTGCGGAATTTTTTTTTCACTTGCGGACAGCCCTGGCCCCCCCCCCCCTTCTACTCCCTGTAAGGCTGACAAAAGACAGCGGCTCCAAAACACACCGGGATCCAAAGACACAGACATTGAGAATCGCTGGGTAATCAAAACATTAAGAACGACACTACAAGAAAACGAATCGGATAAGAGACTAGAAATCCATTCATCTTGTAATATTCGAGAAGGAAATCCCAGAAAGCTCTTAAAATTCCCAGGCCTAGGAAAAAGACTAATTTAATGATTAGCCAAAGATCCAAATTCAATCACTTACAAATGCACAAACTAACAAAAAATCACTTACAACCCCTCGCCTAAACCTTTATGTGATCTCTCAAATCTCCACAAAAACTTTAAAATTAAAATTTTTTCTTGTAGCAGGCCCCCTATTCTTATGTCGTCCAACAGTTGAAAATCTTTTATTTTTACGCTGTCATCCTTACAGAACTTGAAGACAAACACTAAAACTAACGAATCATATCAACTACAACAATAATTTTGAGAGAAAAGGAGAGAAAGAAAAAAAAATTTCTTTTAAATAAGGGTTTAGAATTTAAAAAATTAAGTTTTTAAAAAATTGTAAAAAAATATTATGCTATTATTCTAATAAATATATAATTTTGTATTAAAAATATATTAATTCTTAAATTTTTTATTGAACTACTTAATGGGGTATATTTAACTTTAACCAAAAATAACCGTTTAATTAGTCGGCATACTAGGATGGGTCACACACGGGATTTTACAGGATCCCGTCCCGGAATCGTTAGTATTAAACGACAAACAGGATCCCCGGTCTTAATCTTAATCCCACGTTCCCTTCCTTCCAATCTTTTAAAACTAAGTCCCGAAATGCGACTTTTCTGACCTTTAATACATGAAATCTCTTTAGAATACCCTATTAAAAATTTTTTTAATTTTTATGCTGAAAATATTTTTTCAATTTTCTTAAAATGATTTTTTTTAAAAAAATTAGTTTTTTTTTTTTATCTTTTTTGTCAAGATAATCTCTCTCTCTCACACACACACATCTTTTCCTTTTTTTAGAATATTTTAAAAAAACTACCGTTGTTGCATTTATTGTTGTCCACATCTCTTCACACATTCCCCTTCCTTTTCATGAACGATAGTACCGCGGCTCAGAACGAACATCAGCCAATGTTTTGTCAATCTGTAAAAATAAATTGAAAATAAATGAAAAAAGAAAATTTTTTTAACCAATTAATGTCCCTTTGACAAAAAAATTTTTTTTGGCCTAGTACTGACCCAAAAGTTGCAAGACAAAAAGAATAAAAATAAAGGCTTCAGATAGAAATTTTTCTGTGATTCTTAGAATTTTGTTGTATAAAAAAGGAAAATATAAATTCTACATCCATGGCTCCTAGTCAAGATCAAAAAGCCTAAACAGAAACCACAATCGTGGATAAAGTCAAAGAAGCCTATCAAAAAAGCCTAAAATTAACCCCAACTTTGTGGTCTCGATCAACACCAATCTTCAATAAACTCCCAAGAAAACAATAAAAATAAAAACCTTTTCCAAAAATCGGTCTTTTGGCCTCTGCGTTAATTGCACAAAATTGGAGCCAACAATTCTCGAGTCTTGACGTCTAACAGAACCACCACCATATAAATGTGAAGCAAACGGAGACTGGGAATTTGTTGAGGAGCAATCAAAAAGCATTTGTTTATCAGTATTTCGCCAATTTCCAAAACCTCTTTTTTCGCCTTCCAGAGAATCCCAGCCAGTTGTGGATGAAGATGAACATGTAGAAATTGGGCGAAGAGAAGAGGGGGCGCCCAACTATAAAAAAATTCTTTCAAATTTAAATTGCTTCAAAGACCCCTGATTCCGACAAAATTTTGTTCCCCAACCCTATCCCTAACAATCCATTCTCCGACACCACATCTCCCAGAAAAAATTGCTCCCACGGGTCGGGAACCAACCCAAATTATAAAAAAACTGGACGGAGGGAGCACCCAAGTATTAAAAAAATTTTGAAAAAAATGTAAAATTTTTGCCCAGACCCCAAAAATAAAATTTTTGCCCAGACCCCACAACGTCCCCATTCCCCGGCCTCTGCCAGAAGGGTCAAAACCCAACCCTCATTAAAATTAAAAACAATAAAATAAACCCTGTAAGTTCCCAGCGCTGAACTTCGATGAGAAGGAATTGAACTTGGATTAGCCGTCACCGTAGAGAAGTATTCTGTAGACGACTTTGGCGTATAAACAGGAAACAACGAAGGGCGGCTGTCTAATAAACCACTGCTGCTAATGCCTAATTCTGCATAAATTTCGTCTAAAGGCGATTTCCATAGTTGGTCATCATCTATAATAAATATTAAAAAATTAAAAAAAAGTTTTAGGTCAAAAAACAACTCAAACAGCAAATTAACGGAGTAATTAACTCTAAAAAAATTTCTAACCGCCAACCAGATTCGAACCCACAACCATTTTATCCTCAAAACTAGACCACTACCAACTTAACCAAACCGCAGTTATAATCGGATACAAAAATTTGCGTTAGTATACCATTCGAAAATTTCTCCCCGTTACAAATAGATTCCCCAAAACTTAATCAAAAAAATAAAATCAAACTTGAATCATCCAAAGCATCTCTCCCTAATTGTGATTCTACTCGTCTCATAGCAGCAGCACTAATTTTTGGTCGATTATCAACACCAAGAATTCTTTGGCTAGCATTTAATAATCCTTGTTGTCCATTGGGTGGAGCAAAAGAAGGAGGGAGAGGAAGGCCGCCACCACCATAACCTTCAGCTTGCTCAGGACGGAAAATGTTGCGGACTGGAAATAATAAAAATTGGATCTTAAGAAAACAATCAATTAACAAAAGGGCAAAACGAACACTAGCCAATTGTGCCAAAATGCCGTAAACAGCATTCCTATTGAGGGTTGATCCTCCAACCGGAGAGAACTTTTTTGGGGGACGGAGGGTCCTCCCAAGCGGGGGAGCGGAGGGTCCCCCAACCGTGATAACTTTTATCGGGAACGGAGGGTCCTCTGAACTCTAAGGATCGGGAAAAATTAACTAGAGATCGTCGGCCAAGGTCGGTGAGTCGAGGACTCGGGACCAAAAGCTCGGGGACCAAGCCTATTTCTATTGGTTCACCAACTTCTTTCAGCTCATAAAAATTACAAAGAAAACCTAAATTCTCGTAGCTTTTGGTCATTGGACCTCCAGAAATTTCATTTTTGTGAAGACGCGTTGGATCAAATTCTCTAGACCATTGTTCTTGTATTCGATCGGTGTAGCCGATACTTGAAGGAATATATCCAGGACCCCATGCTGACGAGGAAGTTGATGTAGAGAGGGGATAAGAAGACATTTTTTTGTAAAGAAATATTTGAATCGTCTCACATTTGAAATTCCTTGAAAAAAAATAAAATCAGTGAGGTTCCAAAAACTTTGGTGTAGTGGGATAATTTCAGGTTATAACGGTAAATAGGTCGAGGGTTCGAATCCCACTCATGGAAAATAATTTTTATTTTAATAAAAACTTTGTTCTAACGCGAAAATGAAACTTTTTCAGGATTTTTAAAAATAATTTGAACCATTCTTACTAAAGAAAAGATGAAGAACCTCGGGACCTCACCCCCACCACTTATTTAAAGTAGGGTAGCAACCTGACCCTCCTGGGTCGGGAGTTCAGAGATCAAAGTTTGTCAGGGGTAGAGCCTTCGGGATTCGGTCGCGGTGGGGTTTCGGGCGGGTTTCGGGTTGCTATACTAATTTAAAAAATCAATTTTTAATTAGAATGTGTTGAAATTCTCGAATAGAAAGGAAGGAAAAAATTTTTTTTGTTGAACAATTAATGGATATTTTCCAAGTTAAAGTTTTAATCGATGAATCGAGGAAAGAGAAAGGATTTGGCCGTTTTTAATTCAAGAAAAGATCAATTCCCCGATATTTCACTCTTTTTGACAGCTGCTTCTTTCCCTTCATTTTTCAACACATTCCCGTTTTATTAGCTTTTTGCTTTTAGTTTCTTCTTTGTTTTGCAATATTTTTGAAAACATGGAAAATAAGTTAAATTACTTACATTGTTTAGCAAAATTGAAAAATAAAAGAATTTCTTGAAGAAAAATTTTTTCCAAATTTTTGGCAAAAATTAAATGAAGACATCTAAACAAATAATTATATATTGAGCAAATTGATAAAAAGTTCACACCTGTTAATTCTCTTAAAATGCCAAAAATATCAATTTCAAAAGGAAAATGCCTGAGGTGTCCGTGGGACTTCGGGATGAAATTTGGTAGACGGGTATAATTTGGTAGACGGGTATATACCCTACTTTAGTTAGGGTAGTCCCACGAAGTCGCACGGACACACTCTCCTTTGTCAGACCATTTTTTAAAAATATTCTAAATATTTTAAAGAATTTTACCAATCTTTCACATACAAAAAAAAAACTAAATTTTTATTCTCAAAAATATATTTATGTACAAATTACTTGCACAAAAAAAAAATTTTTTTTTACAAATTTTTGAAGAAGGAAAAAAATTTTTGAGAGAAGGGAAAGAAAAATACATATAGTAGTAGAGGAAAATAATTTTTTGGAAGATAAAAAAAATAATAAAATTTTTGTGCGAAAATTTTATAGAAAAAAAAGTATCTTTTTTTAGAATGTATATTGAGATCAGACAATTTATAAAAAAAGAATAAAATGAAAGTTGTGTAGATTTGAAAAGAAAAAACAAAAAAATAAATTTTCAGATCAGAATAATGCGTGATTTTTCTGTAAATAATCTCCGCTCATCACAAAAAATATAAAATAATAAAAAATATCCTTCTAAACCTCAATATAAATATTTTAAAAATAATTTTTAAACAAAACAATTTAATCAGAAGCTTTGCCAACATTTCAGAAACTTTGGTGTAGTGGGATAATTTCAGGTTATAACGGCTAATAGGTTGAGGGTTCGAACCCCGCTCACGGAAAACAATTTTTATTAAAAAAAAAACTTTGTTTTAATGTAAAATTTAATTTTTCCAGGATTTAAAAAAATAATTTCGACCATTTCTAATAAAGAAAATGACAATATTTTATTTTTATAATACCCTCTCACCCCCTTATACTTCACTAGCCAAACCTAATTTATACTTAACTATTTTTTTCTGTTGACAAAACTAAATAATTAAATTGCTTTTTCCTGCCAAATTTTCAATTTTTTATCAAAATTTCCAACACTCGGAATTATTTTTTAAAATTCATTTTTAACTTCCTTTTACGGCATTTCCACCCGTACATCCCCTGCTGTTTGCTTTCTTAAAATTTTTTCATCATTTAAAAAATCATCATTTCCTCCTTCTTGTTGTTCAACAATATCCCCATCACTTAAAGAATGTTGTTGCTGATTTTTAAAATTTCTTTTTTGGCGTTTTCCTCCACCTTCCATTCCTCCTCCTCTACTTCCCCCTCCACTTCTACTACTCCCACCTCCTTTTTTTCGCCGAAAATCACCAGGGGCAGTTAATGCACGAGAATTTTCATTCATTGTTGTTGAAGGAAGAATACCACCAGCTTCATCTACACGAGCTAAAGATGAACGTGTAGTTGAGGGAGAAATGGTTGCTGTTGTTGTTCTTGGGATTATTGTACTGGTAAATGTTTGGGGAAGTGTAGATTCCAGATTTTTAGCGTTACGATTTCCTTAAAAAATAATTTTAAAAAATTAAAAATTTATTTAAAGAAACCTTTTAAAGAGTAGAAAATAATAGCTTCTTGTCCACTCGTATTTTCATTATTATTAGGATTACTGGTAGATTCAACATCAGCAGATGGATTATGACTGAGCGAACGAGAACGTGAAAGCTTTAAATTAAAAAAATTTTTTTGAAAAAAAAATCCCAAAAAATTTTCCCAAAAATTTTTCTAAAATTTCCCAAAATTCAAAATTTTCCAAAAAAAATTTAAAAATTCCCACAAAATTTTCAATTTTTTTTTAAATACTCCAAAAAATTTTCTAGAAATTTTTCTAAAAATTTTTCAAAAAATTTTTCTCTCAAAAAAAATTAAAAAAAAAATTTTCCAAACCCTAACAAGTGCCGTATTAACATGTCGACGACCTGTTACTGCTCGAAAAAGACGTAAAGGACCACTACTTTTAGTTTCCCGTTTTTGATGTTTATCGACGGTTTCTTCCTGTATTTTTCCACCAACATTTCCCTCAATTTGTTTTGTTCCTTCACTCCCTTCTCCTTCTTCTTCCAAAGAACTAGGTGACAAATCATCCCCAACATTTTGTGAATGTCTTTCAATTTGTGCTTGTACAATTTCACAGTGAACAGAAGATGAAGATGGCAAAATTGTTGAATTACTAGCAACTTGAAAATTGTCGCTGCCAATCTTTAAAAAAATTTTTTTTTGAAAAATTGACAGAAGAATGATGGGAGGGAAACTACATAGGAGAGAGAATAAGTAAGGACCAAGGCCTCTTCCGAATTCTGTCTTTTTTTGTTCTTCCGTGTTCTTCCCCTTTTAGGTAAAAAAGTTAACTAGTTCGATCCCTGGTAAAGATATTTAAAAAAAGAAAAAAGTGAGGGAAAAACTAAAACATAATCAGTGAAAAAAAGAAGAATGAATATCTCAAGTTTCAGAAAAAAAATTTTTTTCAAGTTTAAGGGGGAGGTCTAATAACGACGGGCAAGAGTTTAAAGAAGAGATTTAAACTAAATCTTAATAGAAAACTAAATCAAAGAAGAGGAGAGAAAAAAACCCTGCTCAATAAATTGCCAAAAAATCTCCCCAATTCATTCCTAACTTTTAGTAACTCTTTTTTTGTTGGGCCTCATTATTATTTTAACACTAAGACTTAAAAGATTCAAAAAAATTTAAAATAAACCTGAACAAATTGTGGCGATGTAGAAGGAGAAAAACCAAACGGATCGTGTACTTCAGTAACCACAGGGAAAGGATTGGCAGAATCGCTACATGTAGATTCTATACTTAATCTGTCACCTTCTCGATGATTATTGTTCGTGTTTCCCCCTCCTCTCCCTCCATTTCCTCCTCTTCCCCCACTTGGAGCATCATCATCCACACTTGCTGAAAATTGTGCTGGCCTACTACGGCTACTAACATGATAACCAAATGCTTTTAATATATCAGATTTACACATTGGACAAGTTCGATGTTCTAAAAGCCATGGATCAACACAACTTTTGTGGAAAATGTGCCTGAAAAATTTTTAATAAATGAAGTTTAAAGGGCTCAACCCTAAGGTCAACTCAAAAAAGTCAAATTACGCAGAAGGTCAAACCCAAAATTAAAGGGGATTCACGGACATAAGACGGAAATTCTTTTGTGGAACTGTCAGATAAGGCAAAAGCCAATGCATCCTTGATCTTGTGCTCTCTTTATCCGTCCAAATATTTTGAGTTGACCTTTAGGATCATTTGACATTTTGGGGTGACCATTTTAAAGGTAAAATGGGAGAGTTAGAAAGACCATAAAAATTCAAAAAAGGTAAACAAACCTGCATGGAAGTTGTCTCAATATATCTCCAGGTTTATAAGGATCAATACAAACTGGACAGTCTGAATTTAATTCTCGATCACCAGATTTTACTGGACGTGTTGGAATTCTAGCCAAGGCTTTTTTTGCAGCATTAAATAGCCTTTAAAAAATTGTAAAAATATTAACCCGATCAAATATCAGATACAACGTTTAGCAAAAAGATCCGAATCTGAACCAAAAATTCCCGGATATCCAGACATATTTCGGATCCGAATCCGCCAGCTCTAATTTGACTTAGAGGCTTAGCGATCGATAAAATCTTTCAAAACTCTACATCTCTAGATAACTAAGATTTTTGAACGAATTTCGACTCACAATAAGCCCGAGCTCGAATATAAACAATCAGAATCATAGGAGTCAAGACTTTAATATCTACTAAGAGGTGCTTGTGTATATCCTTGATTCAATAGTCGGGAAATTCTAAATAATAGAGAAAACTCCAAGGACCTTCCACTACCATTCACAAAAATAAAATAGGAAAAAACCTTCTCTGTAATCTATCCTTTGCATGAGCATAACGAAAACGTTGAACATAATAAAATACTAACCAGGCCAATGAAATTACAATTAAAATAATAAAAGAAATTGAAACAAATAGAACCTTAAAATTTAAAATAATTTAATGAGAAAAATCGGTTCTTGTGCAGTTTCCATCCCATAGGCCCCGCCTACTTTTTCATCTCTTTTCTTTTTTATAAAGTACATTTGGGTCATTATTTTCATTCCATAATTCCAGTTATTTACGAGAAACGTCTCTCTTTCTAAGGATAAGACGAAGAAAAAGGGGCGGGGCTTATGGGATGGAAACTGCACAAATCCCAAAAAAATTAAAAAAAAACATACTGATGTTTTTGAAAAACTTTTGAGAGATTCATTACTCGCATCACCATTAGGATCACATAGAGAAAGTAAACCTCCATCATCATCTGAAGAGGATGTTGAAAATACAAATTTAACTAAAGGTGAATTTCCTGGTGTTGTTCGACTAGAAGCAGGTCGTAATCGTTCCAATTCTTTATCAACAACAACTGAAAAAGATAAAATTGAAAATTTTTTTCAAAGAAAAAAATGTCCCAATCTTAGGAAACTCCCTCCTGTATCAATGGAATTTTTTTTGGCTCGCCATCGAAAATCAAGGAATATGAGATTCTTTTAAAATTCATAGGCCTTTTAAAATTCATTTTTTTAAACATCCCTGGAAAAATTTAGCCTATCAAAAATAATTGACTGATGTGAGTGAAATGAAATACGAAAAATCGAGAAATTCTGTGTTTAGTCCGATCGGACAACATTCATCTTTCGACCCCCTCCAAGATGCCGAGATATGGAGATAATTTATTCGTTTCTTAGAAACGAGAATCATTAACGTAAGTTTCATAACTCTTATTTTTTATTATTATCCCAAGAACTAGAGGGTCAAAAAAATCTGAAAACCAGAGGGCGGTGATCCCCGAAATTTTTACAAAAAATTTTTAAAAAATCACTAACTGATCAAAGACTGAAGTTTTGCATTAACTGCCAACTGTGTAAGCGCTCTATGCAAATGTAACAATTCTTGAGGGCATTTGGAACATTCTTCACATTTAGCCACCAAATAACCACTTCCAGGCAAATAAGCTGTAGTTGGTTCAACAGACAAAGGGGAGCAAACATTTTTGGTTAAAACGTCCATTCCAACAAGTTGATATTGTGACAATGTTTGGACTGCTGGATTGTTACTGTTGCTATTTGGAATGTTACTTGAAGAAGAACTAAGAGCATTTCCGCAGGCTAGAGAAATACCACCATTACTACCAGTTTGTGAGTCCTTTTGAAGCAAAAAATAATTTAAAAATAAAAAAAAATTTTTTCGAGGCCCCAAAACTTATTTTCAGTCATCAAAAAACATTTGAATTTTATTTAAAAAAATTTAACCACCGAACGGATTCGAACCCACGACCCCTTATTGAACAAGACAAACCATCAACCAACTACACCAAAACAGCAGTAATTAAAAAATCGAATTTTTTTCGAGGCCTCAAACATTTCCGGTCACCAAAAATATTTTACTAATTATTTAAAAAAGTCTGTCCACTGAACGGGTTCGAACCCATGACCCCTTCCCAAACACACTAACAATTACCCAACTACACCAAACACCTACCTTAACAAAAAAAATTTAAAAAACTTTGAAAAACCAACCTGAAGGCTTTGAGGAATTGACAACAACAACAACAGAATTAAAAGAAAATGAGGTTGAAGATTAAAATAATAACGACAGCTACAAAGCAGAAAAGTGCAAAAACGGCAATTTGGCATTTTTTTAAAAAGAATTTTACCTTAAATTAAAAAATTTTTTGAAAAAATTTTTTTTGAAAAATTTTGAAAAACACGATTGTGACCATTAAAAAATAATATATACATTTTGTATTAAATAATAGGTAAATATACTCATTTAAACAATAAAAGATGAAGAAAACTAGTTAAAATCAGTATAAAATAAAGGTGTGTGTAGATGAATGAGCAATAAACAACAAACAAAACAAAAATGAGGGAAAAGCAACAAACAAAAAAATTTTTTTTCCTTAAAAAATTCTTTTTATTATTCAAAAAACCAAAAATAGATATACATAACTCTCGTATTTTTATTTAAATTGTCCAAAAATTTCAGGAATTTTAAGCAAGAAATTCGGAAATTGTGGCTTCATTTTCCGAAAAATACTACCTAATTTTTTGAGGTTTATCGACTTATAACTTGAGAAAAATTTCATCAAAAATTCTGAAATTTTTGGAGGAGATAGGTAAGGATTAGGATTAAGACTCGGCCGAAAAAGACTCGTCGATCGCCGAAAAAGACTCGAAAAAGACCTAATCGGGCCCCCAACCCTTTTAAGCAAGTTAAAGACATTTGAAAAAAATTTTCATAAAGTTAGGGTTAGCCCTAACAAATAAGTGTCAATTTCGAGTCTCGCGCTAAAACAAACCCTCGCCAAAACGACGCCGCTAGCCCAAAAATAGACATTATCAATAAAAATATTTTTAACAGTTAAAAATAATTTTTTCTCTATTTTTGAAGAAAAGGAAGAATTTTTGTGCGTAAACAAATTAATAAAAATATTGTAAAAAAATATTCTCTCCCTCTCTTCCCTATTTTTATTTAAAAATAGGGAGGTCTTGATTTTTAATTTACTATTTTGCCCTTTTTTGGTAAAAAAACATGAGATTATTTAATTTAAAAAATTGTTTGCAACAATTTTAAAATAAAAACAAAAAAAAATATTTTTAAAAATGGTCAACTTAAAAATCGTCAGAATTTAAAAACGGTCAAAATAAAAAATACCGTAAATATCCTAATAGAAGCCCATGCCCTATTAGAAGCCCACCCCATGGGGGGTATTGAAAAATACAAGCCCATGCCCTAATAGAAACCCATGCCCTATTATAAGCCCACCCGATGGGGGTTATTGAAAAATATAAGCCCAGGGCTTATATTAGGATATTTACGGTAAATGATTTTATTAATTTTGCCAATGTGGTTCTCGTAACATTTTTTTATTGTTGTCGGAACAATTTCAATACCCCGCCCCCCATTCTTCCCTGTTCTCGGAATAACATTCCACGTTCTCGGAATAATATTAGGCGTTAAAATAATTGTTAGGCAGTGGTACCTTGTAGTGATGCTCGGGTGTCTCGACTTCCGAATCGGGAAATTTTCCCGAGTTTTTGGCCTCCCGATCCCGACTTCCGAGGTCATTTCCCGACCCGACTCCCGTTTCCCGGGTTTTCTCTTCTCCCGAGCATCACTCGTACCTTAAGGTGTACTCATAGAAAGAGGGTAAGACAAAAAAAAATATTGAAAAGATTTTAAGAAAAATAATGAGGAATTAAAATTTTGAATTGGAAAATACAGAAGACTACAAAAATAATAAAAATTCTACAAAAATAAATATTAAAAAAATATTTTTTCGCTCCATTTCTATTTTTAAAATAAGGAAGGAAACCCATTGTTCAAAAAAAAATTTCTATTTTCTATTTTTAATTTTATCATTTTTCAAAAAATATTTAATATTTAATTTTCTAAAAAAGATTTTTAATGTTTAATAAAAAAAGAAGAGATTAATTACAAAAAAAAGATTTCAAAAATATTTAGCCAAAACACAAATTTTCTGAAAAAATTAAAAAATAAAAGACATCATATCCCCCCCCTCCCCAAAATTTTTTTTAAAAGTAAATTATTTAAAACATAAATTAATACTAGAATAATGAAAAAATTAAATTTTATAAAAAAAAATTTTTATTCAAAAATTTACTATGGAAACCGAAAAAAATTTTTTTCTCTCCTTAAACTATACAAAAAATTAAAAGTAATAAAATAAATAGAGTTTAGTTTGGAGAAAAAAATTTTTTGTTTTAAATTTGTGATAAATCTAAAATTTTCTTTTTTTTAAATTACAAGAATAAATTTTGCGGATAAAACTTGCGGACTTTTAGAAAAGTAAAGGAAAATTAAAAATAAAGGAAAGGACCCAAAAGAATTAATCTATTATTTGTTTGCTTAAATAAACACAAAAACTGACCACCCCTAGCAAGTTTCCCTAAAAAGAATGTTTTGGTGTAGTGGGAAAATGTTTGGTTTACTGAAGAAAAAGAAGCAAGGTTCGATTCCACTTGATAGAAAATAAATTTTTTTCGACAAAAAAATAAAAGAAAAACAAATCGAGGAAAGGACAGACTTGAAAAAATTTTTTTGAAAGTTTTAAAAATTAAAAAATAAAAAAATAAAAAAATTTTGCGGACAAAAAATTTGCGGACAAACATGAACACACCTGATAGAAAAATATTTTTTCAAGAGAAAAATAAAAAAAACTCTAAGGAAAGAACAGATATGAATAAAAAATTTTTAGTGCTTTTAAAAATTGAAAAAGATTAAAAAATTTTAAAAATTAAAAAAAAAAATTTTTTTGCGCACAACATTTGCGGACTAACACATAAAACTCAAACTCAATTAAAAGATAAAATATTCAAAAAAATGAGAATTTTTTAGAGGTAAAATAATTAAAAAAGAAAAAAGAGAATAAATACAATTAATAATGCGCATAATTTTTCTAAAACAATTTTCAGAAAAAAAACTGGACGAATGAAAAAAAATGTGTGCAAGTAAATAGAAAAAAAATTAAATGGAAAATGACATCAAATAAATGTAATTAGCGAGGATTTATATATTTTTTGTTGTAAAAAAAGCAGGAAATGAAAAATGAATAAATGGATATATTTTTGAGGAAAGAAATTAAATAGAAAAAAAATGTTAAAAAAATCCTAGACAAGTAATGGTATATTTAAAATTTGCGGACAAATTTTGCGGACAATGGTTATCTTTGGGACCACAAACAATATACCACAAAAAATTTTTTTAATTTAAAATTTGCGGACAAAAGCCACCAAAAAAGCCACCTACAGAATCCCAAACCAAAAGCAATACCACTTAACCAAAATATTAAAATATTTTTTTAAATTTTCAATGGATTCGTTTTTGTCCGCAGAAATTTGTCCGCAAAAATAGATTAACAGTAATACCCAAAAAGATTAAATATTCTAAAAATAGAATTAGAAAATAGAAAACCTTATTAAAGCATTAGAAATATTAACATAAAGCATTTAATAGAATTTATTTTATTTTTAAATTAATAAATGAGGTTTATTACAAGGATTTAGGCGTCTAACCAAAAAAATCAAAGAATTTCCTTTAATTTAATTAATTAAAAATCTTATTTGAAAAAAATATGAGAAAAATTTAAATGAAAAAGAAAACTAGAAAAAAAATAATCTAGCAAAAAAATTTAAAAAAAACAGACAATTGTAGCAAAATTGAAAAATGGGATCAAATGTCACTTATATAGGAAATTAAATATTTTAACCCGGATTAGCGAATTTAATAATTTTATTTATAATGCTATTTGACCATTAAAAATCTAGAAAATTTAAAATTGATAACTTGATTAATCCCCAGTGTTAAAAAATTTAATTTGTTAAAAATTTAGAATTTGCGGACAAAAATTGCGGACAAATTTTGCGGACAGAAATTTTACAATTGAATTTCTTACTTATCTTTTACTCCAGTCAAAACAGTTACAATTTCCCAAAATAAAAAATTTTTCCCCTTTATTTTACTTAAAATTAATGTAAAAAATGTTGCTTTTAAATACAAAAACAAGAAAAAATTCTTGAGAAAAAATGTATAAATGCACTTAAAAATAAAAGAAAAAAGAGAGAACATACAAACAGAAAAAAAATTTTTACGCCTATTTTACGTTTTTTTTCTAATAACGACCTTTTAGTTAAAAAGTAAAAAAAATCTCAAAATTAAATTCCCATGAGAAGACAATTTTCGAGAAGTTAAATGGAATAGAAAAAAAAAGAGGAGAATAAATTAATTTTTGAAAGCAACACAGAAAATTTTTTGAATTAAAAATTGATATCATTTTTTGGAAATTTTCTTTAAAACTGAAAAAAATTTTCCGTCTAATGCTACGGTTTTGCATAAAAATTGCGCACATCTTGTGACAGATGGTTTTGTAGTTAAAAAATCAGCAATTGTTGCCTAGCGATTTTAATCTTAGCGGAAGACGCCTAATTTTATGTAAGCACATGAAAGCGTTAGACGCGCGCGTTTTGCGATTTGTATCTAATCGAAGCATAAAACATCCACCCCTTCTGAAACAGAAAAAAGTTTTAAACTAGGAAGTATCACTTATTGTTAGACAGCCCCCCCCCCCCCCCAATGGCCAACGACATTTAAAAAATGAATCTTACATAGAGTTGTATCCTTATAATAAGGGTTTTTATTAAAAGAAATACCTTCCTTCGTGTATTTTTAGACTCAGATAATTTCAAACCCGTAAAAGTGCCGTACGCACAAAATAATTAAAAACAATTTTCAGAAAAAAAAATAATTGGGGGAAAACTAAAAACAAATGTCTATTAAAAATGCACTTTTAAAGGAGTAAAAAATCTTTGTTTTGAATCTCTTTTTTGTGCGAAAACCCCCAATTGCGCCAATTGGAGTGAAAAAAAGAAAAGAAAAATTAAATGAGTTTGTACGGCAAACTCATTTAGTTACCCGTCTCTCTTCCCCTAACTACCTCCTCCCCTCTAAGAAAAAAAAATTTTAAATTTCCGCTTCAAAACTTGCACTAAGGGCATTAAAAATTAATTTTCTTTGTAATCAGAAAAAAATAAAAATAATTAAAAGAGAAAAAAATTTAAAAAAAAATAAAATTAAATAGCCCAGATGTGCGCAAAAAAATAGATTTATGGATAGTGTTGTCGAGGAATTGGAGATCCCTAAAGTCAAGGAAGTCGAAACCTTTTTTTGAAAATTCCCCATAACACGTGGCGAATGACTACCCGAAAATTTCCCACAAATTCCCGTTTTTTATATTGCTTTTATATAGCGTTTTATATTGCCAAAAGCTTGAAATGCCAAACACCCAAAAGCTGTTGCCATTTTTTGTAAAGCATGGATGAGTGGGTTATACGAAACTTGGATTTGACGACCCGAAACCCGACAAAAGAAATTTTTTGAAAAACAGACCAGACTTTTTTTTTACTAAATCTGACACATCCCTATTTGTAGAGACTAAAGCTCCGAGCCTAAAAATTAACGTTCTACTACTCGTTAACAAAACCTAAAGGCTTCTAAAAAATTTTTTAAGAATTTTCAAGGATTTTTAGAAAAGAAAGAAGTTTTCTCAAAGTTTTAAAGGATTCAGATTAGTAATTTTAATATTAATTTTTAATGCCTAAAAAATGTTAAACACGCATGAGACAAAATTTTGAATAAAAAAAGGAGAGGAAATGTCAGTCTGTGTCAATAATGCCGAAGCAATTTTTACCCGCTTTTCTCGGCATTCTCTTTCCCGCGATGCCATTAGCAACGAGAAAATAATCAATAAAAGGCCCGGTTGGCATATACAAAGAATAAGGGATACAAAGGGGAGGAAATGTTTGACAAAAAAATTGAGAGAGGAACGGGGCTCCGGTACAAAATATGGAATCGTTAAAATATGGAATGGTTAAAATCGCGAATAGGCTAAAAAGGGGTTAAAATACCGAATCGTTAAAATATGGAAACGTTAAAATATCGAATCGGGTAAAAAAGGGTTAAAATATGGAATCGTTAAAATATGGAATGGTAAAAATGTCGACACGGCCAAAATCTGTCAAAATGTCGAATTCTTTTAAAAAAGGGTCAGATGAGTGCCATACGTTGATTGTAGATGATTTTATCAACTTATCAACTTATTAATGATAAGTTGATTGATAAGTCTCTTATGTCGTAGTCCGGCGCAATCTTTTCTGCCAGAGTTCATTGTATTTTACCGAGTAAAACCGGACCGGATAAATCAAGCATAATCGACCGGATCCGGTCCGGCATGATCGTACGGATCCGGAAAACATAACGCGATCCTGATATGGAAAAATTAGAGTGGTGTGCATTAGTTTTTAGTTAAGACCTAAAGTTTGACCTTACCGTATACGGTACGAAATACCGAAAAATACCGATCAGCTTTTAAATTTTATCGGTCGGATTCCGTACCGTACAACCGACACGGAATACCGAAAAATACCATCGGTATTACGGTAACGCCCGGATTCTAGTTTTGGCGCCATTTTTAAAAAATTCGACATTTTGATCGATTTTGGCCGTGTCGACATTTTTACCATTCCATATTTTAACGATTCCATATTTTAACCCTTTTTTAGCCTATTCGATATTTTAACCATTCCATATTTTAACGATTCCACATTTTAACCCCTTTTTAGCCTATTCGCGATTTTAACCCCTTTTTACCCGATTCGAGATTTTAACCCTTTTTTAGCCTATTCCATATTTTAACGATTCGATATTTTGTCCGGACACGGAGGAACGGGGATGTGAAAAAAAGACGTGAGTGCCGTTAACACAAAAAGGGAGGAAAAATGAGAGGGAAATGAGAGGAAAATGAGAAGGAAAATGAGGGAAAATGTAAAAAACTTGAAGGAAACTAATACAAAGAACGGAAAAATGAAAGGAATTTACTATAAGGACACGAGATTAATAGAAGGAAAAGTTGAGAATTAAAAGAAATATTTAAACGAAAAATTTTTGGAAGTAAAATTTTCAAAAGTAGAAAATTTTGTTAAATTAGAAGGAAGAGAAAAAAGACAATTTCTGTAAGAATTGAAGGGGTTTTACAAGCTCAAAAGAGCACTTTTAAAAATATCTGCATTTCATTACACAAGTGCTAAAAAGCACATCTAAAAGTTCTTAAGGCAGAAACAAACAAAACAGGGCAAGCTTGAGACTTTTAATTTCTCAAAAAGACTCGCGTTAAAAGACGAGAAGAATCTCTTAAAACAAATCCCTAAAAATTTTTACCTCAAAAAATCACAATCTATTTACATATTTCAAAAGAAAACAGACAATTAGACAAATAGGAATGGGGAGAAAAAACAGGCAATACAATTTGGGTATTTACATAAATTTATTATCGAATAATCCTATTTATATCATCACGTCCCTTCTATTCCGAGCACATCCAGTCACAGAGCTCAAGTAGACGGGCCTGCAGCATCATCGTCAGAACTAAAGTTTTTTTTGATTAAAAAAACTAACTTTTTAAACTCACGTATTCTCTAGGCTCGGCACCTTCTCATAGAGCGCAGTTGACGTAGACTCGGTAGAACCAGAGATGGCAGACTCCTTTCCGTCAACATCTTTGCAATGCTTACAGGTAGTACGTCCATTGCCTTTAGTCTTCCCTCCATTGTCGCCAACCAATTTGCCAAGGCTCGGTCCATGTCCGCCTCCTTTCTTTTCGTTCTTGTCCAAGCAGCCGACTCCTTTCTTTTCGTTCTTGCCCAAGTCCTGGTGTTGGCCGCCTACTCCTTTCTTTGAGATCTTGCCCTGTTCTTGACCGCCAAGATCCGCCTCCCCCATTTTCGCCTTTTCCAAGTTCGCAGCAAGATCCGCCAGCAGCTCATTGTCCTAAAAAAAAAGAAGAATGTTTTTTTAAAAAAAATTAATTTTTCTTACATGTTCATTAGCGCTGATTACCGCATTGATGAGAACACAAGCATCATTCAACAGATCCAACACATGACCGTATTTTGCCTCAAGCGAATGGCGTCGAGCTCTCTCCTGATCCAGCTGCGACTTGTGCGACCCTGTGTTTGAGCGTTTGGACATCCTGATGGTTGAGAGGTTGTTTATCTGAAGAAGAAAATTTAATTTTAGTCAGAATTGGATCAGCTTTTATATGAAGAATTTAGTATAAAAGCAAGAATCTTCCAAATTATCTACCTCATTCCTTCAGAAAACCGAAGCATGTCACAAATTGGTCAACCGATGAAGACTACAGATCTCTACGATCAGCCACCACCACCAGCAGCATCAGTAGCATCAGCAGCGCCACCGCCGCCGGCAAATGACCAACTCTATGAACAACCGCCACTGGTTGACGATGGGAAGCAATCGACGGCAAGGACGAAAAGCGAAGAAGTTCAGCGACCTACAAAGCCACCCAGAAAACCGAGTACGAAAACATCGATGAAATGTAGGCATCTTTTTTGGGATCTATCAAAGTTAAGTTTTAAAAAAAATGTTCAAGAATTCAAAAATAATTTCTTTCATTTTCCAGGAAAGAACAAAAACACGGGAAAACGAAAGGGAAAGAAGCATGGCAAGTCTGATACACCAAAGCGCCAGACTGGTAGTGAAATAGCAATTAAATTTTTTTAATTTTTATCATTTTTCAGCTCCAAAGAAATCCTCTAAGAAGAATGTCGATGTGGAACAAACGGTCGTCAAAGTCCAACCAAAACCTCAGCCAAAACCAAAAAAGAAGGTGGTGGTAAAGAACAAGTGTGGTATCTTTTCTTCGGTCTTGCTGACTCTTCTGGCTCTTGGTCTTGCTATAGGCACTTCAATGGCGGCTTTTTGTCAATTAGAGGAGATAATTCCAAAAAGCGGGAAACGAAAGGGGAAGAAGCATGGCAAGTCTGATACTCCAAAGCGTCAGACTTCAAATTATCTACCTCATTCCTTCAGAAAACCGAAGCATGTCACAAATTGGTCAACCGATGAAGACTACAGATCTCTACGATCAGCCACCACCACCAGCAGCATCAGTAGCATCAGCAGCGCCACCGCCGCCGGCAAATGACCAACTCTATGAACAACCGCCACTGGTTGACGATGGGAAGCAACCGACGGCAAGGACGAAAAGCGAAGAAGTTCAGCGACCTACAAAGCCACCCAGAAAACCGAGTACGAAAACATCGATGAAATGTAGGCATCTTTTTGGGATCTATCAAAGTTAAGTTTTAAAAAAAATGTTCAAGAATTCAAAAATAATTTCTTTCATTTTCCAGGAAAGAACAAAAACACGGGAAAACGAAAGGGAAAGAAGCATGGCAAGTCTGATACACCAAAGCGCCAGACTGGTAGTGAAATAACAATTAAATTTTTTTAATTTTTATCATTTTTCAGCTCCAAAGAAATCCTCTAAGAAGAATGTCGATGTGGAACAAACGGTCGTCAAAGTCCAACCAAAACCTCAGCCAAAACCAAAAAAGAAGGTGGTGGTAAAGAACAAGTGAGGTATCTTTTCTTCGGTCTTGCTGACGCTTCTGGCTCTTGGTCTTGCTATAGGCACTTCAATGGCGGCTTTTTGTCAATTAGAGGAGATAATTCCAAAAGAATATCCATAGTTTTAAACAAGTAAATATATTCACTCATTCATTGTTATTGTATTTCTCTTCTCTTTGTCTCGTGATTGTTAGAGTTAATTGAGAGATATGTAGTTATACTTTGCTAATAATTTACTATTAATTGTTTTTCTTAATGTGATAAATTAATGTTTGACTTGCACTCTTGTGCGAAAGTTTATGCACACTTGATATTTTTTCTCTACAGTATAACTTAAGTTTTTAAGTTAGAAGAATAATTTCTTTTTTGTATAATAGACTAGAGTATCCGATCCGAACTCTGACCAGACCCGGACCTTTTTTGGGCAAATCCTAACCCAAAATCATTCATGCTCAGTGGACAGGAGAGACCAGCTCTATCCATAAGACTGTGCAAAGACTGATTATTTTAAAATTTCCAATTTTTTTAAATGGGCACCCTTCCCTCGTCGAGACCAGAACTCTTGTTACGCTTTGGAACCTTAAAAATAATCAAAGTAAATATTATTTTTTACTATTTTCTTGTTCCAGTTAAAGTAAGATGGCGTATTCATTTTCAATTTGTAATTACTCGTGATAAATTAATGAATCCCTTTAAAAATGGCCAATCTTTATTAGCGGATAATTTAAATATTGAAACTGTAAAATGGAATTTACCTATAAATGTTTTAACTTGTAGTCCATTTAATGCTTCATTGGTTTGTTCAAATTCTTATTCTACTACTTTTGTTATTTAATTGTTTTTTTGAGAGGTTTTTTATTCTCAAATTAATTTTGTTGTTGTTTAATTTTGTTATATACCGTATCTACTCTAATTAAATGACATCTCTAATTTAATGACACTTTTTTGGGGTATATGAAAAATAGAATGACTGTCATTTTATTAGAGAAAATACGGTATTAACTTTTTTGGGGTATATTTCATTTCCACAAAAAATTTGCGGAACTCACTTCATTACCAAACAGATTCTAAAAAGTATAAGGCCAAAAGGAAAGAAAATTTAAAACGATTGACTAGATGTGAAACACCAAAATAGGAGAAATTCGGTGAAAGGCACTGGGGCAAAGGCGAAATACGGCGAAAGTAAACCTTTGATGATCAACATGTTTAATTCTTTATTTGAAATTTTGTAAAAAATTTTTCGTCCCTTTAAAACAAGATTTTGAAATATGTCCCCGTATTTTTAATTTTAAGTGACATATATATTCATTTTCAATTTGTTTTTTCTATTTCTCCTAATTACAAATTGAAAATGAATACACCGAATTTCTCCTATTTTGGTGTTTCACCTCTATTTTATTTTAGCTCCTTAACTCAGGGAGATTTTTAATAATACACATACATATTGTAAATTTGAAAGATAATATTTAAAAAAATTTAATTTTTTTAACGCTTTCATTTTTCAATATTTTTTATTATTTTTTATAACTATTTAATTTTCTCAATTTTTCAAAAAAAATTTTTTTAGAAATTGTTTTAGAAAAGATTTTAGAATTTTTTCAATGATTTTGGCAAGGACTTCTTTTTTTCTAGCTTCAAGTTTGCTTTTATTTTATTTTTTTAAAATCTTTTTGTTAATTTAGAGCGCTTATATGCGACCTACATTCCAGGCTCAAGGCCAGTTTTCAAGCGTACAAAGCCTCATCTTAATGTTGGTACAATTGGGCATGTTGACCACGGTAATAATGATTTTTAAATTTGTAAAAATAAAAATTTTTTACAGGAAAGACGACCTTACATCTGCGATTACGAAAGGTTAACTTTAAATCGTTTCCGAAAGTTTTTTCTAATTTTTAGTACTTGGTATTTCAAAGAAGGCGAAATTTAGTTTGTTTTAATTTAATTTGGTACTTTTCCGTTATGACGTAACTCCCTAAATTAATGTTCAGAATGTCATATATAGGGTAGAAAAAGGTGCTGAGTTGAACGGTACCACTCTTTTTTCCCAAAGATGCCTGAGGACCGAGATATAGGGCTCGAAATGGTCAAAAACCATAGGAGGGAGAGCTCCTCGCCTACGCCCCATAGGTTTACGTTGATCATTTTGATCTTGTTCATCTCGTCACATAATCAAGATTTCGAGCTGCTTTTGGTGTTATTCGACTCAGCTCGAAGAGCTCTTTCGAATGAGTTATCTTTTGCAAAATCGAATTTTTCACCCCAAGATTGAGCTCACTTCCTCCTTTGGTTTTTGACCATTTCGAGCCCAATATCTCGGTCCACAGGCATCTTCGGGAAAAATTAGTGGTACCTATCGACTCAGCACCTTTTTCTATCCAGTATATGACATTTTGAACATTAATTTAGGGGGTTACGTCATAACGGAAAAGTACCTTTAATTTTTGCAAGAAATCCTTGTAGGTATGAGGATATTGATAATGCACCAGAAGAACGTTCTCGTGGCATTACCATTAATACTGCTCATATTGAATATGGTTTGGGATTTCTTTCTAATTTTTTTCCAATTTTTTGGGAGAGGAGTGTGGGGGTTCATTCCTATTCCTTCCTAAATTTTTTCCCCAACATAATATTTGTTCTATTTAAATAAATGTGATGAAGTAAATGATGAAAAAAACGTGAGCTTGTTGAAATGGATATCCTGGAGATTAAGTACCGGTATGGCATTAGTAAGAGATTATATGGAGATAACCCCCATGCAGTCAATTCTCACCATAATTATACCCCTCATACCATGGGTGGGACGGGTTGTGAAAGCAATTAGAATCAGGGTTTCGAAAGTTTCTTGTTCAGATTTCTCATTTCTGGTCGAAAAAAAGATCGGCGTTTTAAGTACCATCAAATTTCTGTCCTATTTTAGCACTAAATACGCCTCAATTCAAAGCACATTTCTTACAAGGGAACATTTCGAACTGTGACCAAAAATTTTTAAATAAAAATTATACCATCGTGTAGAGCGTAGTCGAAAACGTATTGTGGTGCCCGGCTTTTCTTCCCCTGACCCCCATTTCGAAAAGTTATAGGGCTTCAAAGTTTTCGACTTTTGGAGCGGTTGAGTCGCCCTCACTTTCTTTATTATTTCTCTTCCTAAAAGGAAAAATAAGACTCCTTTTTTCCATTTTTCCTTTCCTTTTCTTTTCCCATGTTGATTAAAGAAAGAGAAAAAGAGAAGAGAAAAGGAAAGGAAAAGAGCATCTCTGCCTTGCGGCTACTGTTAATTTAAAAGGAAAGAGGAGATGGCAGACATGCCTCTTTTCCTTTTCTTTTCTCTCCTCCTTTTCTCTTTCTTTAACTAATATTGGAAAAGAAAAGGAAAGAAGAAAAATAGGATGGGAGTCTTATTTTTCTCCTTAATAAAGAAAAATCTCTCTTTATGAGGGCGACTCAACCGCTCCAAAAGTCGAAAACTTTGAAGCCCTATAACTTTTCGAAATGGGGGTCAGGGGAAGAAAAGCCGGGCACCACAATACGTTTTCGACTACGCTCTACACGATGGTATAATTTTTATTTAAAAATTTTTGGTCACAGTTCGAAATGTTCCCTTGTTAGTTTAGGTGGTCATGGGGCGAAAGGGAGCTACTTAAATAATGTACTGATTATAAGATACGATTTTTTACCTTTTTTACCCTTAAGTGTATCTTATAAATTTTTAAAGATAATTATTGGCTCTGCATTATCTGCTTTGGAAGGAAAAAATCCTGAAATTGGTGAAAAATCTGTTTTTAAACTTCTTGAAACTTTGGATAATTATTTTAAAATTCCTAAACGTGAGGTTACTCATGAAACAATTTTTGCTGTAGAAAAAGTTTATAATATTGAAGGTTTTTTTGATAAAGTGATAGGTACTCTTGTGTTATCTCCCCCCATTTTATTTTTCTTCCCCTTTCATTTTTATTTCTCTAAAAAATACACATGGGTCAAATTGAATCTATGTCGTGAGTTACCATGTTTTGATATTGAAGATCCAATCCCAACGTTGGTGTGTACCAGTATTCTATTTACAATACGTTCATTCTATTACCAGAATATTTTAAGGAAATAGAGGGACCTATTCATCCAGAGTTACCATACAAAAGCACAATAATATACAATCGTCCTTAAAACCAGAGTTGGGTACCTATCGCCATAACTCTAACAGTATGTTAAGTTAATCATTCATGTGTGCTTTTTATGGAGAAAGGAAAAGTAAAGGAGAAAGAAAATAACATGGGGGGGGGGGGGGGAGATAACACAAGAGTACAAAAGTGATATAATAATAAATTAAAAAAAATTTTTTTGCAAGAAAAGGTGGAGTTGTCACTGGTAAATTAGAACAAGGATCAGTAAAGAAAGGTGACAAACTGGTAATTGCTGGGCAAGGAAAAAATAAGACTACTATTGTTAATGGTTTTTTTTTGATTTGAAAGAATTTTTAAATTAAATTTGTATTTTATAGGTTTGGAAACATTTTGTAAAACTGTTGATAAAGGTGAACCTGGAGATCAATTGGGTATTAGGTATTTTTTATTTTTTTTAAATTGGGTTTTTGGAGACCGTTTAATTTTCGCTTGTGGCGGCTCAAATAAAATGTAGGGACACTGAGCCGCCACTGGAGAAAGTTTTAGAGAATTGAAAAAAATTTTTTTGCAAGGTATTCTGCTTCGTGGTGTTGAACCAAAAGATCTTAAAAGAGGATGTGTTCTTTTACCTCAAGGACATAAACATTTGCTTACTGATAGGTTTTTTGAAATAAATTTTATTTTTGCATTATGGGGATTTTGTTTTTAATTTTTTAAAATTATTTTGGGAAATTTTAAATTTTGGGTGTCCCTTTTCATTTTTGCCTTATGTTTGCTGAAATTATTTTGGAATATAAGTGAGTCACAAAGATTTTTTTGAAATTTTTAAAAATTTAAAATTTCTATAAAAAAAATTTTTTTCTCCAGTGTTGATCAATTTATGTTACCACAGCAACGCTTTACTCTTCGAAATTCTGAAAATTCTACAAGTTTTATTTTTTTTAATTTAAAGAAAATTAATTTAATTATTTAAAGTTGCTTGTGGTGTATTTTTGGAGTTGCTTGAGCCAATGACTTTTGAGGAGAAAGATAAAAGAAATCGTAAAAAACAAAAGCGTTCAGTTATTTAGAGTAAGTTTAATTTTTGTATTGGCTGTACTTTAGCCGGTGGCCCACTCAGAAACGGGTCAAATTATATACCATTCGATTCGTCCCGGCGAGCTGAGTCGAATGGTACCTCTCTTTTTTTGCGGAAATTGCTACGAGCCGAGATATAGGTCCTTAAAAACCGAAAAACCATAGGGGGGACCAAGCACTTTTTTGGGGTGAAAAATTCGAATTTGCAAATGATAGCTCATTCGAAAGAGCTCCTCGAGCTGAGTCGAATGACATCAAAATCAACGAAATCAGACATGAGTGAACAAAGTTATGATCTTTTATTTTAGCTCCTTACCTATGGCATTTGTGGAGATTTTTGCTGCTACGGAGGCCCCAAATACGTCCAGAGCAAAGGAGATAGGAATAGGCTTATGTTACGAGCCCAGACCCAGCGCCCGTAGACTCCCCGCGAGGCGCGTGCCGCAAGACCCCGCGCGAAGCGCGGGGTCTTGCCCAAGCGCCTCGCCGCCGACCCATAGGTTTAGGTTCTTTGTTTTTTGTGTTATAACTTTGTCAAATCTTATGCAATCACGGTGATTTTGGTGTCATTCGACTCAGCTCGACGAGCTCTTTCGAATGAGATATTATTTGCATATTCGAATTTTCCACCCCAAAAAAGTGCTTGGTCCCCCCTATGGTTTTTCGGTTTTTAAGGACCTATATCTCGGCTCGTAGCAATTTCCGCAAAAAAAGAGTGGTACCATTCGACTCAGCTCGCCGAGACGAATCGAATGGTATATAATTTGACCCGTTTCTGAGTGGGCCACCGGCTAAAGTATATCCTTTGTATTTTTTAGGTTTAAAAATGAAATCACAAATAATTCTGACTTTTTTTCTTTTGAGATTTAGGTCAAAATATTTATGTTAATTTTAATTCTGATTTTTCACACAATAGTGATTTAAATTTTTAAAAAATCGAACTTTTGTTATTTCATAAGTTAAAAAATATCAGAATTTTTTTGCTTTTTAGGTTAACAAATGGTAATACAAAATTCTGATTTTTATTTAAAATTTAAATTAGAATTTTTGTTTTTTGTTCAAAATCAGAATTTTTTGTGTATTTAATTGATTTTTAAAATTCAAATCAGACTTGACTTATTCTAAGAATATCAAAAATTTTTTATATTTTTTTTAAATTCTGATTATTTTTTATTTTAATTTAGAACTTGGTTTTAATCCTTATGATGCAAGTTGGGAAAAGACTTGCATGCCGGATTATTCAAAATCGCCAATTAACAATCCTGTGGAAGAACTTTTTAGAAGGGAAGCAACTGGACATTGAGAATAATTAATATTTTTGGAATTGAGAAAGATGAGAAAGATGACTTTGAAAAGAAAGGTTGAAAAAAAATTTTTTTTGGTTGGCTAATTAATTAATTATTTTTTGATGTTTATTTAAATAATAATCAAAAACAAAATTTGTATTTAGGTAAAGAAATTGTTTATTTATTTAGGTAATTAATATTCTTTATATTTTTTAAACATTCTTTTCTTATCAATTTTTCCCTTACATTATTTTTTTAGATAAGGAAATATTTGGTAAAACGATTAAAGGGCTAATTTCTGGAAAAATATAGCTCATTAGAGAGAGCTTTTCGAGCTGAGTCGAATGACACCGAAATTAACGCAATCTGACTCGCTAAGGCTGAGTTACAAGCTGAAAATTTGAAAAGCCATATATGTGATTAGGCTCATTTTAGGACCATATCTCGGCCCTTAGAGATATGGTCCTCAGATTGCGTTACTTTTGGTGTCATTCGATCTCGGCCCTTAGATACCGAACCGACTTCGGTCACACCTAGTTCTTCTTAGCTTTCCAAACTCTTTCGAATGACACGCGCCTCGCTTGTACTTGATAATCAAGTACTTGATAAAAAATCATAGACAAAATCAAGTGTTAGACAAAATCTGAGTTCAGATTCGTGATCAGCGCTGAAAGTTACCCTAGAAACTGTCTTCGCAGGATTTTTAAATTAATTTTTCAACGGGACCGCAATTCCTCACGATTGCTGGGATAATCTTACTAGTGCAGAACCCAGCGAGCGTAGACTCCCCGCGAGGCGCGTGCCGCAACGCGCCTCGCTGACACCCATAGATTTACATTTGTGTCATACACTTTGTGTCATTCACAAGCATTTTGAAACTTTTCAATTTTTAATTTTTTTCGATTTTAGACTTTTGAGGTTATTTCCGATTTCAACGATCTTGAAAAATATTTTTGACTTCGATAATTTGCTTAAAAGCAAGATGCTTAAGAGCACATGTCGAACAAGATAAACAACAAAAGGACCATAAGTTGTGTCAATATAATATAGATAAACAAATATAAAAAGAGATATAGCATATACTGAAAAAGAAAAAGAAATACAATGCAAAAAACAAAGAAAAGAAAAAGACAGTTATATTTATTTGTACTGGGTTTTCTATGCCGTTTGCAAACCGTCAAATTTTTTCAATTTTTAAATATTTAGTTTTCCCTTATTTTATTCTAAATTGCCCGTTCTTGTGCGCGCCAACATCCGCCCTATAATTTTTGGATTGCCTGCAATATTTTTGCGGGCTCGGCTTCATTTATAATTTCAGAGAGATTCAAGATTTTTTGTTAAATCTCGGATGGATTATACATAAATTAAATCAAAGAAAGTAAAGTTTAGGCAACATTCGCAATAAATCTCTAGAAGTTATGGTATTTATTTACATACTTCCATCAAGACAGCAAACTGTTTTTCCTTCACACGTACCGAATGGTCAGAAAAGTACTAGTACTAAAAGTACTAGTTTGAAAAGTACTAGTTCCGAGACAATCCAAACAATCCTTTAATCTATTAAAAATGTTTGCTGAAGGTAAAGCATTTCTTAATTGTCCAACAAGTTCAGAATGTAATAGTTCATTTAAAAGAAATTACTGACTAATAAAAACAATATTTAAAACTTTTTTGATTTGAATTTTGATTTTTACAAAAACTTGACTATATTAGCTAAATATAATAGTGTAACAATTATTGACATTCACGCAAATTCATTTTTATGTAATTAAATAGTTTAAATTTCCACCACCTTCTTTTTTGGTTTTGGCTGAGGTCTAACAATAACATACTCTAATTAACTCTAACAATCACGAGACAAAGAGAAGAGAAATACAATAACAATGAATGAGTGAATATATTTACTTGTTTAAAACTATGGATATTCTTTTGGAATTATCTCCTCTAATTGACAAAAAGCCGCCATTGAAGTGCCTATAGCAAGACCAAGAGCCAGAAGCGTCAGCAAGACCGAAGAAAAGATACCTCACTTGTTCTTTACCACCACCTTCTTTTTTGGTTTTGGCTGAGGTTTTGGTTGGACTTTGACGACCGTTTGTTCCACATCGACATTCTTCTTAGAGGATTTCTTTGGAGCTGAAAAATGATAAAAATTAAAAAAATTTAATTGTTATTTCACTACCAGTCTGGCGCTTTGGTGTATCAGACTTGCCATGCTTCTTTCCCTTTCGTTTTCCCGTGTTTTTGTTCTTTCCTGGAAAATGAAAGAAATTATTTTTGAATTCTTGAACATTTTTTTTTAAAACTTCACTTTGATAGATCCCAAAAAGATGCCTACATTTCATCGATGTTTTCGTACTCGGTTTTCTGGGTTGGCTTTGTAGGTCGCTGAACTTCTTCGCTTTTCGTCCTTGCCGTCGATTGCTTCCCATCGTCAACCAGTGGCGGTTGTTCATAGAGTTGGTCATTTGCCGGCGGCGGTGGCGCTGCTGATGCTACTGATGCTGCTGGTGGTGGTGGCTGATCGTAGAGATCTGTAGTCTTCATCGGTTGACCAATTTGTGACATGCTTCGGTTTTCTGAAGGAATGAGGTAGATAATTTGGAAGATTCTTGCTTTTATACTAAATTCTTCATATAAAAGCTGATCCAATTCTGACTAAAATTAAATTTTCTTCTTCAGATAAACAACCTCTCAACCATCAGGATGTCCAAACGCTCAAACACAGGGTCGCACAAGTCGCAGCTGGATCAGGAGAGAGCTCGACGCCATTCGCTTGAGGCAAAATACGGTCATGTGTTGGATCTGTTGAATGATGCTTGTGTTCTCATCAATGCGGTAATCAGCGCTAATGAACATGTAAGAAAAATTAATTTTTTTTAAAAAAACATTCTTCTTTTTTTTTAGGACAATGAGCTGCTGGCGGATCTTGCTGCGAACTTGGAAAAGGCGAAAATGGGGGAGGCGGATCTTGGCGGTCAAGAACAGGGCAAGATCTCAAAGAAAGGAGTAGGCGGCCAACACCAGGACTTGGGCAAGAACGAAAAGAAAGGAGTCGGCTGCTTGGACAAGAACGAAAAGAAAGGAGGCGGACATGGACCGAGCCTTGGCAAATTGGTTGGCGACAATGGAGGGAAGACTAAAGGCAATGGACGTACTACCTGTAAGCATTGCAAAGATGTTGACGGAAAGGAGTCTGCCATCTCTGGTTCTACCGAGTCTACGTCAACTGCGCTCTATGAGAAGGTGCCGAGCCTAGAGAATACGTGAGTTTAAAAAGTTAGTTTTTTTAATCAAAAAAAACTTTAGTTCTGACGATGATGCTGCAGGCCCGTCTACTTGAGCTCTGTGACTGGATGTGCTCGGAATAGAAGGGACGTGATGATATAAATAGGATTATTCGATAATAAATTTATGTAAATACCCAAATTGTATTGCCTGTTTTTTCTCCCCATTCCTATTTGTCTAATTGTCTGTTTTCTTTTGAAATATGTAAATAGATTGTGATTTTTTGAGGTAAAAATTTTTAGGGATTTGTTTTAAGAGATTCTTCTCGTCTTTTAACGCGAGTCTTTTTGAGAAATTAAAAGTCTCAAGCTTGCCCTGTTTTGTTTGTTTCTGCCTTAAGAACTTTTAGATGTGCTTTTTAGCACTTGTGTAATGAAATGCAGATATTTTTAAAAGTGCTCTTTTGAGCAAAGTAGAATCTGATTTTTTGACATAAACCCAAGTTTATTGTAGCCCCCCGAAGAGAAGCACACAAAAAGGTGAAATTTAGTGAAAAGTGGAAGACAAAAGGAAAACGCCTTCTTTTTACCGCCAAACCAATTTAAGTTAAAAATAATCCATTTAAACTGGAGGCATCGCTTAGGTATCTCCCTTAACTAAAGGCCAACTATATTAAAAATATAGTACACACAAAGTTGTAGACCTTAGTGGGGGGGGGGGGGGGCGAGATTCAACTGTATTTTTTAAAAATAAAAATTTAAAATAAAAGGCACACAAACGCTCGTAATTTTTAAAAATTATAATTATCTTTTCTTGACTATTTTTCTGTTTTTTTCTAATTAATTAGCAACCAAAAGAAGAAATTATATATTTTTTATCTTTGTTGAGATTTTCGAATTTATTTTTTTAAAAATTATTTAACTTTTCCTTTTTTTAACACTTTCAACTGCTGCTGTTGTTATTGAAGAATTGCTGCTCTAATTTTTTAGAAAATTTTTTAGAAAAAATTTCAATTTTTTTTCTTACCATACCATAGATTTATTTAAATCTTGAACATTATTTCTGCGATTTTCTTTGTGAAGATGAAGCAAATAATTACCAATTATTGGAATTTCTAATTCGTTTTTTAGTCTTTAAAAAGAAAATATTTAGTAGGAGAGAAGGGTTTAAATATAGTAGAAATTACAAATCAGAATTCTAATTTGTAAAATAAAATCTCTGATTTTTTTTAACCTGAATACCCCAAAAATTTTTGCTAAATTTTTAATACCAGAATTCTGGTTTAAAATTTTAAAAAATTGAATCAAATTTTGATTCTCTTTTAAAATCAAAATTTTTAGGAAAAACCATAACAGATTAAAAAACAGAAATCAGAATTTTAGAATAAGAACAAACTCAAAATTTTGATTTTTTAAATTATAAATAATTCTTATTTGTAAATAAAATCAGAATAATCTAACTTTTGCGGACATTATTTACGGATTTTTTTAAATTTAATTTCTAAAAAATACTTTTGATTATCAACATTTTCTTCCAACCAAAATATTATTTTTGTAAAACAAAGAGAATGTAGAACAGAACGTTTTCTTTGTTGAAGGGAATCTATTTCACAAAAAGCGTGATAAAATCTTTAAATAAAAATTTCAAATTTTTTTTAAATTTTAAAAAATTTACATAAACAAAGCTTTTGATGCCAATAATGCAATAATAACATCACAGGTATAATGTGTCCTTAAAAATTTTTCTTTGGAAATTTTTTTCTTTAATTTTCAAAAAAATTTCGAAAATTTTCGGAATTTTGCAAAAAATTTTGGAAAAATTGAAAAAAAAAACCTGCTAATAACCATGCAAGGAATGCCTATCAAGGCAAAACAAAAAGGAAACCATTTTATATATTTAAATCTTCTATCGATATATTTGGATATTGAAAGGGCTGAAATTACCTGAAAAGAAAAGAATAAAGAAAAACTAATATTTAAATATTTTAAACATTTCGGCGCGGATACGTTCTGGCGCCAACGAGAAAAACTGCCCTATAAAAGTATCCAGAACCTCAATAATTTGCACAATACTCCTCAATAGTGTTATCTAAGCTCTCTAAAAATTTCAGAATTTTTGAACAAAAATTATTCAAGTTATAGTCAATAAACCAAACTTTAATGAAGAAATTTAACTATTTCTCCAATAACTCTCTTATACTAAACCCAAAATTTTTGGTATTTTTAGACAAGTTAGATAACACTATTGGGGATATTTTTGCAAAATTTTCATAGCCTCATATAATTTTTAAATTATTTTATTAAAATGCGCGCCTTTGCAGTTTTGCGCCCAAACGTCCCTTCGCCCCCCATTGAATTTTTAAAAAATTGATAAAAATTTTTTCAATTTTAAAATTTTTTCAACCAAAAATCAACTAAGAACCAACTAACCATAATTAAAGTATGCCCAGAAAATAAAAAATCGCCACAAAGCATTTGTTTTGAATTATCTTGTAATCCAACATGTATTGTTTGTTCTAACGTTCTTATCAAGTAAATTGACAATGTTCTATTTATTTTATTTATTAAAGGTCTACAACGCACTTCGTTGTTTTTATAACCTGCTGGGAGTTGGGTTACTAACATCCTTAAAAAAATTTTTTTTAATTAAAAAATTCTTTAGACTAGCCGGTTCATTTGCCGGACGTTTAGTGACTCTCTCTCTATAAAGGTCCCCGTGATCTTGTAAATTATTTTAATAAAAGCTCCCCTCTCCAATAGAAGATAACCTTTTGCAAAGGAAAACATCAGAGATCCACCCCTACTTAAAACCTTATTCCAATAAACGCGTCCCTGAAAAGCCCGTCCGTCTATTGGAGAGGGGTACTTATATTCAAAATCAAGCTCCTCTCCAATAAGAGACAACCTTTTGTAAAGGAAAATAACGGGATCCAACCCTCTCCAATTAAAACCTCTCTCTAATAAACGCCTTCTCTATTTACGCATACCTAGCGAAACCGTCCGTTTATTAGAGAGGGTACTTGAATTTAAAATTAAAAGAAAACCTACATAACCGTCCTAAAAGAATACAAGCAAGCAATAATAAAAAGTATTCTTCTGATAACCACAATTCGGTGTTTGTGAAAAATAAATAACAAAATTAAAGAAATTGAGCACAACATAACCATAAAATCACCGAGGGGAATAGCCCAAGGTTGTTCCTCAACAAAATGGAAAATAATATCCGGAAGAGGGTTCCTTGAAAATTAAAGAGATTAGAATTTTTATAAGGCGAACCTCATTATAAGATACCCACTGGGGAAAAAATCGCCTTATAATGTGGTGTACATTATATAGAGGGTATCACTTAGATAGAGGGTTGGTTTCCAAAGGAGGTCAATCTAAAGGGTTGGCTTCCAAAAGGGGTTATTTAAATTGAGGGTATCGCCTATATAGGGGTGTCACTTAAACAGAGGGCATCGCTTAAATAGAGGGTATCACTTCAGAGGGCCCCTCTACCCAATACCCTCTAAATCTGAAAAAACCTCGTTATAAGCTACCTCCTCTAAGTCTAAGGGTATCCAATTCTGAGGGTATCTTATAGTGAGCTTCCTCCATTTAATCAAAAAATTAAAAAAACACCTTCCAATAAAATCATGTATATATGCAAGAGCTACCCAATTAGAAAATCCAGCAAATATCAAAAAATTAATTATTACAGCTAGTTTTATAGGTTCTAATTGAAATTGTTCTTGGGAATCCATTTAAAAAGAAGAAAAGAATTTTTAAGTGAAAAGAAAAAAGTTCTGAAAAAATTAAAAGAGAATTTTGATTTTTAAAGTAATCAAAAAAAAATTTTTAATTTAAGGATGTGCGCAAAATTAAAAAAAAATATAAAACGCCAAAAATAAAACGCTAAAAGACGAAATGCCCAAAAATCATAACGCCAAAAAATTAAACGTCAAAAAAACAGAACGCCAAGGAAAAAACGCCAAAAAGACAAAACGCCAAAAATTAAATCCAAAAAACAAAATGCCAAAAAAATTCAAAATGTCACAATTCAAAACGCCAAAAACTCAAAATCCCAAAAAAAATCAAAACGCCAAAGAGCGCAAAAAACGCCAAAAGTCAAAACGCCAATTATAACTAAGATCTGGGACACGCCCACTTAGTCGCGCGGCCACTTAGTCGCAGAGCCATAACTTGCTAAAAAATTTCTGGCCCTTATCAATTTTGGTACCAATCTCTTTAGCTCGATGAGAGGAATCGTTTAATACCAAATTTGGAAAGATTCGGAAATCTTAAAGCAAGTTATGGCTCTGCGACTAAGTGGCCGCGCGACTAAGTGGGCCGTACCCCTAAGATCTCTGGCAGCCTAAATTAAAATTGATTTTTAAAAGATTTTTAAAGAAAATAAAAATTATCCCCATTTAAAGAGAAACAAAACTAAAAATCTTTAATTAAAGAAAATTGACAAAAGGAAAATATAAACAAGTGTCAAAAAAGAAGAAAGAGAAAGAATACTACAAAGTGCGCGAAAACAAAACAAAACCAGTCATTTTTCTATTGTAAAGAAGTTATGTAAATGGGGAGAGATTGCGATGAATTGTAATTAAAAAACGGGTCACTCACACATGTAAAAGAGCGACTAATCAACACCTATACAGATCAAATAAGTGGGGGAAAATCAACAAACTCTAAGTTGAGTATTTATGTTGATGAACGGATTAAACGAATAAAGCCCAAGAGGGCGCGCGGCCATAACGACGCAAAGCCATAACTTGCTTCAGGATTCTCGAATCTTAATAAATTTGGTATTAAACAATTCCTTCATAAGCTAAAGAGATTGGTATCAAAATGGAAATGGACTAGAAAATTTTCCAACTAATTACGGCTTTCGCAGTTATGGACCTTTTGGGAAAGGTAGTTAAAGTCTAGGAAATCAGTTGAAAAAGAAACATTCTAAAAAAATTAATTCAGTCGGAAGGTTACTAGAGTCTTAGTTTTTACCCTCAAAGAGACATTTAGAGTCCTAACATTTTAACTAACAAAGTTGATCACTTATGAGTTGATTTTTTAAACAAATTATTAGAGGAACGAGAGGAACATAAATATACATATAGCGGTGGAAGAGTTGAAGAAGAGATGTAATATATAATTTATGTTTTGGTATGAAAAGACTGGCTGGTTGGCTGTTTGTGGGATATGCTTCTTCTTTTTTCGACTTGAAAAAAAGCATTTTTCTTCTTCTTAAACATAAAAGCTTTTTTTTATTTTTAAGAGAAAGATGATCAAATATATTTATTGAAAATGTTTGTAAAATAGCTTTTATATAAAGTACTCTTTATATTAGAAATAAAAAGAATCTTACTAATTTTAGAAGCATAAAAAATACTTTATTTACTTGTATTTACAACTTTTATTCTTGTCTTAATCCAGATGTGCGCAAAATTTAATTTTTTTGTAAGAACTATTGAACCTCCCCCTCCTCCGAAATGAAGTAATCCTCAAATTAAAATAATTCTTTTTTAATTGGTTGGCCTCTAAAGGGGAAGGAGTAGAGCTGTCTCAAAACAAAGAAAATTCAGCGCGCCGAACTTTGCGGACATGAATTCAGCGCGCCGAACTTGCGGACGCCGAACTTTGCGGACATGACTTTGCGGATTTAAATTTTGCGGATCTGAGATTTGCGGACCAACAATCCCAAACAAAATACCCCCTCTATTTAGAGCAACCTACTCATAAGCTATGATTTCTCGGTCCTAAAGATATATCCTAAAAGTGAGGTTGTACTCGAAAATGCCCAATTTTAAATTTTGGCGTTTTCTCAAAAATTTTTTGGCGCACACCTATACATTTGAAGATTTAATGATTTTATATGATTTCAAAAAGCGTACAGAGATTATATTTACGTCAATTCACTCACAAAAAGGGATGAGTCAAAAAAGTTTATTACGTAAATATATTTGAAGATTAAATATCCCTCTCCCCTCTTAAAGAGCTTAAAAATTGATGTTAAGTAGGCGGTAATAAATCAAAGAAAATCAAAGAAAAGGGGCAAGTATTACTCATCCCTCTAAAATTTTAATTCTTTTTCCCTCCTTTATTCAATAAAACATTCAAGAACAAAAAAAGAACCATTTTATTTATATTTTATGTAAATCCCCCTTCCTTCTCCCCCTTCCAAAAATCATTAAATTTCACAATATCGAAAAAACAAGGAAAGGGAACGACCAGAATTGGAAACGGAAATTCCCTCGAAAAAGCTGAAAAAAATCAACTCCAATTCTAAAAAGGCAAATTTTCTCATTAGAATTTTCAAGTGTGAAAAGAAGAGTAGGAAGAGTTCTGGTGAAAAATTTTTCTGGGAGAAAAGTTCTGGGGAAAATTTTTTTCTCCTACAAAAACAAACAATCAGCTTACTCTAAATAAAGAGAAGCATTTCTCAAACAAAATCGTTAAATCCCACAAGATCGAAAATCAACTCTAGTAGTTTAGGAGGGAAAATTTATCTCTCAAGGTGGAATATTTTAAAAGGAATAGAGGAAAATTGAAAACAGGAAACATAAAGATTTAAAAAATTTTTAAGAGAAAATAGAAAAATATAAATAATTTTGTTGTTGTTATGTTTACATTAAAAATAAATTTAAAAATGTGAAAATAAAAAATTAAAAAAATGAAACTTTATTTCATATATAATTCAAAAATGTTATCATACATATTTTATTTTTGTTTATCAGTCAAACAAATTAAAAACCTATTTTCCCTTTTAAATTAATTTTAAAACATTTAAATTTTAAATTTAAAAGGGCAATAAAAGGGCATTGAAGGAAATAAAATTTAAATTTAAAATGAAAAAAAAATAAAATTTTTTAAACAAAAAATTTAAAACTTTTTCCCTTCTTTACTCGGGTACAGCCCAAGTAGGCGCGCGGCCATAACGGCGCAAAGTCATAACTTGCTTCAACATTTTCTAATCTTACCAAATTTGGTATTAAACGATTCCTCTCGTCGAGCTAAAGAGTTTTGTACCAAAATTGTTAAGGGCCAGAAATTTTCCAGCAAGTTATGGCTTTGCGCCGTTATTGCACAACGCCCCTTTTTAAAATCAAATAAAAAAACAATAAAATAAAAGGTTTTTAAAGTTAAAATGTATTTAGATTGTTTGGAGAATTTATTTATTTAAAATTAAGGGGAAATGACAACTTTAAAAAAGTAGAATATGTGGGGGAGAAAGAAAAAAGAAAAAAGGTCGTTTCGTCATTTTTCGTAAATAAAAATAAAAAAATAAATTTTTGTTTAGCCTTCTGTTTGTTTATCTAAAATAACATTTGGCAAATAAAATAAAAAATAAAAAATTTTCCCCAATGCTTTTTGGACACTTAAAACGTTGAGAGGAGGAATTTAGCTTTTGGCCATTAAAAGTATGCAAACACAAAAAAGGCTAAAAGGAAAATCGTCTAGAGATGAGCAATTGAGATAACTAAGAAAGGATTGAGATTGAGAAATTGGAAAAATTAAGGAGAGGATACTTCAAAGATTGAGACAATTGAAAGGTCAGGATAACTCAGAAATCGAGATGAGATGAGGGTATTTAAGAAATAGAAACAATTGAGGGGATGGGAACAGGGCTGTCCGCAATCTGCAAACGCAATCCGCAAGTCAAAAAGCACACACAATTTCACGCAATCCGCAATTTCGGACAGGGGATATATTGGGGCGTGGATTATATTAATAAAGTTAATTTGAGAATGAAGGGATATTGTAGAAGTAGAAATCAACTGTAAATCTATTAGAGTGATAAGAAATACAACACGTTTTTAAGTGAGTATGTCTGGGAATTTGTAGCCTCCTTCTAAAAATTTAAATTTTTTTAATTTTTATATTAAATACGGAAGTTAAAATGATTAATAAAACCTCTCAATATCAAATAAAAAAAGGTTAAACATAAACATATCATTTCTGAAAAACCGGTCTCGTAATTCTCTTCTTTCTCTCACTCGTCTAATTAATTAATTCTTCTTTGACCCGTATAAATTATTACAAAAAATATTTATTTTTCCATGTCCGGATTTTTCTCTTGAAAATAAACAAACAATTTTTCTTCTAATGAGAGAAGTGTTTTTGTTTAATCCTTATGTCATTATTTTATTCACAAAAATTATTATCCTTAACTTTTCCAATTTTATTTTTAATAATATTGCTTTTAACACCTTTAATTCAAACGTCGTCCTTAAATTCTGGTTAGTCTGTCGTTGTGTTTTTTAGTTGGGTCAAAAGACAAACAAACAGAAAATCAGTCACGAAAAATAGCTTGAACGTCGGGTCGACTTAGAACGGTAACTCGTATGTAGTTGTTTTTCGGAGAACTTTTTCGGAGAACAAAGAATAAAAGACGAAGAACAAAGACAATTACATTAATTTTTTTAAATTCCTTCATATTTAAAGGTCATGAAGGAATAAAAGAAACAAACGAACACGAACCAAATTTTTATAAAATTCAACGATGGCGACAGCAAAACGAAAATGTAACGAAAATTTAAGTAAGAAATTCCAATAATTTTTAAAAAAGGTTCTCAATGATCCTTCTCCTATTTCACTTGAAGAGGATACTGCACCGGTTAGTAAGTTTAAAAAAATTTTCTTTTGTTATTTAAAAGGCGAACCTTACATATTTTAAAATGGACCTCATTTTTAGAAATCCTCCTTAAGATTGAAAAAAAATTTGGGTTTCGGGTCGGGTATGTTAAGGATAATAATAAGAACGGAAAAATCATGTCGGGTTTTGGAAAATTTCTCGGATCGGGTTTCGGTTCAGAGAAAGCCCGAGGATCGGTTAATCCATGACACCCCCCTGGTGTGTGTCTAAACTCGATATAACTCAAAAGGGGTAAAGGAAAGGGTCACTTAATTCGATTGGTTCATTAAATCGAGGTCGATATATCGAGATTCGACTGTATATTAAATAGAGGGTATACCCCTGTAACATCTCCCACCTAATAGAAGAAATTTTTCTGAGGACATTTAAAAAAGAGGTTCTCGTCCATTAAAAAAATTATTTTTCTAATTCAAAAACAGCCTGAAACCGGCATAGTTCCAGAACTGTCAATTGAAAAAGGAAAACCGCCTAGCTTATCAAATAAATTTTTAAAACGTTTAAGTGCTCAACAATTAGCTAATCAAAGGGCAAAATTGCATAGAGGTTTTTCTCTGAATAAAAAAAATTTCTTGATTTTTTCAAAAGGAGGGAATTTACGAGAACCTGTTAATTTTGAAGAAGCATTAAAAGTGACCGTTCCTTATGATTGAATAAATGAGGGAAAAAAGAGGAGAATATGGAAGGGAGGAAATTAAATAGAGAAAAATAATTTCCTCTAGAGATTGATGTTCCAGTGCAACTTTTATTTTAATTTATTAGTTATTTTCCTTTGTGTTTTTAAAACCTAAATTTAAACCTCTTAATTTCAAACTCTTAGAAAAAAAATCCCTAAAAATAAAAAATTGTTGTTAAGAATGGTATGATGACGTAATTCCAAACACAGAAATATCAAACCCCCTAATGACACGTTGAAATACCAAAATGTGGATTGTTCACAATCTTTCACGTTGATGGGGCAACCTTCACCTTTGTCAAAACAAACTTCCACGTGGTTTGGAACATATTTCTACTTATATATTTGTTATTTTTCCACATTTAGGTATTTTGGCAGATTTTGGGGGTTCGGCATCTGATATTACGGTTCGCTCCTGTTAGAAATCCCACCAACTCCTATCTCAAAAAATTTTTTCTGCAAAATATATATTAACCCGTTATTTAATTTAAATATATTATACTTATATACATTTGTACAGGCAATTAATTATAATTTAAAGAATTTTACTTGCGTGTCTTCCTATAAAAAAACTTTTCTCTTTAAACCCCTCTTTTAATGTCTAAACTAGCCCCAACAATTTGACGTATTAACGGCTCATTAAATTCAACATTTGTTAATAAAAGTAATGCCCGATCTTGAATTTTAACTTTTGGTCGATGTAAACGAAGTAAAGGATGAACAGGTATTGGAATACCTCCACGAAGAATGTCGTTTACCTTTAAAAACGAAAAAATTAAAAAAAATTTCAAGCTCCCTTTTGATTGAAAATTTACAAAGTTTGACATCTTGTTTAAAAAATGGTCCATACAATAGAGCTTGGAACTATATATAATAATTAAAAGTTCTAGCTCGATTATATGGACAAAAAAATTTTATTAATCAAGACGTTTGAATTGGAAAATTTTCAATCAAAAGAGATGTATCAGAGCCAAGCTAAAAAATTCTTTAAACAGAATGAACGAGAAAAAACAAAAAGGTCTTTCCAGCAACAGTTTGAAGAAAAAATCAAAATTTTTTTTGAATTTTTTGAATTTTTTTGAATCAAAAATTTTCCCAATAAGATACCTCCAAAAATTTAAATTAATTTTAAAACAAAATCTAATTTTTAATACCATTCGTTGAAGAACTTCTTTAGAAAGTAGCACAGATCTATCCAATTCTTCTTGTGCCAAAATTCCAGGTGTTAAGGTTTTCTATGAAAAAAAAATTCTTTTTAATTGACAAAAAAATTTAAAAAAAAACCAAAGAAATTTTATCCAAAGTAATTTTTGGTCTAACTGTTGTGCTACTCAATTTAATTTTCATATGTGCATTGACATTTATTTGCATTTGAGCAACTTCTGTTTCCTTCATTTTATTAGTTTTTGTAGAATTTCCTTCAAGTAAACTCATAATAATTCTTCCAACTAGAGAAAATGATATTCCCCCAGCTGATTGTGGACGAAATTTAATTACTGGGGATTGAAGCTTTAAAAAATAAAAAAACTCGTTTGATTTAAGAAAAATTTTCGAAAATTTTCGAAATTTCGATTTTTCGAAAATTCTAACGACAAATCGAAATTTTGAAAAAATCTCAATAAAAAAATATTTACGGTAGAAAAGAGTAATGCAAGACTGTGATCAGGATGTAAACGTCTCAAAGTTGGGAAGAAATCCCCTAAACAAAAGAGAAGACCGGTTGAAGCCTAAAAGTAAAAAATTATTTTATTGAAAAAACTAAAGCGGCCAACAGAAATTAAAAAGTAAATAGGGAAAAAGATAGATTTAAAAAATAAGAAAACTAAAAAATCTGTCTAGACCCGGATTCCTATTACATGGAGCGCATTTCAAAAAGTGGAAGACAGAAAACGGAAGCGGGAGTGTTGAAAAAAACATAAATTCTGCGGAAGTGAAATCGTAAAACAAACCATCCCTGGTCTACACCAGCAAGATCTCTCAATACGGTTTTAGAAAATAAAACCGCCAAAAGTATATCCCAATTTGAAATCCCCGCAAAACAAGGAAAAAAAGAATTATAAAAAAACCGGGCAAGTAGTACGCATTAAAGAACCAAAATGTGGAGTTTTTGTATCAACTCTAGCATTAAAAAGTCCAATAGAATGTCCATGATATAAAAGAGAATTTGGCATAAAATCAGAGACCAGCATTTGTAACATATTTTCCTCGTTAGCAAGTAATGGCAAAGTTAAAGTCATTGGACCTATTTTAAAAAAATTTTTAAAAAAATCCAAAAAAATTAAAAAAAAACCAAAAGGCGTTCCTCCTCTTCCACGTAATGAAACCTCTCCACTACTGTCAACTTCTACACCACGATGGTCAGCACGAACATCAATTATTGTGTAATCGAGAAGTAGCTTGTCAGCACGAGATACATTGAAACTAGAAAAAATTTTAAAAATAAAAAAATTTAAAAAAAAATTAACCTTGCAAAAAGATCAGGATCAACGGGAGCGTTTTCATTAGAAGTTTGAATTGGTGGTTCTGCTCTCCTTCAAAAACAAAAAGAAAAATTATTTTAATAATAAAAAAAGTTATTTGGTTAAAAAAAAGCTCATAAGGGAACATCGTTTACTGTGAGTGCTGATTTGATATATCCTTGGTACTATCCGATATAAGACCCCTGCGAAGTGGTATTCGTTTACTTGCAAAATGATTTTGGGCCGAGTTAATAGCCAGTCAAAATTAAACGGCTAGCTTTCGCAAAGGAAGACGAAGGTCCTTACCGAATGGAACAAAAAATATAACAAATCAGTGCCCACATTAAACGATGTTCCCTTGTGAGTTAATTACACTACCTCAACGATAGGCGTCTCACAAAACTTATAGACCCCCCGGAGCAGGCCCGTAGCCAGGGGGGGGGGTGAGGGGGGGAATTCCCCCCCCCCCCCCCGAAATGGGGAAAAGGGAAAAATTTGGGGAAGGGGTGGGGCAAAAAAAGTGAATTTTTTTGGCCTACGGCCTTCTAAAATTCTCAAAATTTTCGCCTGTGGCGCTTAAAATAAAAAATTTTGGCGCCTTCGGCGCCAAAAATTTGGCGCAAAAAAATTTTCCCGCCTTGCCCCCCCCCCCCCCCCGAAAAAAATCCTGGCTACGGGCCTGCCCCGGAGCATCCTTCATAAAAATTATTTAAACTAAACCTCTGCCTTTGCCTCACAGCTTCAACTTTTTTAAGCAAATCTTCAACAATAAAATTATTATTTAATTGGGCTAAATTAAGTTTTGATGGAAGCAAAGCAAAGCGTTGATTTACACGCTGAAATTAAAAAATAAATTTTTAAATGATTTTTAAAAAACCTCTTCAATAACATAAACAATACGAGAACAAGTCAACTAAAAAATATAAAAAATTTTAAAAATAAAAATTCCAAAAAAACCTGTTGAAGCAATTCAGGTCCCAATTCTGTCAATATTGCCTTTCTTTCATTATTATTTGCTCCTCCCTCTCCTTCCAAAGATATACTCAAAGCTTTATTGTCCAAATGTAGTTGACACCTTAAATTGCCTAAACTTTAATTTTAAAGAAATTTTTAAAAATTTTAGATTAAAAAATAATTTTTAAACAAGCATTTTACTTTGAGATGAGAAATTTGGGCGCTCCCTTAAAAAATATTTTTTAAAGAAAATTTATACAAATTTTAAACACTCAAATGATTAAAATTAGTACAACACTCCGTCCCACGAACCAAAAGTCACCCCCAACCCCAAATCACGACATGCTCTCCCCGGAAACCCCCGATCTTCGACTAACAAACCCAAAGGGCAAGGGTGCTTATCCTGTTTTAAATAAAATAAAAAATTAGGAAAAGAGAAACAAACTTGAGGGTGATGAAGTGAAGAAACATTTAAAAACAAGGTAGAAGTGTCAACATGAAAGATGACTTTTTTGTTGTTACCGCCATCGGCAAGTGTTGCCTTGCACCTTTTATAAAAATTCATTTAATCAATCAAAAAAATTGTCAAAGATTTAAAACTAACTCAAACGCAATTTCGGGCAGTTCAATATTGACTTGAGAAGGTGCTTCTGTTTTTGTCTTCAACGGGCCAGGTCCATGTTGCACAGATAAAACAAGATCCGTTAGTCTTGCCTTAGTGTCGTTAAACTGATAGGGAAAAGGGAAAAAATTTGGCTTAAAATATTGGTGTTTTGATAATTATGGATGTGAAAAATCCTTTATTCGAAAGAGCCCCCCCCCCCCCGGATCCTGGTAGTCCAGGAAAACCCCAGTATGGTCAAAAAATGCCTGGGCCTGAACTCTGGGTACAGGAAAACCCAGGCCTTGGTCCAGACCTAGGCCGACCTCTACTAAGGATGTCACGAGTTGAGGAAATGTCCGCGTTTCAGGTTTCGGGTTAGTTAGTGGGATTAAGAGAAAAAATCAGATCGACGTCGGGTCAGGTTTCAAAAATTTCCAGGGTCGGTAATAAAAAAAGTCAAGTTTCGGGTATTCGCGGCATCCTTAATGTCAACACCAGGGATGTCACGGGTTGAGGAAAAAGTCGGGTCGGGTTTCGGGTCGGGTTTTCAAAATTTTCTTCGGATCGGGTTTCGGGTTTCGGGTCGAAAAAAAGTCCGGGTTTCGGGTCTCGGGTCGGGTTTCGGGTCGGGTCAGTTAAAAATTTGAACATGAAGCCAAATTTTTCGGAGGCTGGGGATATTAGTGATTTCCGGGATTAACAAGATAATATATAAGTGTGATATAATAAGAGACAGGGATTAAATGGATTTGGATGGATTAAGATTAATATCAGGGGATTTGGGGATTAAAAGGGATATCAAGGCATTTAAAAGTATCTGGTGAAGATGTCTAATCCATGATTTATACCTTAAACCTCCCAGACCCTCTGCAAATACCTTGAAATCCCAGATACACCTCTAGAACCTCCAATATCTCCCCGAATCCACCTTAATCCAAGTAAATCCCTCGATATCACCCTTCATCCACACTTGCTCCTTCGACATCACGGCAAAATTACTCTGTATTTCGTTACAGTTTTCTTCATTTTTTGGTGCCGCAGGCGAAAATTTTGCAAATTTCGGAAGGCCATGAGGCCAGAATTCTTCTTTTTATGGTAAAAATCCCAACGGAAAACGTCCCACGCGATATCACGCCCACATTTTTTAATTTTCGATTTTTTTATCTTCCCCCGAAGATACCTCCTTCCACCGAAGGTACCTCCCATAGATACCTCCACAAACCATCATGATTCTTAAAAATCGTGCCCAACTTCGGCAACATTTCTTAGCGCCGCAGGCGAAAATTTTGAGAATTTTGGAAGACCAACCCACTAGATTTCATCATTTTCCAGCGCCGCAGGCGAAAATTTTGAGAATTTTGGAAGGCCAAAGAGGCAAAAATCTTCCCTTTTTGTAATAAAATTCCAAGGAAAATGTCGGGTTTCGGGTCGGGTTTTCGAAAATTTCTCGGGTCGGGTTTCGGGTTTCGGGTCGAAAAAAGGCCGGGTTTCGGGTTTCGGGTATCGGGTTTCGGGTAACCCGTGACATCCCTGGTCAACACCCACCATTTTTAAATTTAGTCAAAAATTTATACTTGAACAGTCAATTCTTCATTCTCCGGAGTAACACTCAAAACTTGCTGAATCAAAATATCCTTCAAAAATGTTGCAATGTAGTTAACACCTAGTTGAGAGAGCCGAGCCCTAACTCCTGCCTTCTTAAAAAAATAAAAGGGTTTAAATATTCCAATTACTGTTGCTGACCCACATTGCCCATTCCTTCGCCTGCCAATTCCTTTGGAACCTGAGCAACACTTTCGGCATTGACAGAGATTTGTAAGGAGGTGAAAAATAGTAGAAGGTGAAAAATAATTCCAACGGGGGTTAAAATTTTTGAAAATCCAACGGCAGTCATTTTTAAAAAAACTAAGAAAAAATGGAATAAATACTAGAAAAAAGTATGAGAAATTGCGCAAAAAAAATGAGAAAAAAATAGGAAGAAAATGAAAGGGCTAAGGCCCAAAAGCAACTCAATGAGAAAACAAAATTTATGAAGAAACGGGTCTCAGAAGATGGAGAATTACTCTTTTATAGTAATTTAACTTTAAAGGTTCAAATAAGCGGACAAAGAAAAGGAAAAATTAGACGAAAATGAAAATAAAAAAATACATTTTGGGTGAGTAAAAATTATTTTTTAATTTGGGAGGAACAAAACAAGATGAGGAAGAAAAGGAGGAAGGAAACTTGAAGGAATTGCCATAAAAGGAACGGCCAAAAATTTTTGATTGAAGCATGAAGAGGAAAAGGTTGGAGGAATAGGTGAAAATAGAAGGAGAAAGTGGAAGAAGGGGGAGGGGGTAAACTACACAAAAAAAGCCAGGTGGGGTAAACTACACAAATGAGAAGAAAAGACAAGAGAATGGAGTGGAACAATCGCTGGCAGAACAGAAAAACATAACAAACCCCCCCCCCCCCCTCCCCCAATTGTTTTAACGAAAAATGTAGCAAAAAGAAGGTAATTGGAAGAAAAAATAAAAATGGTTAGAAATGTGGTCGTTCCACCGAAGAGTTTTATTTGGGATGGAAATTGAGGAACAAACAGAAAAATTAGTAGCAGGTTAGCGAGAGTGCTATAGCTAATTGAATGTTTTTTGGGAGAAGAGGAAAAACTGCGTTCTTTATTTTAATTGCTGAAAAGTTTTTTTTGCTTTCTTCCTCTTCGTGTGTCCTAATCTTCTTTGAAATAAAAACTTGTTTTTGTGGGGGAAAGGTATGTTGTTGCTTTACTTCAATTTGTGGTTATAAACAACCCACAAAGGTTGACATGAAGCAAGAATATTTGAAAATAAGGAATGGAAAAAAGAATGAAAATAAGGAGATTTAGAGGGTTTAAGACATTTTAGAGAGGTTAAGACGTTATAGGGGGTTTAAAACGTTCCGGAAATTGGAGGAATCAGTTTCCAGAGTTAACTAATCTACTAATCCCCTCACTTTTCCTCCCTCCAAAATAAGGAATGGGCAACTAAGGAAAGCGCTTACAGTAGTAGACACAAAAAACAACCTCAAAACACTTTTTTCTAGCGGCCGTTAAGAAAATAGCATGGGGCAGAGGAGCAAACATTTGTTGACTCAAACTGAGGTTTATTTGAGTCTCTTCTATTCTTTCTTAATGAATATTTTTACTTTTAACGTAATTGACACGTCTTCCCACGTCTTATCTTCTTTTTTTCCACAATTTTTTTATGCTAAATTATTTTATTTTTTACTTTTATTTTTTAGACTACTTATACTCTTATATTTTAAAAATGTTGGCCGAAAAATCAGACACTTTTGACACAGTTGAACAGGCCACAGAAGTTTCTACAACACCAAGTTTATTAGATTTCTTTTTAATTTATTTAAATTATTGGTAATCTTCTAGTTTACTGGTCCCGAGAAAAGAATTAGGAAGCAGTGCTGTTTCGATATTTTTAAGGGTTACCAGTAGGTAATCGAGTGTGCTGAGTCCAAATCTGAGCTTAGAATTTGCTTATTTCGAACCCCGGACCCGGATTCGACCAAGTCGAATTAGGGGTAAAAATTCGAAATTCCGATATTATGGTTGATCTGACTCGTCTCTTTATTTTGAGTCGAATGGTAGCAAAATTATTAAGTTTCGAACATTTTAAACGAAGTTATGATCAATTAAATACACGTTATTATAGACTTTTGAGTAGAAAACCGGTATCATAACTTCGTCCAAAGTTGTCGAAACATCATAATTTTGATAACATTCTATTCTACTCGAATTGTCGTGTTAGAATAGTCCTAAATTTTTAATTTCGAATTTTTACCCCTAATTCGACTTGGTCGAATCCGGGTCCGGGGTTCGAAATAAGCAAATTCTAAGCTCAGATTTGGACTCAGCACACTCGATTACCTACTGGTAACCCTTAAAAATATCGAAACAGCACTGCTTCCTAATTCTTTTCTCGGGACCAGTAAACTAGAAGATTACCAAATTATTTTTAGAAGAAGAGAGAATCAGAGACTTGCCTGGACAAAATCCTTCAGTAACCAGACAAAGCCCTCCATTGAATGGGCCTCGAAGGACGAGTAATCCGGTTCAAGGAATTTTGGATTTGGCTACTAATAGGTTTTTTTTATTTGTTTAGAATCTTGCACCATTTATTTTTAAATATTTTTCCAGTCAGGAACTTCAACAGCTTACAACAGCTACAGCAGCAAAAATTGATTCTCTTAAAAAATGGACTTTGACTACTTACAAAAATACAAAACATTTGTATTTGGAACATATGGGAAAGGTTTTCATTTTTAATTATAATATAAAATGTTAATATGGTTGGACACCGACTCTTCGGGTCGAAAAGCTCGTGGTTTGGTTTCGCTGGGGTGGTGAATTTCGGGTTGGACAAAATTGTTCGGGTTCCAGCCAAGGGCGTAACCAAGGGGTCGATTACAGGGTGCGCTAAATTGGTGTACGCGTCAAAGTTTCTGCGTTTACTTTGGCGCTCTGAACGCAAATTTTTTAACCATATTTTTTTAAACGCAGCGAGCTAAATTTTTTTGAAATTTGGAGGTCGCTTTTTCTACCTTTTTTCCAATTTTTTCCCTTCAGCCCCCCTAGCTACGTACTTGGTTCAGGGTTGAAGTCAAGATCAATAAGCCTAGTTAAAAAAATTTATTTTTAGATTGACAAAACATCAGATCTGGATTTAAATGCTCGAATAGCAGAGCTGCAGGAATTACGAAAATGTTATAGAGAATTGCTTTCGAATGCTCGTAATTTTACCAATTATATGGTTCTTGCTAATAATATGCAGAAGGGTATGGCAAGTGCTTTGTGTGAATTGGCTACTAAAGAGACCGCTATTTCTGTAAGATAATTTTCTTAATAATTGTTTTGGAGGTTTGATGGGTTTATTTTATAGTTCCTTTTAAGTGATATCACTTCAGTAAGTCAACTTGATCCTCTTTACATCTTTTGACCATTATGAGACTATTATGGGACCATTTCCCGCCTTACCATTTAAACAGGAGTTTAATTTTGGTGTCGTTCGACTTATACCAGCTCGTCAACTTCTTTTAATTTACATTTTGTTTGTCCGATCGGGGTATGGGAGAAATTTTGACTGAATTTTGCCCCTTAAACACCTTTAATCATGAATTTTCTTCCTCTTTTTTTAAAAGCTTAAATTTTTTCAGAAAGAATTAAATATGCAAAGCGAGCTCTTCTCTGTTATGGGACAACATAGTGAACCTTTACAAAGAAGTTTGTCACTTTTTCTTTCTTCACTTCAAACACTTTGTGATAATACTATTGAAGATACTTTTTTGACTATTGAAAGTCATAACCAGGTTTATTAATATTATTTTATAAATTATTTTTTGAGAATATTTAAATGTGAATTAACAATTTTTAAATTATATTAGGGGTTTTCTCAAAAATAAAAATTGTTTCCCGCTTGTCGGGTTCGAACCTTTGACCCCTTACAACTAAAAATGTAAAATTATCCCACTACACCAAAGTCAGCATGTTTTTGTTTTTAAGGCTCGACTCGAATTTTTAGGATTTATCACTAATTTTCTTAAAAATAAAAATAGTCGTCGGCAGTGGGACTCGAACCTTTGACCCCTTCTAATTAAAAATTTTAAAATTATCCCACTACACCAAACTAAAAAATTAAAAAAATTTTCTCAATTTAGGCTCGACTCGAATTCGATGTTGGCCGTAAAGAATTGCAAGCAGCGCGTGAAAACCCTAACAGTACTGCTCAAACAATTGCTGTTTTAGAAGAACAATGTAACCAACAAAGGGCAAAATATGAACAATTGAAGGAAGATGTTAGGGTATTTTTTAGAGAGAATTTTATTTAAAATTTTCAAAAAAAAATTTAAGGCAAAACTTGTTTTATTAGAAGAAAATCGTTGCAAAGTTATGCGAAAACAAATTTTAGCTTTACACAAATCTTTTGGTCAATGCCATTTAAATTGTTCTCAAGCAGTGGAAAATTCAACAGGATCAAATGATTTTACAAAAATGGCCGTTTTAAATGGTGGACAGGATTCTTTACCGACAAATTTGGCTTATGGTGGAAGTAATGGATTCCAATCATTTTTGGAAAAATAGAAAAAAAATTTGAAGAATATTGAGGAAAAGTAAAAAGGTTCTTTTTGTGGATTTTACTTAAAGAGAAGATTCTGTTTTACTTAAAATGTGAGACCCTTTTTGCAATGTGAGACCTAACTAGTAGTCCTTTGACCATTTTTTGACTATTTTTTGTGGGTATATTTTTTCTTAATTTTTCTTTTATTTTTTGAATTCAATTCTGGTCATCAAAAAATGGTTATTTAAAGGAATACTGCAATTACCTTAATGGTAAATGTCCTGGTTGGTGGTCTACCTGTCCGCAAAAAATATGCACACTTTTTTCTTCCCTCTTTGCATTTTTTGGATATTTTTGGATTATACATTTTTGGACTCGCTAATTTTTTTCCTTTTCTGTTCAACAGAATTATTTTTTTTCTTTGCGGACATAGGTAGACCGACAACAGGAACATCTACCTACCTCAAGGGCGTATCCAGGGGGGGGGGGGCTAGAGCCCCCCCCCCCCCCCCCGAAATGGGGGAAAGGGGGAAAAAATTAGGAGAAGGATGGTCGAAAAAGTGAACTTTTTTGGCCTACAACCCTCAAATTTTAAAAAATTTTCGCCTGCGGCGCAAAAAATGGAAAAAATTTGGCTTCTTGAGCTCCAAAATCCTCAAAATTTTCGCCTGAGGCGCTGAAAATGTGAAACTTTATGTACAAAAAAAATTTGCGTTCGGAACGCCAAAATTTTGGCGCCCACCCAGTGTTAGCCCCCCCCCCCCCGAAACCGACCCCCTGGATACGCCCTTGACCTACCTTAATAAAAAAGATATATTATTCATTTATTTAATATATTAATTATTGTGTACATTGATTGGCCTTGGAATTTTATAAAAGTAATAAAGAATAAAAATTTGAGAATAAAAAAATTCGTTTATTTTTTCAATTGTTATAAAAACAAAAAATTTTATTTTCTTTATTATATATTTGTTTCTATTACACACATAGATAATTTTTTTGGGTGTTGTAAAAAAATTATTAATTCACATTTATTTTCTCTTGTATAGGACAAAAAGCAAAATCGATTTGCTTTTTTTATTTTTTTTTGGTAGGAATTAATTATTCTAGTTTATTGTTAGTGAGTTACTTTTGCTTTATTTTTTTATTGTTTGCATAGCCCATAAAGGGGAGAATTTTTTTGAGTTGGGACAGGATATCTCAATTATAGTTGACCGTACCGAAATTTAAAAGAAAACCGTCTTGAACACTAATCTGCTAGAAAGTGAAATTTGCGGACTGACATTTGCGGACATCCATTTTAAGTTTTATATTTTTCAACATCAGGTATGGGCCTGGTTGAGAGAAAAAAAGTCTAGTCGGGGTCTCAATTTTTTAGGAACGTGTTTCTGGTCGAAAAAGGGGCACGGTCTTATATACTTTTGCCAAATACCAATAGGTTTCAGTTTTTTTTGTCCGCAAATATTAGTCCGCAAAAGTCCTCTCTAATTTTTTTTCATTTTTTTTCAGAATTTAACATTAAAAAATGGATACTGCTAACCAATATGTAAAATTAAATGTAGGTGGAGCACTTTTTCATACAACATTGGGTACTTTACTTAAATATGATTCAATGTTTAAAGCAATGTTTTCTGGACGGAATGAGGTTTTTTTGAATTATTTTTATTTAGAATTATTTTTTAAAAAAAGGTTTTTCGTGATTCTGATGGTTATGTGCCTATTGATCGTTGTGGAAAACATTTTGGATTGATCCTAAATTTTATGAGAGATGGAACAGTTCCGTTACCAGATTGTCGTACTGAAGTTCAGGAGATTATTATTGAGGCTAAATTTTATTTGATTCAGGTTTTTCTTTAAAAGATTTTTTGTGTTTTCTTCCCTGTGGGATATATTGGTTGTCATTTCTACTTTGTAGAAATGGAGCTCGAGATTCAGGAAGAGGGCCGGATTTTTTTGTTAAACAATAAGTTTAATAGACTGGCTGGTTAGTTTTGTACTTCTTTCCTTTCTTGTTAACTCAACTCTAGAGCTGGGATTTTGTCCGCAAAGTTCTGTGGTATGTGCTACTGGTCCAAGCATGTTCAGTGGATCCTGTTTATGTTAGGATTGTCACGGGCTGAGAAAAAATTCGGGTCCGGTTTTGGGTCAAAAAAGGCGGGATCTCGGGTACCCGTGACATCCCTGATCCAGTCTTTGAGAATTTACACTCTTCTCTAACAATAAGCGGTCTTATTGATTGAATTTTATTTTCTTGAATTATTGTTTGAATTTTATTTTTTAAAAAGGAATTGGTAAGCTTGTGTGAATCTTGGTTTATAAACATGGAAAAAGCTCAAGTTGAGCCAATTGGTGTTTGTCAAGTACCTGTGGTTATGTCAAAGAAACAGGTTGAACGAATTTGGCAAAGCTCTACGGGTCGTGTAAGTAAACAAAAAATTTTCTCAAAAATTTTTTTTTAATTTTTAGCCAGTAATTGAATTGCTTCTAAACCGGTGAGAAGATTAAATTTAAAAAAATATCTAATAAAATTTTTTACATTTTTCAGAAATAACAACAAATATAGTTATAATACAAGTTCTGATGAAAACTTTCTTCGGTTCTTTAAATTTTTTTTAATTCAAAAAAATTTTTTTCTTTTCAAAGTAATCAAGAGCTTTTTGATAAATTATTGTTGCGCTTTAATTCTTCTAAAAATAATAATGTTCTCTTCATTAAAAGTTTTTTTTAATTTAAAATTTAAAAAATTTTCTGGAATTTGCAGATTTGGGTATTGGCAGTCCAGAAATTTGTCAATGGACTTTTTATGGAAATGCTAGCCGTAAAGTTGAGGTTATACTTTTTAAAGTTTATTTTGTAAGGGGTTCTTGTTTGCTTAATTTTTTAATTTAAAATCTCATTGTCAGAAATGAAAATTTTTTAAGGATTTTTAATACCATATCTGGGCTTTCATCCGGACCAGGCCTTGACTTTTGGATAAGATCCAGGCTGAATTTTCCAAATTAAGACTCAGGAAGCACAGGAAAACGGTTTCTATAAATAAAAGTCACGCGCGATTTTGTCTCCTTTTGGATGTTATTTTTTGACGCAAGACGCAAAGCGGCTTTTTTGTGGACGTGCCATACCACACCTGGTTCCGGTGTCTTAAATCGAGTCAAATTTCTATTTAGAACAAGTTTTCTATAAAAAAATGTCTGTCCACCAAACTTGTAAAACCACAAAAAGCCACAAAATTTTTTTCAGATTTCTTGTACTTCAATTGTTTATACTCCAGAAAAGAAACAAACAAAAGTTGAATTTCCAGAAGCACGTATATACGAAGAAACATTAAATGCTCTTTTAACTTTTGGGGGTTGTACACATTGTAAGAATGATGATCCTTCTATTCAACAAAAACCGTCATCAACTGAATCTGCTCGTCGTGGCTTGGTTTCTATCTTACTATTCTAGTATTATAGTCCAATCTCATTATAAGGCACACCCCCAAAAATTAGATACATCTCAATTTAGGGGACGTTTTTTGAACTTTCTTTGGATACTGGGCAACACAAGGGGTCTTGGGGCTGGAAGAAGTAAATAGCAAAGGTTTGACCTAATATAAGCGATATCCCTCCCCTCAAATTCAAGATGCGATTATTTTCTGTTTCAAAGGGGTAGCTTATAATGGGATCCGACTCTTTACAAAAGAAAAATTTTTATTTTTAAGGGACAAATTGTTTTACTCCCAGCAAAAAATACTTGGCGTATTGGTGGACGTAATTTGAGCGGTGTAGATGATAATACAAATGATCAAGGAGGAGGTCCGTCAGTTTCTGGTCACAATTCTCACAATAATCAACAAATTTGTGGGAAAGGAAATAATAATGATGAGGAGTCTGGTTAAAAACAAAGGTTTCAGGAAACGAGAGGTTTGATTTTAAAAACTAGTTAAATTTTCAAGCCATTTATTTTGGCTTTTCTTGTGTATTTTTTACTAACCAACACTAGACACAAAAGTTGTGTGCAAATTCCTCCCATTTTAATAATTTTCCCCTTTAATATTAAGGGTTCTTCAGAATTTTTTTTGCTTTCCATTAGATTAAAGGGTGCTCGAATTGTTTGAGTGGGGGTAAAAATTGTTTGGTCCTGGATTTTGGGAAAAGAAATCAGTGTTGGATATTGCTGATTCGGAACAGGTTGGAGCCGTAGCCAGATTTGAAAAACTTAATAGTCGGAAGCACAGAATGCCCAGTACCCAGTACTTAAAGCAAATTTTCGTAGTTTAATGGGTTAATTTTAATATAATTATTTCCAAAAGAAGGGAGGATATTATATTTTGGTGTTGCTCCTTGACATAAAAAATTTTTTCTTGAAATTTTTTGAACCCCCCTGCTTAAAAATTCGAGCAATCCCTTTTTTTACTAAAAACCCCAATTTTATAAATTTACTGGTCTTGTATACTTTCTTATATCTAATCTTTCCTTTTCAAATTCTTGACATTCTTTCCCCTTTTTAACTTTTTTTATTTAGCTGAAATTTTGCATTTTATATATTTTTTATATTTGGCAAAATTTCATTTGTAAATATTTTTTAGAATAATTAAATATGTGAATAAAATTAATATTTAATTTTAAAAATTAAAAAAAATTTTGGGAAGAGTTTTCGGTGGGGAAATTTTTTTTGGTATTTTGGGAATAAATCAAGGAATTTTCCCAAACAAAATTTTTTGGGAGGGTTTTTAACAAGGGAAAAATTTTTTAGTACATTACTGGAAAAATCGAGTAATTTTTGAATTTTCCTCAAATAAAGAGAAAAAAATATTTTATTTTTAAGTAATTTCTAAGAAAAATAATTAACATTTTAATTTAAAAAAATAAAAAAGGATCAAATATTTCTTTGTTCGAACCCGGGAGGGAAAAAATATTTTTTAAAAATAATTGAGGAAGAGCTACTTTTTTTGAAAAAATTTTTTTAGTTTATAGACACAAACACACACACACACAACATTTTTGAGATTTTTTAAAAATAATTATGAAAAAAATTTTTTTTTGTATATTAGTAGGCAAATTTAAGTTAATAGAGCTGAATTAAAAAAATAAAAAAAGATGGCCATGAATAAAAATGAGATGAGAATATATACTCTCCAGGTTCGAATATCACGGAATAAACGAACTATTAAATGCTAAAGAATGTACGATTTATTCTAATAGTCGCCCACCCTTTCTAATAGACGCCTATCTGAAATTTTTTAAAAATTCTTACCCTGAGCGTTTATTAGAATAAATGAGGGAGATTTGGTTAATTTTAAGTATAGGAAAAAATATATAATCTAAAGGGCAAGTAACAATGTTTTCCCAAATAAGTATAAGCTTTGTATTTTTTACATATGTACAGAAGCGCTGTAGCGGACATGACTTGATGGAATTTGCCATTTGGAAGGGCGATACCTAGAGGGAAAAAATTTTTTTTGAAGATATGGTTTTCTAAGGGGAGGGAGGAGGTTGTATTTTTGAAGGGATGTGGCTCTATAAAAAATTATTTGAAAAAAGTCTGAGGCCCCTTTAAGGGGACGAAGTCTTCTTAACCCCCTCTAAAGGAGCAGCCCCCCCCTTTTGTAAAATCCATCTCACTTACTTTATGAGCAGTTGTCCAGAACGTGTATGTGGATTTAAATAAGCATAAGCCACCCAAATTGATGTAGAGATTCCAATTAAAGCAAAAAATGTGATAAATGCTATTCCACCTGAACTTTCATTGTCTGAATGTTGTTGGGTATGATGGTGGCTTTGGGAAGGTGAAACATCTATAAAAATTTAGGGAAGTTCTCTACTAAATTTTCAATTGTGTAGAAGCAAGGTACGTTTACTTTATAAATTTAAAAAACCAAAAAAATTTCAGTTTTTTAGTTTCTGGGACCAAATGTCACCTCTATTCAATTTCTCAATATTATCTAAAAAAACCTTGTGTATTGGTTTCAATAGTGGTAGCAGCAGTTGGAGCATTAACCAAAGTCGTTTGTGATTCATCAAGTGAGGCTGTATTAGCTTCCTTTGTGGTATTATCTGGTGAAGTAACGTCTTCTGCTTTGCAATACTTTAAAAAAGATAAAGGTTTGGATTAAAAAATTTTTTAATGAAAGAAACCTGGTTTTCCTCGTTGACTTGACAATTCCCTTAAAATTTTTGAAATTAAAATTTTTTTAGAAATTTCAAAAAAAAACTTTTGAAAAAATTTCTTTTAAAAATTTTCTTCCAAAAAAACCTTCAATCCATTCTTGTCTACGTCTATGCATTCCCATTTGATCAGAACAAAAAGGTTTATTATTATTTCCATCAGTATCTTCACCACCATGATTTTTGTCCCCTCCATCTTTAGGTATACACCAATTACATTTAAATGTTTTTAACGCCATTTTATGACATTCATCACATGTGGTAGCATCCAAACAGGCTAAGGGAAAATGATTGGGAAATAATTTTAGGAAATTTTTTAAAGAAAATACTTTTTAATGCTTCCATAAATACCACAGAGTTTGAAGTTATTTTGTCAGGAGAAACAGTTATTCGATGATACTAAAAAAAAGATTTTTTGAACATTTTTTAATTAAAGATATGGGTACTACTACAGATCATGGATGAATTTGAAAACTTTCTCGGGTCGGATTTTGGGTATCGGGTGATCCATCTAATCCCTACTACCGATAGAAATGGGGAAAAAGGTCCGAAAAAAGCCCATGTCTTATTTACAAGTACTAGCTAACTTTTCTCAACCCAAAATCCCAAATGTATCTAAGCTCCCTTCAGAAATTAAAAAATAAAATAAAAAAAGATAACCTCGTGTATGACTCTTTTACTAGATTGTAGAGCTGGTGGAACATTGCTAACTTTATGATTAAATAAATAGGCATCAGAAATTCCCATTTTGCGAGGATGAAAGGAATCGCTTATATTTGTTATTGGAATTGGAACCTTTAAGAAGGGGTTTATTTTTATAAAAATTTTTCAAGAAAAAACCTCTTTATAAACAAAAGTAATATTTCCATTACGCCAAAGATGGACTTGGAAGGTAAATGGGCCAGCTAAAGAAAATTTGAAAAAAAAATTTTCTGAAATTTCTTCAAAAAAAACCTTGTCTATTATCCCGAAGAGTAACTTCATGCCATTCTACAACAACTCTTTTCGCGTCATCTGCATAAGAAATGCTTGATCCATTCTCCATTGTATCAAAATTTGCCATAAGAGGGGCAATATATCTTTAAATTAAATTTAAAAAAGGGCGTGTAAAAATTCAGGCCTATCAAAAAATACAGTTTTAGCTGATTATAAACTAAGATAATTCTTTTTTAGTAAAAATAAATTGTTTCCCGGCAGGGGGTTCGAACCCACGACCCCAGAACCAAACACTTACCCACTAAACCAAAGATAAATTTTTTGGACTTTTTTTGAATCAACCAAATGAATTTTTTAGAACAATTTATTTAAGACCAGAATTTTATAATATAAAAGAAGAAACTAACTGTGTAGCAGCTAGCCAAGAATGTGTTTGATCACCAACGTAAAGAAATCCGCCTGTAGCAATCGTTAAATTTTGTAATCTATGTCCATAAAATGGAAAATCAAATTTTAATTTAACTCCAGCAGCTTTTCTATAAGCATTATCCAAATGAGAATTTTCTGTCTTTAAAATAAAAATTATTAAAAAAATTGTTTCCCAGCAGAGGGTTCGAACCCTCGACTATAACCAAACATTTACCAACTTAACCATGGAGAGTCAAATTTTTAATGCTAGGGAAATTTTTAATCCTAGGAAAGTCCTTTACTCAAAATAAAATTTTTTTCCCGCAGAGGGTTCGAACCCACGATCCTATATTCAAACACGTACCCACTTAACCACAGAAAATTTATTTTTATTTTTTAACTAAACCACGGAAAAATTTTTTATTTTTAGGAAAAGAAAAAAAGAAAAGCAAAAATACTTGTCCAACAGCTCCACCTTCACTAATCCATTTTTGAATATCAATATAATTTTGAGCAAAAATTTCTTCATTGTCAGTATGTGTAGTCATTGTATAATAAGTATGTTCTGTCTTTAAAATGAAAATTTTGAAAAAATTTTTTTTAATTTTAGTAATTCACAGTTTCTGGCTCTTTATTATCATCTTCTAATTCAGCATCAGGTGGAAATGTGCTTCCAGTACCAAAATCAAGCAAATCGTGTTCGCCTCTTTTTACCCTCAAATGTGGATTTTTTATGCTGCTAATGAATTCGTTATTATTCCAATTTTCATTGTAATTCAATAATGCAGCATTGGAAGAAGCAGAAACAATAGGTATTATTAAAATAAGTAGAATATTCTGCATTTTTGGGCTTAAAAAATTTTTTAAAAATAAAATTGGTTTTCCGGCAGAGGGTTCGAACCCACGACCCTATAAGCAAACACTTACCCACTAAACCAAGGAAAACCAAAGAAGTTTTTTTGATATTTTTTGGGGGTTTAATAGGGTTCAAAACTCGATTTTCAAGAAAATCCATTATTGGGTGGGAAGTTTAAGACATTTTGTCCCATCAAGGAAAATTTGGGGGGTTTTGTGGAGAAAGATGGGGGGATTTATGAGAGTGGTCAAAAAGTCGTCGGATTTTCGATTTCTTTTAAAAAAGCAAAATTAGGAAACTCTTCATAAAATATATAAATTAAATTTGGGAATTAAAATGAGCAAAAAAAGGCGAAGAATTTAGGGGGCAAATATAGAAGGGGCTGATGAAAAAAAAATATAAAAAAAATGTGAAGATGGATAGGGGGGGGGGGGAAGATGGGGTGTTTTGTACCTTTTTTTCTTCTCTATAATCTTCTCATGGCCATTTTTCTTTCTAAAAATTTTTTTTCTACAAAGTGTCTCTAAACATATAAATTTATCTCCTCTCTTTTCTCTAAAATCTGCTACCGAAGAGAATCAATATTTATTCACTTTATGCGAAGAAAGTAAAAAATAGAAAGGAAGGTGGAAAGGAAAAGGAGAGGGGAAGTTGTTGACGAATTAGTTACAAGAAAGTAAAAAAAAGTGGTTGTTGGGGAGAATTTTAGGTAATTTTAATGTAAATTTGAGGGAATTTATTGAAGTGAATATACACTGCGGTGCAAAAGTTTATGCACACTTGCTTATATTTTTTTCGATACAGTATAACTTGGGAAGTCTTTAAGTTAGAAGTCAAATTTCTTTTTTGTATGATAGACTAGAGTATGCTCTTTCTAATCAATACAAATTTTTACCAATAGCATTGATAAATTGACAATTTTTTTCAAATTAAAAAAAAGTGTTCATTTTTTATGGTGCAAAAGTTTATGCACACTTTAGAAAACTTAGATTTTGAGATAAAAAATGCCGAGAAAAAAGACAAAAAAATTTGTGCGGACATGTTTATTGATATTGAGTTAAAAAATAACAAAAACTAATTCTTTAAAGTTTTTTTCACCGAGATCCAAAATCTCAAAAATCAACGGGAAATTGGGGTACAGTACTTAAAAATACATTTTAACCCCCTAGAGCTTGTATTAAAAAATTTATTTTAGGCCTATCTGAAAGCCCATAAGATTTGCTACAAAATACACTTGGTCTTATTTGTATGAAAAATTTTTCGTAGGTTTTAAGGGTGAGCAAATTACTTTAAAATCTAAAATGAACAAAAAATGAGCATTTTATGGGGTATTTCGAGAGGTTTTGAGCAAAAATGATAACTTGTTAAATTACCAGACCTCCAGCTCCACGAGTTTCTTTTTTAAAAATTTAAGCCTGAGATATTTTGTAGCAAATCTTATGGGCTTTCAGATAGGCCTAAAATAAATTTTTTAATACAAGCTCTAGGTGGCTAAAATATTTTTTAAAGTACTGTACCTCCATTTCCCGTTGATTTTCGAGATTTGAGATCTCGATGAAAAAACAAGTTACAGACTTCGTTCTTTTTTATTTTCTACTCAATATCAATGAAAACGCCCATAGGATTTTTTAAAATTCTTTTTTGTCATTTATTCTTAAAAAATTTCAATTTTTGTAAAGTGTGCATAAACTTTTGCACCATAAAAAAATGACCATTTTTTTAAATTTGAAAAAAATTGTCAAATTTTTAAAGCTTCCGATAAAAGTTTGTATTGATTAGAAAGAGCATACTCTAGTCTATCACCCAAAAAAGAAATTAGACTTCTAACCTAAAGACTTCCCAAGTTATACTGTATCGAAAAAAATATTATCAAGTGTGCATAAACTTTTGCACCGCAGTGTAGGAGATTAAGTGGGTAGAATTTTTGTTTGAAATTAAAAGTCCGCAAAAAATTTGCGGACATAAAAATTTTTTGGCGGACAAAGTCGTCTAGAGTTAAAGATTTTGGCTCTATTACACAATATACGTCCAATCAACTATTATGCGTCCAATCAACTTTTATACGTCCAATCAAAGTTTATACGTCCAATGAAAATTTATGCGTCCAATCAAATTTTTATACGTCCAATCAAAGTTTATGCGTCCAAATAAATTTTATATGTCCAGTGAAAAAATAAATTCAGAAAAATCAAAATAATTTTTATTTATTATAACGCCTTGCTCAAAAGGGGCCAATGGAAACAACTGTTCCCGTCACTTAAACAACCGTCCCCGTCACCGGCTCAAATCTCAAATCCGGTTTAAAAAGGATTAGGATCCGGATTTGGCAATGAAGCCGGACCGGATTCAGCCGGATTTTTTCTGTATTAATCCGGTCGGGAAAAATCCGGAGATAGCGAAAAAAAACCCTGATTTGGTATCCGGACTCTGGAAAAATCCGACCGGATCCGGCCCGGTCACTAATAAGATTGTGTTTGGACATATAAAATTTGATTGGACGCATAAACTTTTCATTGGACGCATAAATTTTTATTGGACGCATAATCTTTTCATTGGACGTATAAACTTTAATTGGACGTATAAAAGTTGATTGGACGCATAATAGTTGATTGGACGTATATTGTGTAATAGAGCCAAGATTTTTTCTTTGATTCCACAAATGATTTGACGTGGACATTAATCTGATAGTATTAATTAATAAAAAATCCGCAAAAAAATTGCGGACAAAAAAATTTTTTGCGGACAGACTTTTAGAGTTTAAAATTTTTTTCGATTCCATAAATGATTTGTTGAGTTTTGGACATTAATTTTTGAATTTTTGGAAAGATTTTGAAGAAAAACGATGCTTGGAAGAGTTGTTTTAATCCTCATCATATGAGTTAATTTGCCTTGTTTATTAATTAAAAATCAACCGAAAAAAAGTGGAAAATGTTCTATGGGGGAAAATGATGGGGGAAATGATTAGTTATGTAATGTGTTTATGTGTGTAAATGGATTGTTGATATATTTTTTGTATTTAATATTTTTATTTTGGAACCAGTTTTGAATGTCATACCCGTTAAAATATTTTTTTCTGATAAAAATATAGAAATTAAGATCCGCAAAAAATTTGCGGACATGATTTCTGATAAAAATATCATTTTAATTGAAAATAAGTATAAGTAATAGAGATTTTTTAAAAATATTTTTGAGTTGGTCTTCACAGAAGTTGAAAAGAAAGTTAAAAAATGGGGAGAGGTAAAGAATTTTTTAAAACAAAAGTTCGCAAAAATTACTTGCGGGCAAAAAAATTCTTTTCCATTGGTCAGTTTAGGGTTGATCTTCACAGAAAAACGAGGAGGGAAGAAGACAGAAAGACTGAACTTTGATAAGAGAGAAAAAAGAGGAGAAATCCTCCACAAATCCTATGAATTTTTATTAAAATCCGCAAAATTTTTGCGGACAAAAAATTTTTCTTTTGGTCACTGTTCCAAGTCTTTTCTCTAGATCATTGGGAGAGGGTTTGTGGAGGATTTGGATAAACTGAGATTTATTTTTAAAAAAAGTATACAGTAGCCTCAAAAAATTAACAAAAAATTTTTTCCATCGTCTGGTTTTTTACTTGAAAAATAAAATAAAATAAAATTATTATTTTTTGCCTGACTGATTTTTCTTCTTCCTTCCCTATAACCGTTATTTTTTCTTCTTATTATTTCTTTAACCAAATTTTCTTCAAAAAAATTTTCCAAAAAAATTTTTTTGCTTAACATAATATTTCTTTTTTTAGAGCTCCATTTGGGGGGAACGACTCTCATGGGAAAAACAAAAGGAAGGAAGAAGATATGGACTTTATTGGAACTTGTAATAAAAAAATGGGGTATTTCTTTTATTTATTTTTCTTCTTTTTAAGTTGCCATAACTTTATTATTTTTCTTATAGGGAAATTTTTTTGTTAATTTTTTGGTGTACTAATGAAGGGAAAATTTTAATTTACTCTTATCTTTATTTTTCATTGTCCCAAAACAGTGCAGTTTTTTAACAATTAATTTTTGATTCTATAGCTTATCCCTCCTCTTAAGTATCATAAACTCCGACTTATCCTTTTTTTATCTTATTTTTTCTTTTAGCCTTCCTATACATATATCACATTCCGTGATCTATCCCTCACTCATTATCAGAAGCTCTTACTCATCCCTTCTTATATATCCTACAAACTTTGACTTTTCCTTTCTTTATCTCATAAGCTCCTGACGATCCCTCCCTAACAAAATCACAAGCTTTGATCTGCCCCTCCCTCCATATATCCCATAAACTTTAGCTTATCCTTCCCGTCTATATATCACAATTTCTGATATATTAACCTCTCACTTATTTCACGTCTTTTTTAGAATTGTTTTTTAAATATGTATTTTTTTTGATTTTTTAGGTTACCTTCCCCTCACAACACTCATCATATCAATAACAAAAAATAATTTTATATGCAAAAATCCTTTTCTTCGTCAAAAAATTTCTATCAACAATGGAATTTAGGAGAATTAAATAAAGGAATGCAAAAAGAGGAAGAAGTAGATTTTGTTGAAAAAATTGAAATTGAAGAGGAGGAGGATGAGGATGAATTGGCACCAGAAGAATTACAGGAATTGGAAGATCATTTATGTGAGATGGTTACCCCCAAAAATGTTTTGTTATTTGGAGGAAGAAATAGAAGGGTAAAAAAAATAAAATTTTGGGAAATCCGTTGGCAGATCCTGGGAAATCCACGGATATCTTGTTCCGATATCCGATCCGAAAATTTCCGGAGATCATGACTTTTTTCGGAAAAAATTTTTTTCAATCGAATTCTTTCGGCTCCGGATCTGCCAACCCTAGGCAGGAGAACCTTCTTTTTATTTACCCTCGTAATTAAGACACGCCATTTTAAGCGACGTCTTTTTAAAATTTTGGTTGTTTTAAATTGGGTGGGAGATCCGTGCCTAACGGATATTCTCGTATTTAATTTAAAATAACCCTAATTATAAGGTACGAATTTTTTTCAGCCTCAATTAAAAAAATTTTTTTTTCAAAATTTTTCAAAAATTTTTTTCAAGAGAACCCCCCTGCTTATTGGTTCAAACGACGCTTCTTCTCGCTTTTGGCGCCCTCAATCATCTACTGCTACCGCAACAACAACAGATTCAAATAGTGAATTTGGTGGGGGTGGAGGACATTCATTAATAGAAACAAGCATTACTAACAGTAGAAAAAGTCAAAAACAGGAAGTTGATGAATTTAGAAAAAAAGGAGCCAGAAAGGTTTTTAAAAAAATTTTTTGGGTTGATTCTTTTGAGTTTATCTAAATTTTATTTAATTACTAAGGTAGGAGTTAATATTTTTTAATTTTTGAGATGTTGTTTAATAGAAAATTAAATTGGCTAGAAAATAAAAATTAAAAAAAAATTTTTTCTGAATTAGAAAATTTTAGTAAAAGACACCTCGGAATAGGTCTATTTCGACTTTTCGTTAGAGAAAATTTTAGGTGACAATTTCTGCTTCTTAGAAAAAAATTTTTCTTATTATTATTAAAAAAAAAATTTTTTCCTTTTTCAACAGTACGCCAAATTAATTCTCCCACATGTTGGACTTGTTTTATTAACTTGTTGTTACACTTTATTGGGTGCTTCTTTGTTTTATTCAGTTGAGAGGCCTAATGAATTGAGAGCAAAGAGGATATGTCTTGACAATGTATTTTATTTTTAATTAATTTTTAAAAAATTAAAAAAGATTAATAAACGCCAAGAATTATTTGTTTCTGAATTGGTATGGCTAGCTGCTAGCAATTTAAGTGGAGAAAGAAAAAATTGGGAAAGAATAGCGAGAGAACATTTGTGGGTATTTTTATTAGACTTTATTTCAAAATTTCCGGAGAACATTAAAAATTATCTGCAAAGAAAATAAACTGTGCGCAAATTAAATTAAGGCTTAACAAGTTTTAGCGTTTGTAGAAAATTTTTTTTTGTTGCGCACACTAAGTTTTAATTTATCTTTTCCGGAAAAGTTTTATCGTTCGGAAAGTTTTATTTATTATTCTGGTAAATTATATATTATTAATTTAATACTTCTTCCGAGAGTTATATAATCTCCGGAAAGTTTTATATCTTTCGTAGAGATATAACTTCCGGAAAGTTTTTTTCGGAAGGTTTTATATTTTCCGGAGTTTTATATTTTCCGGATAGTTATATAATTTCCGGAAAGTTTTATTTTCCGAAAACATATATTTCCTGGAAAGTTATATTTATTATTCCATAAGGTTTTATATTTCTATTACTAATTTATAGTTCCTTTAAATTTATGTTTCCGGAAGGTTTATTAAATACCCAAAAGATCACCATTAATTTAAATTTAAATGAATTAATATTTTTTAGAGGAAAAATGAACGATTTATTATTTCTTGGATTCGAAAAACATTTTTTAACTTCAAAAGAAGTAAAACTGAATGAAACAATTTCTGTTTGGACATTCTCTACGGCTGTTTTCTTTTCTGTTACTGTAAAATTTTATTTTAATTTCTCAAACGACTTTTTAAGGTTGTCTCAACAATTGGCTATGGCAATCCTGTGCCTGTTACAAGAGTATTAATTATCTTTTTATTTTTTAAAAATAATTTTTTTGTAGATTGGAAGAATCGCCTGTATATCATTTTCACTTTTTGGAATACCTCTAACACTAGTAACTATTGCTGATTTGGGCAAATTTTTAAGCGAACATCTTGTTTGGTTATATGGAAAATGGTTAAAATTGAAGGTTTTTTCTTTAATTTTCTGAAAAAATTTTTTTTTAATTTAAAAAATTTGAAAAATTTTTGAAATTTTTTTTTGAAATTTCAATTTTTTCTTTTAATTTTTCAGCGTTTTCTTTCACTAAAAATATGTAGGAGAGGATTTATTAATGTGAAAGAAGGAAGATTTGACGTATCTAGTCATCAATATTTAAATCAAGAATTGTTCGGGAAAATAGGTTAAATTTTTGTAATTTTTTTAATTGAAAAGAAAATTTTTAGAATTCCAGCATTACTTGTTTTTGCAATTTTGGTGTTATACACAGCACTTGGAGGTTTATTAATGTCTCAGGTTTATTTTTTAAATTAATTTTAGTGTTTTTAAAAATTATTTTTATTTAGCTTGAGCCTTGGGATTTTTTTACTTCTTTTTATTGGTCTTTTATTACAATGACAACAGGTTTCTTTTTAAAAAATTATTTTGAGGGATTAGGCTAAAATTATAGGCGGGTCAAGGTGGAGGACAACCATGCCTCATTCAAATTAGGGGGAATGAAAAATTTTTGTAAGCAGATTGGAGGTAGCAAAATTAATTTGAAATTAATTTTCCGTTGCGAAATTCACAAAATTAATTTTTCGCGACTATTCTCTGAAGTGGAAAATTTTTTCCTTTCTTGACCCAATCAAGAAGAATATTTTTTTGGTTGTCTGTATTCTTGTTTAATAATTTTTTAATTAAAAAATTTATTGCTGACTTGTTTTCAAATTTTAGTAGGTTTTGGTGACTTGATGCCTCGTAGGGATCATTATACAGCAATTATTCTTTTATATATTGTTCTTGGTAAATTTTTAAGAGTTAAAAAAATATTATTTTATTCTTTAAGGTCTAGCTATAACAACAATGTGTATAGATTTAGTTGGTGTTCAATATATTCGAAAGGTTCTATTTAATTAAAATTAGGGTTGCACCCCGAACTCTCGAGGGAGGTGTGTCGGGGTACGGGGTTTTCAATTGTTTTCGGTCTCGGGATAATTGTGAAAAAATCGTTGGGGAACGGGTCGGGGCGCACCTCTAATCAAAATTGCTTAAAAAATTCTTTTTTAGATTCACTACTTTGGTAGAAAAATTCAAGATGCACGGTCAGCTTTAGCTGTTGTTGGTGGAAAGGTTTTTTTATCTTTTGTTAAATTAAATTTAAAAATCTCTTTAAAAAGGTTGTTCTCGTTTCTGAGCTTTATTCAAGCCTACTTCAAAAAAGGAATCAAAAGGGAGGAGGAAATGTTTCTTGCACCGGAGAGACTGCTTTTATTATTGAGGTTTTTATTTTTTTAAAGAAATTTTAAGGGTTATTTAAATTTAAAAAATTATTGGGAATATTTTTTGCAAATATTTTTTCGGTAGTTTGAATTGGATAAGATTCAGAAAAAATCAGCAAAAAGATAAAAAAAATTTTTGCGGACTAAATTTGCGGACAAAACCGAAGGTTATTGTTAGACGGAAACCGCCATTGGTTTATTTCCAGTACCATGTCTTAAGTATATTTTACTAGCTTGTTAACGTATAATTCATATCAAAGTCGTTATAAAAAGATAGTAAATGGATGTCCGCAAATATCAGTCCGCAAAAGTTGTCTCATACCAATTTTTAAATTTAATTTTTTAAAAAGAATTTATATATTGACCCAAGTCGTCGACATATAATTCCATTTATTCCTGCTGATATTCGCCTCATCCGTTTTATTGATCAACCTCCTAATTCATTATCAAGAACTAGCTCACAAGCAAGTGAAGATGTTAAGGGTTATTTCTGTTAATAAATTAACAAATAAGAGGAAAATGTTGTTTATATTGTTTTTTATTTAAATATATCTGTTAAATTTTTTTATAGTGGGTTTCCGCAAATATCAGTTAAAAACACAATTTACACAGCAAAAAATATTTTTTAAAGTTTACCGTAAAAATGTGGAAATGTTATACTCTCTTCGACATTCTGTCAATTTTTACCCTTGTTGGTATTTTTGTAACTGTCATTTTGTCGTTTCGTTTAATCTCCTTTTAGCCATTTTGTCGTTTTTACTTTTTAACATTTACTACAATTATTTTCGAATTCCAAGAATATATTGAAAGACCAATTCTTCATAATTTTCATTTGGCCAAATACCCATTATTTTTTCATTTTGTCTAAAAGGGAAAATCTTTCCACTTTGACCGGCCAATTTTTCATTTCCACATTGCAAAATTTATTTTTGAACACGTCGACATTGTTTATTCTTTAAAAATTAATTTTTTTTAATTTAATTAATTTTATAGAGACTTTATTAAAAATGAATTGGCTATATTTTCTTCTATTTTTCTGCTTATTTGGAATAAAAAATTCTTTTGGTTATTTTATTCATATTGATGCAAATGAAGAATTGTGCTTTTTTGATAGAGTAGTTTCTGGAACTAAAATGGTATTTTCTTTTATATTTTTTTATAATTATTAGAGGTCTGGTCCGTGTCTCGGGCTTTCTGTCGGGTATTTTGGTAAAATCCGTTTATTACAACTTTCGTGGTTTAGGTGTCTTAATATAGAAATCCGTCCCGAGACCAGGTTTTCCGAGCCCGGAAATGGATATTCTGAAAAGATTGGAGTATTTACGGTTCCTGGGTTTCGCGGTTTTTACCATGGAAAATAGAGAGAGCGGGGTCTGGACCATGGCCTGGGTTTTTCCTGTATTGCAGGCCCATGAACAAGACCAGGCTTTTCAAAAGTCTCGATCTCTAATGGAAAATATGGCCCGGTCTGTTTAAAACAATTTGTCCGGGCCCGACAATTTGAAAAGCTTGAACTCTCTTAATAATTATATTAATTGTTTTTAAGGGTTTAATGTTTGAAGTTGCGGAGGGTGGATTTCTTGATATTGACGTTAAGGTTTGATTGCAAGTTTTGTTAAATTCTTAATTTTTTATTTTTAGATTGTTGGCCCGGATAATTCAGAGATTTATAAAGGTTTATTTATTCTTATACTTTAGACTAATTTACAACCTTTTTTTAGGTGAACGTGAAAGCTCAGGAAAATATACATTTGGTAAATTTTTATAGTAAGAGGGCTTCCTCCCTCTTAATTAGAATGGCAAGAAGGAGGAAGATTTTTGTGGGATTTTAATAAATTAAAGGATCTTTAGGGGTGAATAAATTGAAGGGGAATTCTTCAGAAAGTCGAATACTCCTTCAAATCTCCCGAATAATAAGTCAAATCATGCGAAACTCTGCTACCCAAATTTAGGAGATTTGTTGGGGGATTTGACTTTCTGGAAATTTCAACTTTTTTCCATTCCTTCACCCACCTTACTTTTATCTTTAAAATTATTTAAAATTTTTATTTTTTTAAGCTGCTCATATGGATGGTCCGCATACTTATTGTTTTAGTAATAAAATGTCTACTATGACTCCAAAGGTCTTTTTCTCAAAAATTTTTCGATTAAAAAAATTGTTTTTTAGGTTGTTATGTTCTCAATGGATATTTCTCAACCTAATGCCCACACTCAAGAAGCTGATGGAAAAATTGATGGTTTTTTTAGAAATTAATTTAACGTTTAATTTTTTTATTTTTGTTTAGCTGATGGTCAAAAACTTGAAGAAATGATTAGAGAACTTTCTGCAATGCTTACAGCAGTAAAACATGAACAAGAATATATGCAAGTTCGTGATAGAGTGCATCGTTCAAGTTTGTTTTTTTTTATTTAAAAAAATTTTTTTTAATTTTTTGAGAAAGCCTAGTTTAAGGAATAAGGAGATCCTGGGTAGCATTTTAAATGCTTACTAGGAATGAATTTAAGGATTTGTTAAAAAAAGAGATTGTAAAAACTGGGCCCGTAACCAGAGGGGGAGGGGAGGGGGGACCATTGCTTGGCAGGGGGATGTTTCTTGGAATTTTTTCTTTTGAGTTTCCTAATCTCTTGGAAATGTTTTTGTTTTCCTTTCTGATTCTCCCTCTTATATTTAAGTATTAGATTTAATTTTTCAGAATTTTTTCTATAAAATCGAATTTTCTTTTTTCAATTTTGATTGGCTTATTTTTCTCAATATTGCTTATTTTCTGGTTTAAAATTTTATTTAAAAATTAATATTTTTTCAGTAAATGAGAATACAAACAGCCGCGTTGTAATTTGGGCAATTTTTGAGGCAATTTTGCTTGTTTCTATGACTATTGGACAAATTTATTATTTAAAACGATTTTTTGAAGTTAGAAGGGTTGTTTAAATTTTTTTCTAATTTTATGGGATTTAAAAAAAATTTTCCTCAAAAAAATTTTTTTGTTGCTCTCTCACTTGAACCTATGGACCTTTCTAAATTATTTTTTTAAAACTTAGTTTTCAGTTATAATATCCAAAAAAAAATCAAAATTTTATATATTTTTTTCTTCCTCTCTGGGATTTCTATATCTAATTATTTTTTTGTTTTCTCTTAAAATATATATTTTGTGTGTGAAATTAATTTTTTGTTTTTTTCTCCAAAAAAATTTTAGCCCATTTTTGTTGTATTTCCTTTTAAAGATGAAATTTAAGTAAATATTTTTTAAATGACTTTTGAAAAAAATATAAAAAAATAGGTGATTGTCTGACATAAGGAATTACCAAATAGGAAGTTTTGAAATTTTCGAAATTAAAAAAATACCTTTAAAAAATTTTTACCATTTTTTGGCTCTATTTTTGGCATTAAAAAATTTTTTTTAAGTATTTTATTAATTTTATTTTTTTGGAAATTAAAGTACAGATAAAAAGTTCTTTTTTAACCCGAAAATAATATAGTATGTATGTGTCCAAAAAATATCTTTTTAAAGAAAAGATGACCTTGACATTTTTTAAAAAATGGAACCACCCACGAAATAAAAAGGGGAATAATATCCCACAATTAAATAACGGATAAGAAGCGTTTTTTTAACCGGATAAGGAAGGAGGAATGAATAGGGGAAGGGGAAGGAAGGGTGTGGAGGAGAATAGAGAAGGGGATTGATCTGATTAAAGTGGAGATGATATATACTTTGCTTGAACTTTTATTGTCTTCCTTTTTCCATTTGAAATCCTCTTTTAAATTTCTTTTGGGAAACGATAAAAAAGCCCACATAAAAAAGCCCACAGAAAAGCCCACACATTTTTCCCTTGTTGTTGCTTCAAAACACTTTAATGAACAGCTTTACAGTTTTATAAATAAGATACTTTTTGTCTGGTAAAATTTTAATTTTTTTCAGAAAAATTTTTTTTCTGAATTTTTAGGTAATAAAAATGTATATTTTAAATTCAATTTTAATTTTTCTATTAATTTTAATTCAAATAAAATGGTCATTTTGTTTTTCAAAAAATTTTTTATTTAATCAAAATGAAAGAAAATTTCCAACATTTTTAATAGATTTTGAATTAGCTTCAGTTTTGTGTCAACATTCAAATAATCCAAAAGATTTACATTTACACGATATTTCTGTTGGGTTTTTTTTAAATTTTAATTTCAAATATGGGAGAGGAGGGGTAGGAGTTAAGAAAAAAAAATTGGAAAATCTCTCAAAACGAAAGTACTGGGTAAATAACGTGCCTTTCCGAGCGGGACACGCCCACCTTGTCGCGCGGCCACCTTGTCGCAGAGCCATAACTTGCTAAAAAATTTCTGGCCCTTATCAATTTTGGTACCAATCTCTTTAGCTCGATGAGAGGAATCGTTTAATACTAAAGTTGGTAAGATTCGGAAAACTTGAAGGAAGTTATGGCTCTGCGACAAGGTGGCCGCGCGACAAGGTGGGCCGTACCCTTTCCGAGCGATTTAGGTATGTTTCTTGTGGCGGTATTCTAAAATCTAGGTAGAAGATTGTTTTTTCTCAAAATTTTTTGGGAAAAATGAACTTCTGGAAGTAACACGAATTATCATAAAATAATTTTCTATTCAAGCAAAATTAATTTTATAAATTTTTATTTTTGTAGATACTCTGTAATAAACATCAAGAGTGTCTTCAAAGGTTTTTCTGAAAAAATTTTCAAAAAATTTTTCTTTTAAAGTTTATTCGGCCAAGATGACGAGTCTTTCCCTCACTGTCGTCATTTACAATGTAGAGGAGGTACAAGAAAAGAAGTTGATTGTAGTGGTAAAGGGGCTTGTATATTTGATGGTTTTACAACTAGATGTTTTTGTAATGAAGGATATTATGGATTGAATTGTGAATATTTTGGTAAGAGAAATTTTTTGGAATTTTTTTTTTTGAAATTTTTTTGAAAATTTTTTCCGAATTTTTGAAACTTTTTAAAAACGACACATTTTTTCCTTCAATAAAGGCAAAAATGAAGAAAAAGAAGCATTTGATGAATTTGGCTTAGAATTTGGAAAAGTAGTATTAAATAATAAATATCCAAATGAAAGAAAAAATTGGTTAAAAATGAAGGAAATAATTAATGAAGCAAAAGAAGCTAATAAGAAACAAAAGGAATTTGGTTTGTTAATAGGGAAGGGAAGAATGGAAATGGTTGAAGGAGGAGGACATGAAACTTCTACTAAAGCAACAAGTAAAAGTAAAGCTACTGAAACAACTGAATTACCAAATTTTGAAGCAACATCTGCTTCAAGTTCCGAAGCAAATACAAGAAGATATAATACTGAAGCAAGTTCAATTTTAAATCTTGAAGCAACTTCTGATTCAAGTTTTGAAACAAGTACAAGAGGATATAATACTGAAGCAAGTCCCTTATCTACTCTTGAAGCAAATTTTGGAGCAACTTCAGTAAAAAATTCTCAAGCAAATACAAGAACATATACTGAAGCAAGTTTAGAAGCATCTTCTGCATCAAATACAGAAGCAAGCAAATTAGCGATTTTTGAAGCAATTTCTGCTTCAAATTCTGAAACAAGTCCAAAAGTATATAATACTGAAGCAAGTTCAATTTTGAATCCTGAAACAACTTCTGCTTCAAATTCTATATTATATACTGAATCATATACCGAAGTAACTTCATTATTAACTTCTGCATCAAATACTGAAGCAACTTCAATAAAAAATTCTGAAACAAGTTTAATTTTGAATCTTGAAGCAATCACAAAAGCAGGTAGAGAAACAGCCTCCTCATCAAAAATCAAAGCGACCTCCTTAGAAACTGCTGAAACAACTTTTTCAAACTTTGAACCAAAATCTGAAGCAAATACTGAAGCAACTATTTATTTAAATACCCAGATAAATCCAGGAGAACATTCTACAAAAGCTTCAACAGTTAAAGAATCAAAATCTAATAAGCCAAATAATGAAGCGATTTTAGTAGATAATGAAGCAAATTTTAAACCAAAAATAGAAGCTGAAGCAACTTCAGCTTCTACACCAAATAATGGGGAAAATTTGTTAGCAGAAACGGAAGCAGCTTCTTTATCGACTATTCCAACGGGCATTGAAGAGACTTCACCCAGAACTGAATATGCTTCAACAAAAAAATTTTCAACAAATGAAGCAAATTTATCAAAACAAATGAAGCAACATTTTCTGACTTCTGAAGCACCAATTACTGAAACTCCCAATTATGCTTCATCTTTACCTTCAACTTTTAAAATAAATTCTGAAATAACTTTGTTACAGGGTGACCATCTCAAAACCACTAAAATAGGGCGCAGCCACTTAAAAATGTGGCAAAAATAGGGCAAAATTGAGCAAAAATAGGGCAATATTTTAAAAGCTTAAAATTAATTAAAATTTCAAATAAAAAGCTTTATTTTAAACCTTTGTTCGCTAGTTTTATCTAAATTGAGCAAATCGGTATCAGAAATAAAGAGTGCCCGAGTACAATAAAATCAGAATTGAGTTTAATGAATACAAGGGAATTAAGTAATTTCGCCTTCGTTCTGCTTCTCTGGCTAGTTTCACATTCTTAACAACAAAAATGCTGAAAGAGTTGACTCATCAGAAAATTTGCTTTCAGGGGCCTATTTCAATTGTCCACAGATTCTGCATTCTGTGCACAGAACACAGATTCTGTGGAAATTCTGTTTCAATTAAATTCTGTGTGCACAGAATCTGTGGTGCCCGCAGATTCTGCGGAAACATCCAATGATTCTGTGGAAACATTCCGCAGATTCTGTGGATGAAAATTTCTGTGGAAAATATAAAAATCTGTGGATTTTTTCCACTGATCCACAGAATTTGTATTTCAATTATTTTTCTGTGGTTCTGTGTATTTTTTCTTCTAAATTCAAATTTTTTATTTCCGCGTTTTTGAAAATAACAGTTTTATTGAAACGAAAAATGGTTTGGACAGTTCGGTACTACCGCAGTATTAATGGTACCTGATTTTTTGAAGTAAAACTTTAAAAATTCTTAAATTAAACTGAAAAATATTGTAAAGATTTAAAAATTTTCCCTCCAAATCACATAACATCCCTTTAAATCTCTTTGATATCACTTTAAAACCGCTGATATACCGCTTAATTTTCTTGTTCATCCAATATCCTTAAATCTCCAATTAAATTAATGTCCTAAAGCAGGGTTCGGATCGGAAAAATCAGGAGATGTCGATCCGACATGTGGCTTTTTCAAACTACGATAGAAGTTGTTGCAAGGGAGGGAAATGTTTGGGGATTGTTTAGTCAGAAATTGAGGTTCCTGGAAATCGAAAATGCCTGGAATCCAAAATTATAGTCAAATCGGAACTTTAAAATCGTAGAGGAGTGATTAAGTGGGATATCCATTGATTTTGAGGTTTAATATATTGGAGTGATTAAGGAGGAAATCTATCATTAAATAGGAGGAGAGATTATGACGGATATCAATGAGAGATCATGGGAGATATCCCAGTATACGCTATACAGATATATTCTATAGATCCTGGTAAACATCCCCTCATTAGAGATATCCATGATGATTAGAACATCATAGCTCTAAATTTCAGAATCTCTCACGTTTTTTATTTTTTTATTGCTTGAATATAACAAAAACTGCGTAAAAAAGATGTACCTTTTTCAAAATTAATTTTAAGCAATAATTTTAGGTAATAAAATTATAATTTTTATATCAAAAAATAGAGAATGATTCAAACTTTAATAATCTTTAAAAATTTTGAAATTTGGTTAAGCCTAGGCCTAGAAAAAAATTGTTAAAGTTTTTCCACAGAAAGTTCGCAGAAAAAATTTTAGGGTGGATTTTTTAAAGAATTCTGTGTATTTTCCGCAGACCACAGAAATAATTGAAACAGAAATGCACAGAATCGACTAAAAAAGCCACAGATCTGTGGATTTTTTTCTGTGCACAGAAAAATAATTGAAATAGAATTCTGTGGTTTTTGCATGTTTTTGGATGTTTTGCAGAATCTGTGGATGTTTCCACAGATTCTGTGCATGTTTCCACAGAATCTGCGGACTTCTTTTTCCGCAGAATCTGTGGAATAATTGAAACAGAATTTCTGTGGTTCTGTGGTCTGTGCACAGAACGCAGACCGCAGAATCTGTGGACAATTGAAATAGGGCCCAGATCAAAAATAACCCTACAATGCTGATTAATTTCGAACTATTTCCTTACACAAACGTCCAAATGACTGAATAAAATCCCGTACTTCATGCTGTGCGTGCCAATCTATAATAATAAGCTAGTAACCTCCCCCATTCAGCGCCGCAGGCGAAAATTTTAAGAATTTTGGAGGTCAGGAAGTCAGAAATCCTTCATTTTTACCATTTTTTTACAAAATCCCAAAAAAATATAGAAATATTACGAAATGTTAAAAATAGGGCAAAAATATGGCAAATGAAAAAATAGGGAAAAAATAGGGCGAAAAGTTCAAAAATAGGGCAAATGCCCTATAAATAAGGTAAAATGGTCACCCTGCTTTGTTAGCTGATTTTGAAGCAAAATCTACTTCAGCAAATATAAGTGGATTAAAAATGATGACTGATAACACTGAAGCAAATTATGAAGATAGAACAACTATAAAATCTGTAGCAACAACTAAAGAAACAGATAATGAAGAAGAAATTTATTCAAGAACTACTATGGCTAATGTTTCGCCTAATTCTGTGATAGACGTTGAATCAACTCCAGGTTTAAAGCCTGAGACAGCTTCTAAAGCAAATTTTTCACCCGTTGAAACAACATCTTTAGCAAATATTGAAGCAACGTCAAACAATGAAGCAAAATCTGTATCAAATATTGAAACGTCCCCTGAAGCAGGTGTTGAAGCAAAGACTGTATCAAGTATTGAAGAATCCTCTAAAGCTAATATTGAAGCAAAACCTGTAGCAGGTATTCAAGCATCTTCTGGATCAGGTATTGAAGCATCCTCTAAAGGAAGCATTGAAGCATCTTCTGAAGCGAATATTGAAGCAAAAACTGTAGCAAGTAGTGAAGCATCCTCTAAAGGAAGTATTGAAGCAACTTCGATAAAGTCTGAAGTCAAAGATACTAAAACAAGTCTGAAAGGAAATTCTTTATCATCTAATACGGCTACACCTTTATCAAATATTGAAGCTTCTCTATCAGCTACAGACAAAATACGATCAACTTCGTTGACTTCAAAATTTGAATCAAACTCTATTTCAACCGTCAAATCAAGTTCTTCAAATTTTGAAACAACTGTGCCTTCTGCTACTAATTCCCGTTTGAATTCTAATAAATTGAATACCGAAACAACTTCCGAATCTGAAGCAAAAATTAAGTCTTCCGAATTTGAAGCAACAACAAAGTTTCCCTTCGAAGCTGAAGCAACAACTAGGTTTCCCTTCGAGGCTGAAGCAAGAAGGAAGTTTCCCTCCGAAGCTGAAGCAGAAATGAAGTCTTCCAAATCTAAGGTATCAACAAAGTCTCTCTTCACATCTTCAACATCAGAAGCCGAATCACCTTCTAAAACAGGCTCTTTAGTGAATTTTTCTACTGAAGCAACTTTTGTAGCAAATAACACAAAACCTGAAGCTTTAACAATAATATCAACAAGTTTTACGCCTCACATTTCATCATTAAACACTAGAAGAAATTTTGAAACAAATTTTGCTTCAAATAACACTTTTTCTTATACTGAGGCTAGTCAAATAAACAATTCTGAAACAATTTCTGCTACAACTTTATTTCCCCCTACTGAAGCAACAGAACCTCTAATAAATGTTTCTGAAGCAAATGCTTATATTAATAATGAATCAACTTCTAAAACAAAAACTGAAGCAGATTCTTCAATCATTTTAGTAGACTCTGCTTCATCTTTTAATGAAGCAACTTCAATACCGAAAACTGAAGCAGGCTCAACTATAACTAATCTAGCAAGTTCTGCTTCATCTTTTAATGAAGCAACATCTATAAAACCAACTTTAAGTACAACTGAAGAAAATTCTATAAAAAATATTACCGACACTTCAAATAGAACATCGTTCAAATTATTAAATGTTTCTGAAGCTTCAACAATGCTTCCATTCGAAACTGAAATAAAATTGAGGTTTAAATCTGGAGCAAGAACAAAGTTTTTCTCCAAATCTGAAGCAACAACAAAATTCACTTCCGAATCTGAAGCAAGGAAGAAGGTTACCCCTAAATTTGAAACTAGAATGAAATCCTCTAAATCATCAACTGTATCTGTATCAACAATCGAATCTGTAGCGCCAACAAAGTTTCCTTCCGAATCTGAAGCAAAAATGAAGTCTCCTTTCGAACCGGAAGCAAAGAAGAAGGTTCCTTTCACATCCGAAACAAAAAAGAAGTTTTTTAAATCTTCAACCGAATCTGCATCAACTACCGAATCTGTAGCACCAACACACTTTCCTTCAGAACCTGAAACAAAAATGAAGCCTGCTTCCAGATTTGAAGCATCAACCAAGTCTCCTTCCGAAGTTGAAGCATTAACAAAGTCTCCTTCCAAAGCTGAAGCAAAAGTGAAAACAACCGAATCTGAAGCAAAAATGAACTCTCCTTCTGAATCTGAAACATCAACATCCGAACCTCAAGCTTCAACTTCTTTCAAGTTTGAAGCAATAACAAAGTTTCCCTTCGAAGCTGAAGCATCAGCAAAGTCTTCTACCAAACCTTTGGCATCAACTAACATTTTTAAAAATATTGAAGTAAACTCATCTAAAGCAACAAGAAGACCAGGTACTAGAAGCAAAGAAATTTCTTTTGAAAATTTTTTAAATAAAATTGGTGAAAGAAAATTTTCAACAAAAAAGCCAAAATTAAGTTCAGAAAATTATAAAATAAATTTGTTGAATACTACCCCTTTTGAAGCAATTACAGAAGGAAATATTAATATTTTTAAGCCTACTAATAAGTATGAAACAAATTCAATAAATAATGAAGCAGCTTCAACAAACATTATTAAAACTGAAGCAGAAACAACTAATCAAAATATTGAAACAAATACTGGACCAACTCTTGAAGCAAAATCTTTAGTTTCAAATTTTGAAGCAAAATCTGAAGCAAATACTAAATCAACTTATCCAATAAAATCTGAAGCAACTTCAGAAATTTATTCTAAAAATGCTGAAACAATTACTGAAGCACCACTATCTTTAGCTAATGCTAAGAATTTGGGTGCGAATTTTGCTGCTACTGCTTCTGAAGCAGATTCTGTAACTAATAGAGAATTTGAACAAACAACTCCTTTAGTAGGTATTGAAGCAACTACTGTAGCAAATATTGTTGCAACTTCAAAACCTGTAGCAAGTAATGGAGCAGTTTCTGTAGCAAGAATTGAAGCGATTTCAACTCCTTTAGCAAGTATTGAAGCAAATACTGTAGCAAATATTGTTGCAACTTCAATACCTGTAGCAATTATTGAAGCAACTTCTATGGCAAGTAATGAAGCAACTTCAACTGTGGCAAATAATGGAGCAGCTTCTGTAGCAAGGATTGAAGCAATTTCAACTCCTGAAGCAAGTATTAAAGCAACTCTTGTAGGTAGTAATGAAGTAGCGTCATTAGCAAAAGTTAACTCAACATCAGCTTCTAATATTGAAGCAAATACTGAATCAACTTCTTTAATCAACTCAAGAACGAATGTTTTATCGACTTCGGCAGTTAATGAAGTTTCATTAAAACCAACACCTGCTACATTAATTTTTGACAAAAATACCCAAAAAAATATTGAAGCAAATTCTGTAGCATTTTCTACGCCAAACTTTTTAGCAAATTCTAATGGTACAACTTCTGCTGCAGAAAGTTCTGAAGCAAATTCTACTTCATCAGGGTTCGTGTCCAAAGCAACAGAATCCTCCACAGCTTCAAATGTTTCTGCTTCAAGATTTAAAATTAGTTCTGAAGCAACAACTAAAACACACCCAAAAACAACCCTAAAAACTCCAAGAAGGTTTACAAAATTGCAGAATTGTCTTCAAAATTGGACAAGAACAACACAAAATACTGGAACAGCTTCAATAACAATTAAACCTATTGTTGAAGCATCTTCCCCAAATGTTTCTCTCAACAAGATTACTGTCTCTGTTGAAGACTCTACTAATCTTCTCTCTTCAAAAATTAGTGTTTTCTCTCCTCAAACCAACACTATTTCTCCAACTAAACAAAATATTGAAACTGCTTCAATAACAGTTAAACCTGAAGCATCTACTAAAGCACTAAACAAAAACATTGTTGCTTCTCCCAACAAGACTACTGTTTCTGTTCAAGACTCTATTATTCCTTTCCCTTCAAAAAATATTAGAGTTGTCTCTCCTCAAACCAACACTATTTCTCCCTTAAAAGTTTCTTCTTCTCTAGTTTCTACTAATTTTGGCTTTAATTGTTCCAAGTTTTTTTAAATTTATTTTTTTAAATTTTTTTTATGTTAAGAAGCTTGCAACATTATTGCGGTCAACAAGCTTTTTGTAGGTAAGAAAATTTTTGGAAAAAAATTTTTGAAATTGAAAATTTTGGTCAATTTAAGCGATAAATCAGTCTGTCAGTGTTTGCCTGGTTTTTCTGGTTTTCCTCCACTATTTCCGTGCAATGGTTTTTTATTTTTTAAAAATTTTTTAAATTTGACGTTATTTTCAGCAGAAATTTCATTAAATGCTTCTTCCAATTCTTTGAGAAATTTGGAATGTTTTAATAATTCAGACAGCAAGTGTGGTAATAGATGTGAAAATGGTTACTTTTTGAATAGTAATGGCTCTTGTGAAGATGTGGATGAATGCAAAATGGGTTTATTTTTTAAATTATTTTTTTTGGTAATTTTGACTCATTGACTAGGATTGGGCTTAAACGGTTAACTGACAATAAACAGGAACCGAAAAACTGGAGGTACCGGTTAAAAGCCGGTCGTGTCCATCCCTAGTTGCACCCCTCTTTTTTCTTCCTATCACTGATGAGTTAGATCGGGTTTTAAAAATTTTCTTCGAATCGGGTTTCTGGTCGAAAGAGCATCCATGTTTCGTGTATCGATCAGTAACTTGACCTATTCCTGCTGCCTATTGCCAAAAAAGGGAATCGTGAGTAAATCGAAAAAACGAGGCAGTTCAAAATTACCTTTTTTTGTAAAATTAAAAATCAAGAAAAAAAATTTTCTAGGTGTTGCTGTTTGTGGAGAAGAAGCATTTTGTCGAAATTTAGAGGGAGCTTATCGTTGTGAATGTCCTAAAATTTTAAAAGATGGTCATGAATGTGCGGCATTATCACCAAAATCTATTAAAGAATATATTAAAGGTTTTCTTTTTTTTTTGAAATTAAAAAAAATTTAGAAAATTTTTAAAGTTAAATGCTTTCGAGGTGAAAATTTGGAAAATTCAGCAATTCAAGTTTATTTTACTTCTAATGTTTGGATACAATTTAAAGGCCGTGTAATTGTTAATGGTAGTCAGGCCGAGAATCCAAAATGTTTTAAAGACGTTAGTTTATTTTTTTTTATTAATTGGAGAAGGGGGGGGGGGGGTTTCCTTCATATAAGGGTTCTTCCTTTATACTCGCAAAAATCCGCAAGTTTTGCCCGCAATTTTAACATTTCTTTTTTAAATAATTTTGGGACAGATATGTAACTCGAGGAATTCTTCAGTCCGGTTCTTTGGGTTTGGACGTCGGGGTTTTTACTCGGTTCGTCGAAAACGAAGGGTGATGGCTTTTGAAATTTTGAAATAGAAAAAAAATTTTAAATTGTTTTCGGTTCCGGATGTTGGAAGATTTTCCTAGAATTTCTAATCCAATTTTCTAAAAAGATTTTCAATAAGGGTGAATTAAATAGGAGCAGAACATGTAAGAAATTTATTTTTAAAGGTATGAAACTTGCGGACAAAACTTGCGGACTTTTTAAATAGGGTTGGGGGTCCGGTCCGAAAGATCGAGTCGGGCATTGAATTTTGGCCCGAAAAAGACTCGGTCGGGTCGGCTTAATAAAATGAAGCCCGAAAAAATGACTCGAACGTCGGCCCGACCCGAAAACCCCAACCCTATTTTTTAAGCCTTTTTTTCAATTTAAAAATTTAAAATTCCAATTAAAGTTTTCCAGTAACAACAACAACACCAACAATTCCTCCAATTTTTTAATTCCTGCAAATGAATGTAAATTAATTGAAAAAGGAATAAAAATAAATACATTAAGTACACGTCTTTTAATCAAACCAATAATTGAATTAAAATCTTTTAATTATTTGTATATTCCTCCAATTTATTTTATTCAAATTCAATGCCATTTTGTGGAAGAAGAAAATTTGACTAATTTTTCAGAAAATTTTACAAAAACCCCAAAAATAACAACAAAAATGGGAATAACAAAGACACCAAAAATGACGAGCCAGAAGGTGTTTGAAGATGTTTTTGATAAGAAAATGATGAGGAAAACGACAAAGACAACTTTAAAAACAAAAACAACAAGAGAATCAGTTGGAACAGCAACAAAAAGTAATTTGGTAGAGGAACCTATTTGGTTTGAATTTTTCTTTAATTTAAAAATTATTTTTTATTTTTTTTTAGTTTGTTGGATGTGACTGATAAAAATGGTGTACATGTTTTAAAAATAAAAGCTGGCGAGGTTTGAAATTTTTTTCTTTCTTTTTTAGGATTAAATAATAGGATTTATTAGGAGAACAAAACATTTTTTGTTATAATTTTTGAAAAAAAATTTTTTAGAAAATTTTTCTTCTAATTTCTAACAGCTCTGTTTACATTCTATTTCAATTCTTAAGTTATTTTGAATTTTCTGGGGCTATATTTTCAAAAATTGAATTTGTTAAGGGAATTTAATTTGTTCAATAATTGAGAAGCTAGAAGCTAGTTCCTGGGGTAGCTCTCTCCAGGCCCGTAACTAGGATTTTTCGGGGGTGACCAAGGGAGAAATTTTCGATTTTTAGCGCCGCTAGCGAAAATTTTGAGAATTTTGGAAGGCCTCCATTTTCTATGTTATAATAATTTTCTTTCAAATCTTGTGGACAGATCTTTAGTCATAAAAATTTTTTTATTTCAGACTTTAACGTTAACATTGAGCCTCGTTTCTCGTTTATGGCAACAAAAAATTAGAAATATAACAATATTCCCAAAAAGATGTTATGCAATAAATTTGGACAATGGAGGAAGATATTGTTTAACAGATAATGGAGGTTGTGCTTTTGAAAAAGGATTATTTCCTGAATGGAAAAGGAAAAATAATTATAAATCAGAGGTTTCTTTTAATATTTTGGCATTTATTAAAAGAACAAAATTTGGGGAGGGAGGTTGTTATTTCTTTGAATATTTTTGGGTTTTACAAGGGAACCTCACGAACTGTCAGTCAAAACTTTGTATTTTTTTGGTACCAATCGATAGAGCATCACCGATTTGCTCTAGAAAATTTCCGGCTTTTTTGGCTAGGAATATGATACTGGATTGAAAAATAAGCATTTTTTTTGACCCTGAAATAATATTTTAAAAAATAAAATTGCAAAAAATGTCCGCAAAAAATAATGTCCGTAAAAAATGATGTCCGCAAAGAGTGTCCGAAAAAACTCCCTCCAGTTACAAATGCCAAAAATGTTTTTTTTCAGGCCAATTTCTCAGCTTTTCGATGGACAGAAACTAATAGTGTTCGTTTTGAATGTGATTGTAGTGTTTGTTCAGAAGAAAAATGTCCAAAGGTTTTTTTTAATTTTTTAAATTTTTTCTTAATTTTTTTATTTAAAGTTTGATTGTGAAAAAAGAAGAAATTTGCGATTTAAAAAATATTTTTATAACAATTGGTCTTTAAATGAAAATGATGAATCTTCTGTTGATAATGAAAATTTGGCTAGTTTAACATGGCTTTCTAGACCATCTTCTTTGCCTGTTATAATGGAAGTTGATGATGAAAACAAAAGGAGAAGAAGAAGGAAAAGAAGAAAAGTTTAGTTTATTTTAAATTTTTTTGATAATTTACTTACAAGGGCGTAGCTGGTGGTGGATTCGGCGACTAAAGCCCCCCCCTCCCCCCGAAATAGGGAAAGGAAAAGATTTGATGAGGGGGTTGAGCAAAAAACGAAATTTTTTCGCCCGTGACCGTCTACATTCTCAAAATTTTTGCCCGCGGCGCTGAAAATGGAAGAAATCTGGTCGCTTGAGCTTCAAATTTCAAAAAAAATTTTGCCTGCGGCACTGAAAAATATGGTTCAAAAAAGTTGCATTAGGAGCGCCAAAGTAAACGCCAAAATTTTCCAAACACCCCATCTTAGCCCCCCTGAAATCGACCCCCTGGCTACACCCTTGATAATTTATTAACGGCCATAATAACTAACGCTGAAATACCAACCACTCAAAAACGCCGAAATACCAAAAAACCTTTACGGCAAGAAGCTAAATATACTTTCTACATTAAGCATCCCAAAAAAATGCTTATAGCTAATTTGTAACCTAAAATTATCAAATTTTCGCCTGCGGCGCAAAAATTGGAAAGAAATAAGCACAGAATCCTTCCCTAAAACGTCAATCAACATTTTCGAAGGGTCTTTAGTGGTATCAAAAGGTTTCGATTTAGATGGAACTGAAGAATTCTGAATCGTTTACTAAGCAGGATCTTTCAAACATTGTTCGCGAAGTGCCTAGTAATAACTTTCTACGGGGATTAGATTCTTTAATTTATTCACCCACAGATTTTTATTTCTTTATATGACTTCACTGGCTTTTGAAAATGCTAAAAATTAAAATAAATTTTGATTTTAGGATTAGTTCTAATCATTTAAATTAAAAAAACTAACTCGAGGAATTGGAGCTCATTCTTCTCCATCAACTTTACAGCCACTTAAAATGTATTAAAAAAAAAATTTAAGTGATCTAATACCAAATTTATGAGTTGTTCGTTCTCACTGACTTGACGTTGCGCCTCCTTAAGGTTTTTCGTTAGAATCTCTAAACATGCCTCATCATGTTTTAGTTTAGATGCTGCCGATTGTGAATATTTTGAATGAGAAATAAAACCTTTCATGATGAAGTTTTCTACCTAAAAATTATTAGGAATTAAAAATTCAAAATATTAATTAGTACCATTGAATGTGCAAGAAACCAGGCCTTGTCTATATCATCAGCTACTTGACTTGTGTCATTTCCATTATTTAATCTCATTTCACCGGCAACGCTGGCTAGAAGGCTTAGAAGGCTAGACAATCAGTAGGTGGTCCAAGAATACTAACCAGTTCTGCATGTTCAATAAATTTTACCTCCAAAAGTCGATTGGCCAACTTTTCCAAAAATTCCTTTTTTTAATCTGATTTGCTGCTTGCACGGAACTGTTTATTATTTTCTTGGTCTCTGATAAACCTCAAAACAGTTCCGTGCAAGCAGCAAATCAGATTAAAAAAAGGAATTTTTGGAAAAGTTGGCCAATCGACTTTTGGAGGTAAAATTTATTGAACATGCAGAACTGGTTAGTATTCTTGGACCACCTACTGATTGTCTAGCCTTCTAAGCCTTCTAGCCAGCGTTGCCGGTGAAATGAGATTAAATAATGGAAATGACACAAGTCAAGTAGCTGATGATATAGACAAGGCCTGGTTTCTTGCACATTCAATGGTACTAATTAATATTTTGAATTTTTAATTCCTAATAATTTTTAGGTAGAAAACTTCATCATGAAAGGTTTTATTTCTCATTCAAAATATTCACAATCGGCAGCATCTAAACTAAAACATGATGAGGCATGTTTAGAGATTCTAACGAAAAACCTTAAGGAGGCGCAACGTCAAGTCAGTGAGAACGAACAACTCATAAATTTGGTATTAGATCACTTAAATTTTAAGTTTTTAATACATTTTAAGTGGCTGTAAAGTTGATGGAGAAGAATGAGCTCCAACGAGACGAATTCCTCGAGTTAGTTTTTTAAAATTTAAACTATTAGAACTAATCCTAAAATCAAAATTTATTTTAATTTTTTAGAATTCTCAAAGGCCAGTGAAGACATATAAAGAAAGAAGTGTAGTTGTAAAGGTTCCGTGACTTTTGCGCCGCGACTTTTGCGCCGGGCGACGTTTGCGCCGCGACTTTTGCGCCGCCACTATCATTATAATTATGAAAAACACAGCCGGATCTCACTGTAGAAGATGTAGGATAGTTGGAGATCTTCGGATATCAAGATCCGGATCCGATATCCGACCTAAATATTCGGCTATCCGGCCTTTTTCAGATCCAGATATCTGGACCCGACAACCCTACACTATAGTGCACCCTCTTTTGGCAGAAAATCATGCCTGAATAGGGGTAGCAGACCAAATATCCTGATTTGAAAAAGTCAAGTTCTTTGAAGATGACCCCTCTAGGGGGTCGGTTTATTAGAGGGAGCTATTGTACTTCTCGAAATATTGTACTTCCTGAAATTCCTTCAGCTCCTAGATACCATTTTTTAAGAGTACATTATAATTAGGTCGACTAGATATTATTTTTTTTAAATTATGGCGGCGCAAATGTCGCGGCGCATAAGTCGCCCGGCGCATAAGTCGCGGCGCACAAGTCGCAGCGCAAAAGTCGCCCGGCGCATAAGTCGCGGCGCAAAAGTCGCGGCGCAAATGTTCTCGGCGCAAAAGTCGTGATACCGTTGTAAATATAATATAAAATTAAAAATTAACACATAAATATATTTTTCTTGCCAAAACCTTTATTGTTTGTGTGTATGTATTAATGTCTAATTCATTTGTCCACAAAAAATTAGTTTTATGTATGTAAATATTAATTTTCGATAAATATTTTTCTGTAAAAAAATTTTTTTTTAATATTTGTTTTGAAATTTCATTCAAATTATTTAAAAATATTTTTGACTTTAATTTTTTTTAATTTATTTTTAGACAAGGGATGGGGCGGGTTAATGAAAAAAAAGTTTGGGTCGGGTTAGTTTGAAATTTTCTTTGGATCGTCTGAAAATAGTCTCAGTTTCGGTCAACCCGTTCCTTATTTTTAGACTTCAAAAAGTTTTAAGAAAATGGCTTCACTTAATAAATGGCAAAAATTTATTTATCAATTAAATCAACAACAAAAACGTTTTAATATTTTTAATAAAAAAATTCAACAAAATATTCCTTTTCGATTTTATTTTGCGTCTTCTTTTTCTCGTCTACTTCCAATAAAATTTAAATTATTTTCTTTTATTTTGTTTACAAGATTTGCAGTAATTCAACCAATAATGAGAATAAATGATGATCCAGATGAAGAACAAATTAGAATGTCTAAAAGATTAAAAAGGTTTTTTTTGTTTTTTATAATTTTTAAGGTTTGTTTTTAAGGTTTAGAAAATTTGCTTCAATTGAATATGCAGGGGTATTTTTTAAATTTAAGTAATTTTTAGGCAGTTCTGAAGATGATTTATTGAGTTTTTCCATTTTGAAAGTAAACCCCCTTTTTTTGGAAAACTGTCCGCTATGGAGATGGGGACCTTAAATAGGGGGGGGTCTAACATTAAGCCGAGTGCCGGAATTTTGGTCACCGGAATTTTGGTCACCAAGGATTTTCGGAATTTTGGTCACCAGCTGAATTTTGGTCACCAAGTCAAAAAATGGAATATTGGACACTGAAATTTTAGGCGCGGGGAATTTGGGCGTCGGAGTGAATTTTTTGATTTATTCAAAAATAACACAAAATCAAACAACGTAAACCTATGGGCACCGGCGAGGCGCTTGTGCAAAATCCCGCGCTTCGCGCGGGATTTTGCGGCACGCGCCTTGCGGGAGTCAACGGTCGCTGGGTTCTACAACAGTAACATAAACCTATCCCTTTTTTACTGATTTTCAACTTTGAAATGCCGACCTACCCGCTATGTATCAGATCCAAAATTATTTATTCAAGCGAGATTCAATTAATCATAATTTTGTTGAGAATGATTGAATCGGGATGATTTTGGAGTCGTTTGACCTAGTTCGACGAGCTGTTTCGAATGACATATTTCGTCCAACTCTATTTGTAACCTATAGTTACGTAGTTTGATTTTGTGTTATTTTTGAATTAATCAAAAAATTCACTCCGACGCCCAAATTCCCCGCGCCTAAAATTTCAGTGTCCAATATTCCGTTTTTTGACTTGGTGACCAAAATTCCGCTGGTGACCAAAATTCCAAAAAAGTTGGTGACCAAAGTTCCGAAAATCATTGGTGACCAAAATTCCAGTGACCAAAATTCCGTACACCCATTAAGCCTGCCTTAATTTCTGAAAGTCCAGCAAAATGGAGGAATCCTGGAAGTTCGGGAAATTGTTGTGTTCTGATTGTGATTGTAGGAAAAAATTTGCCTTAACTAAATATTCAATTCGTTCTCGTGTCCGCAAATATTGTCCGCAAATTTTTATTTTAATTCTCTTCTTTTTTTCATAATTTAATCTTTTTTCAGGAAATTTTTATGACTCCACAAGATTTTCTAGATTCCCTTACACTTGATGAACCAAGAGGTTTTCTTTTTTTAATAAAATTTTCCTTTTATTTTTTTCTAGAAAGAACATTCCGTAATGTAATAAACAAAAATCAAGTCAAAAAATTTATTCAAAATACTCCTTTAAGAAGAGGAAATTCAAAAATGTTTAGTGAATTGGGTGATAAAGGAATTATTTCTTATGCTGAATATCTTTTTTTGGTTACACTGTTGACAAGTATTTTTTATTTTATTTTTTATTAAAGTCTAATTTTTCGAAAATTTTCTAAAAAGACGTTTTCTAAAATTTTTTTTTATCTTTTTCTGAAATCCTATTTACCTCCCATAATGCCATAGGTCCATTCTGTCGAAGGGATATAACTTTTTTAAAAAAATTTCCAATCCTTTACATTCACGTATGGTTCGAGGCAGCATTTTTTAACGAGCTGAATGAATCATACTAGGGGAGTCTGGATTAGACAATGTTAAGCGAAGTTTTTATTACAAACCAGACCTAGACGAGATCTCGAACAAAAATCTTGGCTATCGAGAACTGAAATTTTTCGAACTATTGAGCTCGATTCTTCGAACGACCATCCCTGTCTCTCTAGTTTTTATATGTAGTCCTGCGACGTAGTGAGTACTCTGTTACCCTTTTTTCCACCTCTTTAATTTTCTCTTCAAAAATTTAGAATCTCATTATGCCTTCACAATAGCTTTTATGATTTTTGATGAGGATGACAATATGCAAATTGATAAACAGGAATTTCTTAAGGTTTATTTTCTTATTTTTAAATTTTTTTTGTTTTGCGGTGAAAATTTTTCAAGTTCTTACCCTGCACTTTTTTGAGTTTTTTGCTTTATGACTGTATTTTTGTTGTTTCTGCACTTTTTTCGTTTAAAATCTGTTTTTTAATGGGTTTGAATTTTAAAAAATTTCCCCAAAATGGTCAAACGGTCAAAATTAAAAAATGGTCAGACCCCGAAATGGTCAGAAAAATTTTTTGATCTTAAAAATATTTTTTAATCGATTCATTTTGCACTGTTCCAGATTCAATATATTCTCATCCTTGCCACTCCACAAACCTTGGAATCTTCAGATATTAATTTAATGGAATCACAACTGGAATTGGAAGTAAATTTTTAAATTTGTTTTTTTCTGTGATTTGGTTTTTTTCTTTTTATGCTTTAAGCAATGTTTTGTGAATGCAGATTTTGATGTGGATTTTCTTTCAAGAATTGTTCCTGCTACTAGAGAAAAGGTTTTTATAAAATGTTTTGTTTTTATTTTGCGGATGTCCGCAAGTATTGTCTGCAAAAATTTTTGTTGTTTTTTTTCTTTAAGTTGAAAATTTTTAACATATAGGATCATTATGACATTTTGTCCTAATTTTTTTTTAAATTTGCGGACTGCCGGAAGTATTGTCCGCAAGATAATTTTTGAAATATTTTTAATTTTACCTCATTATTCATTCTAGTATATTTTTCCCTTTTGAACTTTAAAATATTTTTTTAATTTTTTTTTGTTTTCCTTCTAACATTACTACTTTATCCTATTTTAATTTGCAAATTCTCTTTAATTAGTATTTTCTATATTTCAGTTTGAACGATTGATCCATTCGAGCAGTTCTCGACATAAAAATTTGGATAAAGATGAGGAGGTTTTTTTCTGAATAGTTTTTTGAAAAATTAAGAAAAAAAATTTTTAAAGGAACAAAAACTTTTGGAAGCAAAACAGTCACTCGAAACAACATTAACTGTTCATTTATTTGGAAGAAGTGGGCGAGATTCTCTTACATTTAAACAATTCCAAAAGTTTGTCTAATTTTTTTAAATTTGTTCTAAAATCTTTTTATTGGTTCTTCAAAAAAATTTGGAAAATTTTTTAAGATTATTTTGGGGCAAGTTTTGGGTAGTAGGTTACGAATATAGGTATTTCTTTTTGTCTCGTTTTTTTGAATAAAAAAATTTCTATGAAACTAAACTCAGAAAAAATTGATCTTTCGATAAATATGCAACCTAAAAATCTCCGGCTAATTCCCTCCTTCCTTTCCTTGAATTTAAAGAATTTATGGTTCCGGTCTGCAAATATTTGCGGACACCGCCCAAAATTTTAAAAATTAATTGCAATGGTTACGTTCAACTTTTTGTCCGTTAACTCCCTCCCTTTCTTTTCTAAACACTTGATTAGGGTCCGCAAATATTTGCGGACAAACATTTGCGGACACCGCCCAAAATTTTAAAAATTAATTTTATTTAAATGTTATGTATTATTTTTAAAAGTTTCTACCAACATTTACAAAAAGAATTGATAGAAATTGAATTTAAAGAATTTTCTCGTGGAAAAGATAGAATTTCTGCTGTAGATTTTGCAAGATTAGTTTTGCGTTATTCAATACTTCATAAAGATGAAAGATCCCCTTATATTAGAAGAGTTTATGAAAGAAGTGAATATGATGAAGAGGTTCTTTGAATTTAGAGAAAAATTTTTTTTTATTTTTGAAATTTTTTTTGAAATTAATTTTAGGGGTTTTAGTTCTAAATTCTACATTAGGGGTAATTTTTATTATTATCGAGGAAAATAAAAGTCGATTTAAACTGAGTTGTAGTGTATTTGTAGGATGGTTTAGTGGATAGCGTTTTTGGTTTTGGTTAGGACTTTGAAGGTCCGAATTCTTTTGGTTCGTATTATTTTTAAAGGATTATTTTAAATCTTTAGAATTGATAAAAAAAATTTTAGAAAAATTTTAAAAAAGTCAAAAAAATTTTTTTACTTTCAATCATTTTCCTATTTGTACAGCTCCCCCACCCCTATAGAATTTTAAAAACTCGAAAATATCGATTTCACGTTTTTCTTCCTTCTCAGAAAACAATTCCTATTAAAATTATTAAGAAAAATTTCAAATTAAAAAAATATTTTTTAGGGAATATCCTTACAACAATTTGAAACTTTTAGTATGTTTCTTAACAATTTGGAGGATTTTAGGTTTTTTAAATTTATTTTATTTCAAATTTTTTTATTTTTTTAAAGTAAAGCAGTTCGTTTATATGCAATTGCAGACATTCCAGTCTCTCAAAATGAATTTATTCGAGCTGTTAAATGTTCTACTGGTTTCAATTTGGATCCTCAACTTGTAAATGTTTTGTTTAAAATATTTGATGCAAATGGGGATGATAAATTGTCTTATTCTGAATTTATTGCTGTTATGAGTGATCGATTAAGTAGAGGATTTAAGGTTTTTTTCCTTTAAATTTTATTAATTTTTTTATTAATTTTTAATGAGAATTATTTTTAAAAAAGGGGAGAGTATTTTTGATTTTTTTTAAAAATATTTTGGAGGGGGAGGAGTGGAGTACATTTTTCTGAATTATTTTCTAGATTCTATTTTTTTATTTTTTTTTTATTTTCTTAATAATAATTTTTTAACAGGGGAGAAAAAAATCATATTCTTAATTTTTTAGAAATTTTCTTTGGAGAAGTAAGGGGGAGGGGGGTGTAGAAATAAATGGATGAACTTTTGATTTTTTCCTAATTAAATTTTGTTTTGATTTTTTTTCGGATTCATTTTTGAAAGAAAATTTAATTTTTCAAAATATAAATTATATTAAGATTTATATTTTTTAATCTAAAATTTTTAATTTTTTTTAAGACACATCCACAAAATTCATTGTTTAGTTGGGATCATTTTCGCCGTTGTGTTCGAAATGAAATGAAAGGATTATCTTGAAACATTTATATTTACATTGTAAATATTGGGTATATATATTTTTAATTTTAAATTTTGTTTTCCGGTGCTGGGTTAAGAAAATTTTTTTGTCAAAAATTTTTCAAAAAATTCTTCGAAAAAATTTTCAAAGAATTTCCTGTGAAAAACTTGTTTGAAATTCTTTTATGATTTTCAAAAAATTTTCCGAGAATTAAAAAAATTTTTTCAAAAAATTTTCGGGATTTTTTAAAAAGCCCAAAAATCAAAATTTCTCTCTTTAAAAATGAGCAATATAAAATGCTTTTTGTTACTCATTTTTATGTCTATTTTTTAATTACTTTTTCTAAATACTTGTAAGTAAAGAAAGAATTTTATTGAAAAGTTAAATTTATATTTACCTAACTTTAAAAATAATTTTTTAAAAAACCTTTCATAAATTTTGTGAAAAGCCTTTTTTTATTATTTTTGGCTTAAAAACAAACATTGCAAAAATCAAAAAAATTTTTTTAGAGAATATAAACTAAAAATCATTTAAAATCACATATTATTATATTTTTGCATCAAAATTCGAGAGGCGCAAAAAAATGTGTGATGTGATTTTTTAAAGTTTATATTAGATAAAAAAAAAGAATAAAAGTTATAAAAATTTATTTTTGTAACTTTTTTTTTTAATCTTTTATTCTAAAACCTTTTTTAAAATATATTTTAGTCTAATCTTATTTTATAAAAAAATGATTGAATTTTGGTCTATAATCAGGATACAAAAAAAATATTGTATTTTTTGTATTTTGTTATAAAATATATTTTTCTATAGGCTGAAAGATTTTTCCCGATAATTTTTTTTAACTCTTCAAAAAAAATTTTTTAAATAGAACCTCATTTATAAAGCACATATAACCAAATTTTAAAAAGCGAAAGACGAAAGTCGAACCAACACCCTAGTTTACAACACTTAAAACCGGCGCAATCCCGCACTTTTTATGATTTGTGGGATGCGGGATTTATCCCGCAAGTCCTGTCCCGCAAAAGTTGAAAAACGATCCCGCATGCGGGATCTCGCAAACACGATTTTGCCTATCTCTAGTTTACACATTTAAGACAAAAATTTTTTTTTATTTTACATTAAATTCAAAAAAATTATCAAAAACATTTCTAATCTCCAATCTCTCAGGAAGTATTTTTTTTAAAAATGTCAAAAATTCTAAATTTTTTTGGAGGAATAGTGGATATTAAGGTTAATAATAATAAATAAGATTATCTCTTCCAAATCATAATTAAATGGACAAAAAATTAATTTTTTTAATGATTTTGTTTATTTAAAAAATTTTTTTTGAGTTTATTCGTACTCAAAAATTTTTTTTCTTTATTTCAAAGTTAATAAATTTTCAAATTTTTTTTAATATATCATTTTAATCCCCCTTTTTAAAAAATAAAACAATAAAAAAATTTAATCGTCATTTTTTATTTTGTTTTATTAATTTTTACAAATCTCCCCCCCCCCCCTCTCCACCCTCTCAAATAAATTTTGTATATATAAACAAAATTTTGTTTATTTTAATTTTTTGAATTTTTGAGTTGGAAAATAGGGTAAATTTTTTTCTGGTGACGTGGCGATACACTTGCAGAACGTCATTATACTGATGTATTCTTAGATGGTAGGATGGCAAAAAGTTAACCTTCCACCCTCATTTCTATAAGATTAAAATACTTTCAGTCCAATTTCAGGGGGTGAAGTCTTTTTTTCGAAATGTCAGAGGGGTTTGAATTTTTTAGAGGGGGGGGGGGCACGTTTCTCAAAAAATTTTTTCGGGTTCGAAAACTCCGAAAAAAAAGATTTTTCGTCTTGGTTTTATCGGTTCAGTTTCGAATATCCATAAATATTTTCTAAAAAACGACAAGACAATCCTAATCAAATAAACTTTTTTTTGGATTTTTAAATTTTTTATAAATTTTTTTGGCCTTGTTAAAAATTTTTTCGTTGTTGGGGAAAAACTGAAAATGTTGGGGAAACCAAACCTTATCTGAAAACAAAAACCTTAAGGTTTTTGGTCTCGTTTTTATTTATTTTTTTTTTCTTTTTTAATTTTTCCTCCACCCTCACTTCTCTTTTTGAAACTAATAACAGTTTAAAAATAAAGATTTCCATTTTTTCTGATAAAAATAATTTGTCACCAATTTTACTAATATCAATTTCCTTTTGTCTCTTTCTCTCTTTGACGAATTCAAAAAAAATTTAAGAAATGAAGGTGGAAAAAAAAATTTAAGAAATGAAGGTGGAAAAGTGAAGGTGGAAAGGCCATAAATAGTCTTATTTAATAAATTTATCAAATAATTTGGGGAAGGGGAAAGTGGTTTAATTGTGTTTATGTGAGGGTGGAGGGCGGAGAGATTTTAAAGGAGAAAAGGGAGAAAAGATTTAAATATTTTCTAAAATTTTTTTTATTTTTTTTTTGTTTAATAACAACTAAAATTTATGTAAATATACAACACATACATACCAGGGCCGTGCGCCATGGCGTTTTGCGTTTTTTAAGAATTTGAAAAATTGGCGTTTGGCGCGCCATCCGAAAGTTTTGGCGCACAGTACACATCAAAATACGGGAAAAAAATTTTTTTGATGCCACCCTCTCCCCTATTTTTATTTTAATATTCCCCTCCTCCCTCCACCCACGCAATACAAAAATTGTCGTGTGTCTTTGAATTTATTATCAGTTAATAAAATAAAATAAAAATTTTAGAATTTGATTACCCAAAAATACTCATATTTTTAATCTCTCTTCACCTGACCACTTTTAAAATAAAAAAAATTTTTATGAAGATATATAAAAATTTAAAATTTTTGTCATTATTTGAGAGATAAATAAAAAATGAAGAAATTACATTAAAGTTAAAAAAAATAAATTTAAAAAAAATTTTTTTGGAAATTTTTTTAATAAACGGGTAACGCTAACACCAAGAACATTCACTTTAATCGCTTAATTTTTTTACCTAATTTATGAAAATTTTTTTTTGAAATACTCCACCCTCGCTTCATTTATTTTTCTCCCCTCTTTAGCTCTTAAAATTTTTAGTGGCCTACCAAAAAAAATTTTTTTCTTGTTTTATATTTTTATTGCGCACATTATTTAAGTTAAAGTGACATTTGTTTGTATTTAAACTTAAAAATAAAACAGAAAAAAATTTTAAATTAATTGACTTTAAATTGTATACTTGCCACTTTAAACAACTTTTTTTAAAGCTCTCAAACAATGTTTGTCCAAAAAAATTTTTTTAAAGAATTTCCCTTTTCCCTCATTTTTCCCCTCCGCTTTTACTAAAAAATCTTCAAAAATTGCTCTTTAAATTTTGTGTTCTCCTTTTTTCTTATCTTCTTTTAAAAATTAATTCAATTTTTATTTAAAAAAGAAACAACAAGTCTATTGATTGTTAAGAAAAATTGACTGGGCAATTTAATGGGATTACTTTAAAAATTTAAAAATATTCTCACCTTTTTCCCTTTAAAAATGCTTGACCAACAACAAGAAATTTGTAAACCTTCTGATTTTAAAAGGCTTGGCTTTCAATGTAAAAAATTTTTTTTAATATTTGAAAGGCAAACACTTCATTTAGATACTCTTTGGGGGTCGATAAAAATAATATCCTCTAACGAGGTTATTCTAAGTTGGGAGATATTGGGGCTTAATTAGGTAATTTTGAATGGGGAACTACATAATCGAAATTAATTTTTAACTTACTACCCTATCGAATTTTTAAAACCCTTGGGGTTGATAACGTATTTTCTGATAAATTTGGAATGTGTTGGGGTTTAGGCTCCTTCACTTTGGCCTTCCAAACTTAAAAAACCCATCTTATAATGTGCTTAATATTGGGGGTATCTTAAATGAGATTTTCGACTGTTAATCTAGCTTGAGATTTACCCTTTTTTATTTTGTCACATCTAATATTGACCCTTTTGGCTTTTACCCTTTTGACGAGGCCTTAAAAATTTTTTAATTTTCTTAATTTTTCTCCAGCCCTATGTGCCTACGTTCAAAATCATTCCCAACATTGTGAGGGTGGCGGTTATTTACCTTGGACAGAATTTAAAGCTTGTGCTTCTTCCTCATCAAATTTACAATTTTTGATTGTTATTGTTGCAATTATTTTCTTTTTGTTTTTATTTTTACATTTGAGTGTTACAGCAGATTCTTTTTTCTGTGAGAATATTGCTGCTATTGTTGATGTACATAATATTTCACAAAATATTGCGGGGATTACTTTCATGGTGAGTGAGTAGTGTTTTTTGGGGGAGTTGGGTATACTGTAGTAGTCGTTACTGTATTCAATTCTTTTTGGGTACTGTGGGTTCTGACCAGGGGTGAGCGCATTGCGTTATTTGCGTTTAATTCTGGCGTTGCGTTTTTGAAAATTGTCTCTTGCGCTCACCCCTGGTTCTGACCATTTTGAATAATGACATTTTGGTTTTTGACCATTTTGAACTTGACCCATTTGAATTTTACCCTTTTGATTTTTGACTCTTTCGATTCTGACCGTTTTGTAATTTACCAATTTGAAGGGTTTTGTTGGTTTTTAAAAATTAAAAAAAATTTTTAGGCCTTCGGCAATGGTGCCCCAGATATTTTTGGCTCAATCGTCTCAGTTATTTCCGTCCCAAAACCTAGAGCAGATTTAGCAATAAGCGAATTACTAGGTGGAAGTATATTTGTAACAACTTGTGTTGTAGCTGCAATAGCCTTAAGCAGGCCATTTTTATTAATGAGGCGGCCAATTTTGAGAGATATTTGTTTTCATTCAGCAGCACTAATTTTACTTTTAATTGTTGCAAATTGGGAAGGAAAAATGCCTTTATGGCAGCCACTAGCCTTCCTTGTCCTCTACTCAATTTATGCAACAACAGTAGTTTCCGGAAATTTATTTAGACAAAAAATGTTGAGAGAGAGAAAAAAGAAGAAGAAAAGTGAAGAAGATTTAGGGAAAGTTCAAAGAGCAATTGCAAAAATTATGCCAAAAAAGATTACGCCTTTAGAGATTTGTGCTATAGAAGAAGGAAAATCTCCAAAAAATGAAGAAAATAAAAAGAAAACAATAGAAAATGAAAAGAGTAAGGAAAAAGAAGAGACGGACAGACAAAATGTATGTTTGGTCTCTTAGTTTTACGTTGTCTCTAATTTCCGGAATATTTATTGTTTATACTTTCCGGAAAAGTAAAGTTGACGGAAATAGTGGAAAGAAAGCAGAGACAGACAGACAAAATGCCTCTAATTTATATGTCTTAGTTTCCGGAATCTTGTCTAATGTACTTTCCGGAATTTTAATAGTATAGGAAGGAAGAAGAGACAGAAATATATCTCTTCGTTTCACTAATTTCCGGTTTCCTTTTTCTTTGCACTTTCCGGAATTATTATCAAATGTGCGCCAAAATAAGATTTTAACGTAAAACGCCATAATTGCGTTTTGAACGTTTCAGAAAAATATATTGGCGCACATCGACTTTCTACAAAATTTATTTTTTTTCTTTTTAAAGGCTCAAGATCAACAACAAAGACAACGTTCAGTACTTCAACTTCCTATAAATACTTTAACTATTCCAAAAATAACAACAAATGTTTGTGTAAATGATGATACTCCAGTAGAAGAAGAAGGAGAAAAAGAAGAAGAATTTCATGCTTTAGATTATTTAGAAGAAGGCAAATTTTTTGGAAAGGAAGAATTAGACGCGGAAGGGGAAAGAGCTTTAAGTAGATCAACTTCTCCTTTGCCGTTGGATATTTCTGGAGGTTTTTTAATTTTAAAGTTTTTCCGTCTTTTAGTCCATGAAAGGTGAATTTTTTAATTTGGGAGGTGGCTGAATTTCTTTAGGGGCTTTGGGGCTCTTGAGGAAAAACATTGGAAAATCCTTTATTTCATTTTGGGGCAATCCAGGAGAATTGGGGTTTCTTCGGAAAAAAAGTTTAAAAATAAGAAAAAGGATTTTTCTAGGGTAAAAAAATATGCTGATTACGAATCTGGACTCGGATTTTGAAAAAGTCGAATCCCGGACCCGAACCGAATTTCGAACCCTGAACCCGGATTTCGATTTACAAATGATAGCTCATTCGAAAGAGCTCGTCAATCTGCATCGAATGAAACCAAAATCAACGTGATTGAACAAGATTAGACAAAGTTATGATATTAAGTAGACCTATGGGAGTACTGTAGGAGTCGGCGACTTATGTCATAATTTTGTCTAAACTTGATGAATTACTGTGATTTTGGTGTCATTCGACTCAGCTCGACGAGCTCTTTCGAATGAGGTATCATTTGCCTAAACCTTTTTTTACTCCAAAAAATCACCCCTATGGTTTTTCAATATTCAGGGGTCTGTATCTCTGTCCAATCACGTCGGATTTCATCGATTTTGGTGTCATTCGATGCAGCTCGATGAGTTCTACCTGCATATGAAAGACTGACCATTTTGTACAATGTCCGACAATGTCCGGGGTCAAATTCCGAATTCGGGTCCGGGATTCGACTTTTTCAAAATCCGAGTTCAGATTCGTAATCAGCATATTTTTTTACCCTAGAAAAATCCTTTTTCTTATTTTTAAACTTTTTTTCCGAAGAAACCCCAATTCTCCTGGATTGCCCATTTTGGGATAGCAATCCTTAAAACAATTCTTTTGTAAACCCCGGCCTTGACATTTCGCCCTTGAAGTGATAGAACCTATTTTTACGGGGTTTAAGAAAAGAATTTTTGGGGCGGCTTGCCTTTAAGAGAGAGAGACAACAAAACCACAACTCTAACAATTTCGCTACTGAAGGGTAAAGAAAAACGTGTCCCCATAAAATGTCGAATCCATAAAATGTCGAAAAGTTTAAAAACCCACAAAATGTCAAAAAAGGCTATAAACCCACAAAATGTCAAATAATACTATAAACCCGCAAAATGTCAAATCCATAAAATGTCGAACCCATAAAATGTCAAAAAGGCCAAAAACCCACATAATGGCGATAGAATTTTTATTTGTTATTTTTATTTGTTTTGTTTGTTTGCTTTGATTGTTTTTTGACAATTAAAGGTTATTAATTGTTTCCCATCTTGTATTTGTTATAAGAATTTTTTCAAGATTTAATTACCCAAGTTTAAGATTTCAGATAAAATTATTTAAATACGCCGAAATGGCACCAGCAAAATCTGAATTACAACAAATAATCGATAAATTGGCTGCCTTAGAATTAAAAATCGATAACAACAACACAAAATTTTCTTCATTTTCTAATGAAATTCTTCAAATTAAAAATGCCTTAACAACTATTGAATCTAAAATTCAAACAATTGAAACAACAATAGAAACAAATTTTAAAAACAACGAGTCAGCAGCAAGCGAACAAGAACGCAACCGTTCAATTGTTATGATTGGTCTACAAGAATCTAAATCAACAACACCATCAATTCGTGTTGTTGAAGATAAAGCAGCAATTGAAGATGTACTCAACTTGTTGGGGGTTGAGAGCCCATTCATTTCGTATAGAATGGGTAAGTATGACCCAACTGCTAAAGGTTGTCGTTTAGTTAAAATTGTCTTTGGGGCTTCAAAATTTCAGCGAATTTCTCTTGCTGAATGGAAACGACACAGAGTGGAAATGAAAAAAGAAAATAAATGGTCTCGTTTGTTGCTCAGGCCAAGTCTTACTCGAGAACAATTGGAAGCTGAAAAAAATGAACGTGCTAAGAAACGAGATGAATACAATAAAAAGATGAGTGTCAATGTGACAGAAAGAACAAAAAACCATTAAATGGTCGTCCAAGATTCAAGGTTTTAAAAAATTTTTTAAAGAGTTCCCCTTTTTATAAATGTCTTTATTTTAATAGCCGGAGCTTAGTTAACAAATTAGATTCCTTAAGATTACTTTTAATTTCCAAATTCTTTAAAATAATCTGTATTTCCGAATCGTGGTTGAACAAAAAAATCGATAACTCCCAAATTTTACATACCACATCTTATTCCATTATTAGATGCGATAGAGGTTCTAGGGGCGGTGGTGCTTGTATTTTAGTAGACAATATAATTCCTTTCTCTCCCGTTAAAATCCCTAAAAATAAAAATTCCGACATTGTAGCTATAGACATATTTTCTCCCAAATTCGACAAATTTCGAATAATAACTGTTTACCGTCCTACCACAAACGAAAACTTTAATGACTTCCAAGAATTTCTTGAGACATTAAGTTACTTAATATCCATTAATCATAACTACATAATTGTAGGTGATTTTAATTTCCCCAACCTAGTCTGGCAGACAAATATACCTATAGCTCTCAACCACAAATCACCGTCTGAAAAATTATTTATCGAATTTGTAGAAAACTATAACCTATTTCAAGAAATCTCTTCCCCAACCAGAAAAGATAATTATCTTGATTTACTTTTTTCCTCTTCTGCCTCTCGCGTTGCAAAAAATATTATCATTAACGCCCCCTTCAAAAATTCTGATCATAACACTATTGAATTTAGTTTAAATTTCAAATATTTCCCAAAAGAACCAGAATTCATCCTTGACTTCCACAATGCCGATTACAATCATATTAACAATATCCTAATTGGTTTAAACTGGAATACTTTGTTTTTAAATTGCACTGATGTAGATTCCCAATACACCTTATTTTTAGAAATCATTCATCAAATAATCCAAAACTTCATACCATTAAAAAAGATCAATAAAGATTGTTCTAAATTCCCTAATCATATTCAAAAAATGATCTCATATAAAAATCTTTTATGGAAAAATATTAATAAACCTGCTATCCGTGAAAAATACATTCTCACGCAACAAAAAATCGATAAAGAAATTTCTCGTTTCTTTAAAAACAGAGAAATCTCGAAATTCAACGATCTACGATCTAGATTTCAGTATATAGGGGCCTTCCTTAAATCCAAAAAAACTAAAATCCCAATCTTCAACATCAACGATCAATTTACCATTTCAGACAAAGATAAAGCCGAATGTCTGGCAAAACAATTTCAATCTGTTTTTAACTCTTCTAACTTTGACTCCTCTGACATAAAAACTTCTAACAAAAATAATTTATCTTTTATTGATATCAATCCAGAGGAAATCTACAGCATCATAAACAAACTTGACAATGTTAATAACATATCCCCAGACGGAATCCCCAACATTTTCTTAAAAAATACAGCAATCTCATTAACCACTCCACTAACAATTATATTCAATATGTCAATTATGACAAGTAAAATTCCAACCATTTGGAAAAAGTCAATAATCCGCCCTATTCCTAAAAATAGTAACCCTAATGAACCTAAAGATTTTCGACCTATTTCTCTTCTATGCCCAACTTCTAAAATTCTAGAACGAATTATCTCTAATAAATTAACCTCATTTCTTGAAACTAACAATTACCTTCCCACTTGCCAACATGGTTTCCGTAAAAACCATTCAGTTATAACTCAACTCCTAGAAACCTATAACGACTACACATTAGCTATTGAAAATAAGAAATGTGTTGACGTTATATTCTTCGACCTTGCAAAAGCGTTTGATACTGTTCCCCACGATCGCCTTCTGAAAAAACTCTATCATCTAGGTATCACTGGCACCTTACTAAATTGGATTAAGGACTATCTGTTAAATCGAACATTTACAGTTCTTGTCGAATCAAAAAATTCTAATGAATATCCTATAACAAGCGGAGTCCCTCAAGGGTCCATCCTAGGCCCAATCTTATTCATCTCATATATTTCGGATATAATTGATTTTTGTAAAACAGACAAAGTTACTCCAAAACTATTTGCTGACGATTTAAAGGCCTATACCTGCTTTGACTTCCTAAACAAAAATCACTACTCTCCACTCCAAACATTTATCCAAACATTCTCAAAATACTGCGAAATAAATGGCCTTAAAATCGCTGTCAGCAAATGCAGTTCATTTCACATAGGGACTAAAAATCCCTTCCACCAATATTCTCTACAAAACATTAATATACCAACCATTCCACCCAACGAACCTATTCGCGATCTTGGCATTTATTTTACATCCAACTTAAAATGGGATTCTCACATTAAAATCACAACAAATAAAGCAACTAGAATTTATTATACTCTTATAAGATCTCTTAAAACTAACAATACTCAATTCCTAATTACTCTATTCAAAATATATGTCTTACCTATCCTCGAATTTGGATCTCCTATAATTAACCCTTATTTAAATAAAGACATAAACGCTTTAGAAAATGTGCAACATAAATTCTTAAAAATAATATACTTACGCTCTATGAAACACAATAACAGCCCAATATTACCTAATTATAAAGAACTCCTTGACATATTCAAACTTGAATCTCTATCGCATAGACGTTTAAAATCAAATCTCATCCTTTTCCATAATATTATTTTAGGTAAAATTAATCTAAAACACGATAATACATATAGCATCCTACCCACCACTACCAGAGGTAATCCGCATAATTTATTTATACCCTTTTGTTCAAGCACCATTCGGAAAAATTCATTTTTTATAGACATACCAAACATTTACAAAAAACTTCCAATAGAATTACAAAAATCGTCAATCGAATTGTTTCCAAAGCTCCTAAACAATATTAACCTAAACAATATTTTATCAAAGTCAAATTCCACTCTATTGTCTCCAGACCTTATACAAAACTTTTGATTTAAATTATATTTACATTTCATTTTATTTTTATCTGAATGTCACGTTTTTACGTATAAATTGAATTGAAAAAAAAGATGGTTAATTTAATCTTTTAGATGAATATCAGGCTTAAACTCGCCGAGTTACAGAAGTCAAAAAACGGCGATTTCCAATCGATGGATCGCCTGAATTAATCAAGAACAGCAACAATCCGAGCCTTATTGTACTATCTCAGAGATATGTGAGACGAGGATTTGGTTTGGTGGACAATTCTTCACCAGGCGTTCTGTTAACATTTCTCGCACATTTTGCGTCAACGTATGTGGGTCTTACTCAAATTGAATTGCAATTGGGATCAGAAGCTTTTCAAAGAGGGGTCCAAGTAATTCAATACAAGAAGTTATAAAATAGTTATAATTTTTCAGGTTTTTTGTTTTGTTTTATTATTTTTGTTCTGTTTTTGACGACTTTTTATTTATGTACTTATCCTGTTTTATCAATTCGGTGTTTTTATGAATAAAATTGTTTTATTTTTCCAGCTTAATTTTGCTCAATACAATTTTTAGAACAGCGTTTCTCTTTTTAGGTTTTTTGCGTTTGTTATCAATTTTTTTAATTTTTTTAAATTTTTTGACATTTTGTGGGTTTATAGCCTTTTTTGACATTTTGTGGGTTTTTGGCCCTTTCGCCATTTTATGGATTCCCATTATATGGATTCGACATTTTATGGGGGAGCCAAAGAAAAAATTTCCTGAGCCTGTCCTTAAGGGCTATTCATCTTTATTTAAGTCTTTCTTTAAATTTCTTTCCTTTAACTTAGATTCGTGTCGCTATTATGGAAGTATTTCATCCCCCTCATCAACAACCCAAACAATAAAAACTGCTGACAGTGGAATAATAATAGATTGTGGCAGAAATACTCCTTTATCGCCTTCTGGAGAAAGTGCATCAACTCTTTCCCCTTGTAGAAGTGAAGTGGAAATACTTGGAATTAAAAAAGAAGAGGAAGAATTTTACAATAAAGAATTGAAAAAATTTTGGGAAAGAATATGCCCTTTAAATTGGAAAAAATTTCAAAATGCTGGGTGGGCAGGGAAAATTTATAGAATATTTAAGGTTTTTTTTTTATTATTTTTTTGAAGTAGAGGGTTAACAAAAATTTTTTTTGTGGGCCTAGTTGACCTCCAAAAATTTTTTCTTAAAGAAGTCTTAAGTTTTTTACTGACTCGGTATCCGAAACCTGGACTTTTTTCGATCCAAAATCCGAAGCTATTCGAAGAAATCTTTAAGCTGCGATTCTAAACACGACCTGACTTCCGGCCAACCTTCCGAACTGTAACCAAAAATTTTTAAATAAAAATTATATCGTGTAGAGCATGGGATAACCTCTTGTCAATTTTTGGCTCTTTTCCCTGACCCCCAATTAGAATAATTATAGCCTCCCAAAGTTTCCCATTTCTGATTTTAAGTACGTTCTTTTTGTCGTCTGATTCGCTTTCCGGCCAAATTTAATGCCTGATCAATTTCACAGGCCGAGTCGGACAATGCCAGGATTCCTTAAAATCCCTTATCAAGTCCCTTATCAAATAACTTTGTTCTTTTTTTAAAGATTCCTTCATTACTTTTGCTTGGTTTAACAATTCCTAGAGCTGGAAAATGGTCTAAACCTTTGGCTATAGTACACGCATTTCTTTTTCCTTTAATATTATGTTATGCCTTTAAATGTAAATTTTTCTTTTAAATTTCTAAAAAATTTTTTTCAAAATTTTTCCAGTATTTTCTCTTCACATATTCAATTCTTTAATTACAGCAAACTATATTGCTTTAATTATTTCTATATTTTTGGTTCTAATTATTGGAACAACAACTGAAGTAGATAAAGAGCCTTATTATTATAAGGTTTATTTTTAATTTTTTTTAATGTTTAATTTAAATTTTAAAGTGGATCTCTTCACATGTTGGGTTTGTACTTTCAATAGCTTGGATTTATGCAACAGCAGCAGAAGTGGTATAATATTTTTTTTCTTTATTTTTTGGTCAAGTTTAAAAAGAAATTTGTCGGAAAAATTGAAATTTTAAGTAAAGCTTCCTCTCTCTCCCTGTCTCTTTCCTATGTAGAGAATTGTGTTAGTTAGTTGTTTTTTTTTTCTTCATTATTTTTTCGAAAGAATTTTTGTCCATCCACGAGATGGTGACAAAATTAATTTTTCGGGATCTGTTGACGATATTGAACTTCAGAACAAGCCGATAAGTCCAGGGAATCCCATTTATCACTAAAGCCTGAGATACAAGGATTTTGATATCTTGTTTGGGAGATCCAACTCCAACCCTCACTTTAGTGAGGTTTACACGTATTGGGCCACCCAGTAAATTAAATGAGGCGAGGTATCGACACCGTGAGGGCTACTCTATCTTCAAATACAACGTTGTATGTGCTCCGTTAGAAGCAAAGCTTAGGCCCTAATTGTTGCGCATAAAATAATATTTATTTAAATGTAAAATTTAAAATCGCGATTGAATAAAGTAAAGTTAAAGCTAACAAAATTATTAATAATATAATTGATTATAGAGTCGACATTGAATAACAAAAGAGAACGTTCCCGGGAAAAGAAATTTAGCGCTTATTAATAAACAATTAGCTAGCGTCGCTGCTCTCCGACAAAGTGATCGCTTTTCTTCTCCCGTTGGGCCCAACTAGACTGATCCCTTTCAACTGTTTTCCCATGCATTAAATAATCCTATCCTTATCCTTATAGGGCGGGTGCTTAAGTGTTCTTCCTGCTTGTCAAGGACAAGCACGGCCTTACACCTCCAACCTGGGGGAAGACCGGACCCTCGGTCTTGAAGACCGCTCTTGATGCATTGAATGTGGGCTACGAGAAAGTGCACTTTATTGTGTCTTTTCTTTGAATATTTTTCCAAGTTTTTTTTGTTTTTTTTTTTTTTTGGAATTTTTTCTTTTTTTTTCGTATTTATTCTAATAGACTTAACATTTTCGGCTGCCATTTTAGGTTATATTACACCTGTCCGAAGGGTTGGTAAACGAGTCAGCCCATTAGAATAAATCTACTATGTTTACATTGTTTTTTTTCAAGATTTATCGATTAATGCTTTCTTCTTTTCTTGTTTTTCTGTTGATTGAGAAGGTTGTTTTTTTCATTTTTCTTTTGATGATTTTACTGGGCCTGTGTTGGTGCCTAGTTGTTTTTTTTTTGGTTTCTCTGTTGTTTTTCAATTCTATCTGCCTTCAACCTTATCGAGGACCGTCCCTGGTCCGTTAAATGATGATTGCTTTTTACATGTTTTTTTTTAACTTTCTGATGATTTCTTTTCCTTTTCCCTTTTTTTTTTATAATGCGCTTTTATGTTTTTATTTATGGTTCGGAACTCGCCTTCGGCTTTTGTCCTCTTCCATTTTATTTTTAACTTTTTTCTTGCAGTTTTTGTTGAAAAGTTTGTCTTTTGATGATTTGTCTGAGAGAGTTGTTTCTCTTTGGTTAAATTGTATCTTTGCAGGCCCTGTTGTTTTTGGGTTTTTGTTGCATTAAGATCGTTGTCAGGTAAACAATTACAATGAAATTACAATCATGCGGGTCAGGGAACAAGATTTATAAAACCCTTGTACCCAATGCATCTTTTAAAGTGTCCCTTTATGGTAGGAGATGTTAGACCGTTAAATTACTCGGCTCCTTTTTTAAAAGATTTGCTGCGCGTGCATCTATATAATGCGTCGCTTGTCTTTCGGGGTTTTTCACCTGTGTTTGCTATTCAATGTCTTTTCAAATTTGTCCCAATAAGTTTAAGTTAGTGACAAAAAATAAGTATTTAGAGGCTGTGAGTAAAGTTACAAATCTAGAGGCTAAGACAAAGTCTTCTAGAGGCTAATGATCAAGTGTACATTTGCTAGAGGCTGTTAAAGTGTGTGTTACAAGAGGCTATTATACTAGAGGCTAAAGTAAAGTTATAAAATATTTTTTTTTATAAATCCTCTTATCTTCTGTACATGCAATTTATTTTCGTGTGTCCCTGTTGTCCACACCAAGAGCACGGCGCATGAGGGCAATTGTCTCTTTGATGTCCCATTATGTAACAATATCCACATGGTCGTCGTGGGCACTGTCCTTTCAAATGAGGAGCTATTCCATGACAAACCATACAAGGAGAGTAGTCACAAATGTCTTCGTGCACATTCGGGACAATCGAATGACAGCCACTGCACTGTGTCACCTGTGGGACGTTAGAAGGCAAAGGGACCCCTATTATTTGTTTTTGATAAATTCCCCCTATTACTGGTCCACCTGACTGTTGAGGGTGTTGGAATTGATGTTGTGGCGGTTGTGGCATCTGCACTGGTTGTGTCCATTGAGGTTGGCTCCCTGGAGGTGCAGTTGAGGGTCCATAATATCCTTGATATCCACCTGAAGCCGGTGTTTGTGTTGAGGTTATCTGTACAGGCTGTATGGCCTGTCCGCTAGTAGATTGGGTGCTCTCGCACTCCATTGCTTGTTGGGTCTGTGGTGGCTTTCCAACTAAATTACTATCAATTTTCATTTTTTCGTAAAAGTCCCACGCGATTGGTATCTCACCTTTATAATCGGCAATTACCCCATTCACCCTTTGAATATTACCAGCCTTCATTAGCTCAATGAACGCCGGCGTCACTACCACTGTTTGTTTACATGCCTCAAGGACAAATTTCTCCCAAACTTCTCCTTTTTGGCATAGGAATGGTAAGTCCCCAATCACAATTAACCCGTAACGGGCCCTGGACAACGCCACATTAGTCCTACGCGGATCAGACCAAAACAAACCCTTTTCCTCCTCACTAGATTGCTTCTGTTGCACACTAGTTTTGGTGGTTGTGAGAATGACTAGATCCGCCTCTTGTGATTGTATTGCGTCACAAGTCGAGCAAGTGACATTTGACCAATTATACTCTTTAATAGCTCTCCTAATGTTAGATACCTGCGCAGTGTACAGACCAATTACGAGAATTTTCATTCTCCTAGAGGCTAGTGGCGGGACTAACTCATTTAATAAAGTTACCGTTGTGATTGTATGCCCACCGTTGGTCAATGAGAAGGACGTTGGGTCCATCTCCACTGCTGTATTTTGCTGAATCAAAATTATCGGAGTATTTTGAATCGGTAAATTCAATCCTATTTGATTAGTCAGCAGGTCCCTTTGGGATTCATTTAGTCCTGGCCTTAGTTGTTCTCCATTTGGCTCATAGACACTCAATGCCAAGCAGTTCACCAGTTTAGGGTGCGATCTGTAAGATGTTGTAAGTCTCACAAAACTTACCCCATTACAGTCCCTCAATCGGTCCAATACCGAATTCATACCCAATTTGTCCCTTATGACCAAGGGTTGAGAGGGTTGGTGTACCTGCAGCTGCAAGTAGTCTCCGGTCATCAGCAATTTCTTCAAATTAGGAAATTGTGACACACTGGAGATTACGCTGTTATGTTGGGCTTGGCCAACTTCGTCAATCACCATATGGGTGATCAGTGGTGAAATTACCTCCTTCTTCGGATCTGGACTATCAGGACTGGCGTCGAGAAAGAGTTGGAGTTCTTCTGCCAAAGAGTGTGTCATAAATATGACCTTAAACTTTTTGATTTGGGTTAACTCAAATGCCACTGTTCTCTCTTGGGCTATTTTAGGTGCAACCTTCACATCACGCTCATACCTTTCAACCTTTTTCCCAGCTCGGGCCATCAATGGATCCCTAATGTCCTCATCCTTTATTCTCCAAACCAATAAGTGACTACCTACCTGTTCAATTCTCTGTTGGTATTTAAACTTTCCACTACCAGAGAATAAAGCAAGCATTGGAACAACCTCACCTGCTACGGACATGGCCTTGGTTGTGTCCTCGGCCAACTCACACACTGCAACATTAATTGGGGCCACTGCCAGTACAACTGCATCAGGATGGCGTCTGATAGCTGCCGCTATAGCGACTCCTGAAACTAATGTTTTGCCCGCTCCGGGAGGCGCCTGCTGGTAAAGCAGGCGCGTCTCCCCATCCAGAAATAATTTTACCGTTTCAAGTTGTTGTGGATTTAGCCTTCTCATTGCCGGGTGATCATTTTCTAAAGGATTAAACGTGCATGGGAGTGGTGGGTCACCTTCAATACCTATTAAAGTACGTAAAATTGGGGCAACCATGTGACCTGAGTGGGCCAATGATAATGGGAACCCACTAGACAGAACGTCCTCCCTACGTTGGAGCCTTTTGAGATTGGCGATTGGTGTTATCTGCACTTCCCAACCTTCACCGATGATACCTTCCCAATGTTCGTAGCTACTTTCATAGTTATGGGCTTCCTCATGACGTGCCCTGAGTAGTACTTCAAACCAAAATCCTTCTGCATTGACACCCTTTGTGATTTCTTTTACTTCACCTTTCGCACAAGGTTTCAAGTCCGGATCATTTACTTTTATTAAACACGGAGTGTCCGCATCAAAAGCACTTGTGTACGCTTCCAAGTCTGCGAGGGTATTCGGTCTGTATGAGAACCATAACTCTAGAGTATTTTCCAGAGTTTTTTCTCGCGCACGATCTTCAGCGGACCAGTTAAGCGTTGTTACTACTGCACATTTTCTAAGAGCTTGGTCCTCACGATTACGATGACACGCAGCAACTGCGGCTAATGCTGCCATAGTATTTCTTGTTGGTCTTTAGTGTGTGTTGGCATTATTGGGTATTTTTCTTGAACTCTTGAGGGCCTCAAACCAATTATAACATCGTTCTGATGTGCCCAATATTCATCTCCCCTTTTAAACGGAGTCTTTTCGGGTAATATATAGTTGTTCCCCATTCTCCACACCTGCGGGTTAATTACTTTGGCTAATTCTACTTCAATAATTCCTCCTTTTTTCAATTGATGGGGACGAATTTGTGTCATTTGTCTAGTGTTTATTAGCTGGCTTCTTAACATGTTTGGGGCCATTACCTCAGCCGATAAGAGTTTGCCCCTTTTCATTTTAATATTTTCTATTATGCCTGTTACCCAATTTCCAGGTCTTAGAAGTACCATTTCGGCTTTTGTTGCCGTCGCTTGGTGTTGTATTGAGCCAGAAGTCATCCAAGGCGTATACCTTCCAGAATAATCCTGCATATAGTCAACTGCTAACTTACCCAATTTTTCAAACCCTTCTCTGACTTCCCACTCCTCAACGAATACCAAATCACCCATTTGTAGCCTACGACTTGGGTTTGTAAAGACAGTGTCTGGAATTTCCATGAAAAACGGACCTACTCCAGAAATCCTCGCACCAATTACCCGATCTTCGACTGCCCTTGCGATTAAATATTTCGGTACCCCTTTATCCTTTAACGTGGGGTCACCTGTATCAGCGTCAGGACTAGCCGTAACCCTGCATTCATCTGGGAGATCATTTGGGTTGATTCCCGACTCTTCCTGGGTGTTCTTTTCCGTTTCTTTGTTAGGAGTATTTTCCCACCCCGAACTCGATGTGGCCCACTCATTAGATGTCCTTTCTTTTTGCTGGTCCATTACCGTATCTATTACAAACGTTGTATTGTCACCGTGCGATGACTGATTATTATTTACTCCACTTGGGTCTTCAGGAATTACCTCTTGACACTCTTGAGATTGAATGTTACCTTTTATAATTTCACGCACCTTTACTAGTATTTTTCCCATTTTATTCAATCCAAACTCCTTCGAGTTTGGCGACCAGTCTTTAAGACTCGGATCATTTTGATATTTCCCAACACCCCAAATTGGGTCATTCCCATTTGCTTCTACTATCCAATTATCTTTTGTACCAATTAATAACTCCCCTAAATGTTTATTTTGTGTGAATTTTTGGATTACTAATGCTTCGAGTATTTGTTCACTCTTTTCATTCCATTCCTCCCTTTGTTTTTTATTACCTTCTATTTCTTTTCCTAAAAATTTATACTCTCTTGGGTGAACACCTTTGAACGTTGTTTGCGCCCCGTTAGAGGCAATAATTTTTCTACTCTTATTTGTTAACTCACTCACCTCATCCATGTGAGTCATCCCTTTCACCTGATTCAGAATATCCCCACGATTGAAAAAGGCTGCCTTGGCTGCTACATATGCTTGTTCAGTGCAGCCCCACTCATAGTTGTCGTAGTTAAATTTAGCATACGCAAAGTTGGAGAAGGGGTGATCTTTCCCCAAGAACGGATAAATCACCCCTTTATTATTTAATTCAATGATGGGTAATTCATTACTAATTATATTAACGTTGTGTGAGCGCCATTGACGCATAGAATTTTTAATTTCCATTTTTTTTAATTAAAGATTTTTCTGAAAATTTAAAGTGTATATGCATATTATTTTTTAATTTTTTTCTCAAAGAAAAACCGCGAAATGAAAATAACAAATTAATTATCCGCGCCAAAATATTAATATAATTTGAGACAAAAACTATTAAGAAATTTGACTTATATGTATAAAAGTATGAGTAACAAGATTAAATAGAAGAAATCTTAAATGATTAAAGATTAATTAATATGAATATTAATTGAAAATGCTTAGAGTTTACTTAAAAATATTATATTCTCCATCATCTTTTTTTTTATTTATAACCAATTATTTATATTTTCCTGGTTTAGTTATCTTGTTACGGTCACGTAAATCATAACCATGTGAGTGTTTTACGACTTCTACTTCATGATTACCTGTTTCGGGATTAGGTTCATTAGGTCTCGAATTTTCTTGTTCCCTGGTATGTTCATAGATTTTATCCTCTATAATAAGGTTATCTTTTGGAATTTGTTCTTCACTTTCGTATGGAATTGTGCAAGGAGGACCGAGGTACTCAAAACATTTTTTGATTTGATTAATATGAACTGTTTTACTTGGTGAGTTTGGAGAGATGCAACTAGATATAGTCGCATATATACCATCTAGATTAATAACCCTATAGATACCCTTCCAATGTAGTTGGAATTTCTTAGCCGTCCCTATTTTTCCTGTATAATTTCTAAGTAGAACTCTGTCCCCTATTTTTATACTTGATTCCCTAAAAAACTTGTCATATTGATTTTTCATCTTTTCTTGCGCCTTTCTATTCGACTCCGCTGCAATCTCCCAAGCACTCCTAAGAGACCGAATGAGCTTATATTTAAAGTCGGGTTCATCTATAACACTGGCGTGGTCATGAATTCTGGGGTCAAGGATTTGATCAACACAAAAAATAGGGTCTCGACCAAACATCATGAAAAAAGGTGTCTCATTTATTGATGCATGGACCGAGGTGTTATAACAAAAGTTCATAAAGTCTAGAAACTCATCAAAATCTGGTTGTTCTTTTGTTATATATTTTGCTAACATATTATTAAAAGTTCGGAATGTCCTTTCAGTAACCGCATTGCCCTGCGACCAGTACGGAATAGCATACGTTTTGTTTATATATAACATATTACAAAACGCTTTAAAAAAGTCTGAGGTGAAAGCCGTCGCGTTATCAGAAATTAATTCTACACACCCACCAAATTTAAGGTAGCAATTTGTTAAAAAGGCTTTGGCTATTGTGTTTGCTTTTGCGTCAGGGAGCGGTACAGATATCACATATTTGCAGAACCAACAGATTATGTTTAGTATGTATTTATTACCATTTTCAGTTATTGGAAATGGTCCTGCCAGGTCTAATCCTACTCTTGAGAATAAAGTGTCAGCAGGTACCATATTCATTTCAGCTCTATAAGCTGGTGTGGGAGAATGTCTCAGTTGGCACGTAATGCATTGTTTGGTCCAAGTTACTATATCGGAATGCATTTTTGGCCAATAATATTTTTGACATTTCTTTAATGTTTTCTTTACTGATAGATGTCCTCCTCCTAACTGAGAAGAGTGGAATGAGTCAAATACTAGAGATCTGAGGTTGGTGGGAACAAAGATTTTTGCTTGAGATCCTGGTGTTTTAAAAATTAATAGTTCATTTTCTATGTATAGGTTCTTTGCTTTTTCAGAAAAGTTTTCTTTTTCCGTTTCACTAAAACCCTCTGGTATCTCCCCATCTGATAAAAATTTGATAAATGCTTTTGCCTCTGGGTCATTTAACTGCTCTTCTTTTATGTCTATTGTGTATGGGTTCTCGTCTTTATTTCGCACCACTAATGTATTGATAAATGAGTCTGACGCGATTCTAGTTTTTTGCTGAATATTTAGACATACGGGGAATTCTGCTATATCCTTTAATTCTTCTATATTTTTAATTTCTGTTTGTGTTTCTTCTTGAATTCTTGATAATGCGTCAGCTAAAGAATTTTGTTTGCCCTCTATATGAACTATCTTTATTTGGTAAGATTGTAGCTCTATTAGCCAGCGGGCCAGGTTTGGGTGAGCTTCTGCCTTTTTCAAAAGATATGACAAGGGTTTATGGTCCGTGTGCAGTTCAATGTCAGACATAAATATATAAGGCTTAAATTCCCTTAATGCATAAATTATTGCTCCTAGTTCTATTTGGACTGGTGGCCATTTTCTTTCAGAGGACGATAGGGTTCGACTACAATAGGAGATAGCAGAGTATGTTTTATTTTCTTCATCCCTTTGCATCAGGACCCCAGCCTGTCCAACCATAGAGGCATCAGTAAATATATGGAATGGCTTACTGTAGTCAGGGAATTTTAGTATAGGGTAATTTGTTAATAATTCTTTTATTTTGTTAAATGCTTTTTGTTGTTCTTCCCCCCATTCAAATTTTACTTCCTTTTTTGTTAGTCGTGTTAATGGTTCGACCCAATGTGAGAATTTCGGTATATGTCTTCTGTAAAAAGATGCCATTCCTACTACTCTTTTAATTTCTTTTACATTTGTCGGATTCGGTAAATTTTTTATTATTTCTATTCTAGAAAGGTTTGGATGATACCCGTTAGAGTCAAGAGTGTATCCCAAAAAATTCATTTTTCGCGTTGCGAATGTGCATTTTTTAGGACTTAATTTGAGGTTGAATAAGCGAAAACGTTCAAAGACTTTTCTTAAAGTGAGTAAATGTTCATCAAAGTCAAGGGACTTAGTGTAAATTAAGATATCGTCTACATATGAAATTACGTGTTCTAATCCACTAAGCACATTAGCCATTGCTCTGGGCCCTATTTCAATTGTCCACAGATTCTGCGGTCTGCGTTCTGTGCACAGACCACAGAACCACAGAAATTCTGTTTCAATTATTCCACAGATTCTGCGGAAAAAGAAGTCCGCAGATTCTGTGGAAACATGCACAGAATCTGTGGAAACATCCACAGATTCTGCAAAACATCCAAAAACATGCAAAAACCACAGAATTCTATTTCAATTATTTTTCTGTGCACAGAAAAAAATCCACAGATCTGTGGCTTTTTTAGTCGATTCTGTGCATTTCTGTTTCAATTATTTCTGTGGTCTGCGGAAAATACACAGAATTCTTTAAAAAATCCACCCTAAAATTTTTTCTGCGAACTTTCTGTGGAAAAACTTTAACAATTTTTTTCTAGGCCTAGGCTTAACCAAATTTCAAAATTTTTAAAGATTATTAAAGTTTGAATCATTCTCTATTTTTTGATATAAAAATTATAATTTTATTACCTAAAATTATTGCTTAAAATTAATTTTGAAAAAGGTACATCTTTTTTACGCAGTTTTTGTTATATTCAAGCAATAAAAAAATAAAAAACGTGAGAGATTCTGAAATTTAGAGCTATGATGTTCTAATCATCATGGATATCTCTAATGAGGGGATGTTTACCAGGATCTATAGAAGATATCTGTATAGCGTATACTGGGATATCTCCCATGATCTCTCATTGATATCCGTCATAATCTCTCCTCCTATTTAATGATAGATTTCCTCCTTAATCACTCCAATATATTAAACCTCAAAATCAATGGATATCCCACTTAATCACTCCTCTACGATTTTAAAGTTCCGATTTGACTATAATTTTGGATTCCAGGCATTTTCGATTTCCAGGAACCTCAATTTCTGACTAAACAATCCCCAGTTTTGTAACATTTCCCTCCCTTGCAACAACTTCTATCGTAGTTTGAAAAAGCCACATGTCGGATCGACATCTCCTGATTTTTCCGATCCGAACCCTGCTTTAGGACATTAATTTAATTGGAGATTTAAGGATATTGGATGAACAAGAAAATTAAGCGGTATATCAGCGGTTTTAAAGTGATATCAAAGAGATTTAAAGGGATGTTATGTGATTTGGAGGGAAAATTTTTAAATCTTTACAATATTTTTCAGTTTAATTTAAGAATTTTTAAAGTTTTACTTCAAAAAATCAGGTACCATTAATACTGCGGTAGTACCGAACTGTCCAAACCATTTTTCGTTTCAATAAAACTGTTATTTTCAAAAACGCGGAAATAAAAAATTTGAATTTAGAAGAAAAAATACACAGAACCACAGAAAAATAATTGAAATACAAATTCTGTGGATCAGTGGAAAAAATCCACAGATTTTTATATTTTCCACAGAAATTTTCATCCACAGAATCTGCGGAATGTTTCCACAGAATCATTGGATGTTTCCGCAGAATCTGCGGGCACCACAGATTCTGTGCACACAGAATTTAATTGAAACAGAATTTCCACAGAATCTGTGTTCTGTGCACAGAATGCAGAATCTGTGGACAATTGAAATAGGCCCCTGGAAAAAGCTGCTGTGGCATTCTTTAAGCCAAATGGCATATGGGTCATTTGGTATACGTTATCCTCAGTTATAACCCCGCATTTCCTAGAAGCATTTTCTGTTAATTTTATTTGCAAGTACCCGCTTGCTAAGTCTAAAGAACTATAATAATTACAATTTCCTACTTTCTCCATGATTACCTCAAGTCTAGGAAGAGGGTAATGATCTGGTACTGTTATTTCATTCAATTTCCTAAAGTCAAGACACGGCCTTATTCCACCATCTTTCTTTTGTACTATAACAAATGGTGTTAACCACGGTGTGTCCGATTCAACCATAACACCTGCTTTGGTAAGCTGATCAATGTGTTTATGTAATTCTTCCCTATATTTAAATGGGGTTTTCCTTGGACCTACTGCTACTGGATCCTGAGTTGTGGTTATTATATCGAATTCTCCCGCTGTATACGAGCCGAGGTCGTATTGATTTTTACTAAAAATATCGCTAAACTCTTCACATAATGTTTTAAGTTTTCCTAAATCATTCTGATCTACTGAACATTTACTATAGTCAATTACAAATTTTGGGTCTATTTCATTTTCTTGTGATTCTAGTTTTTTGTCATTTTCCAACGTAAATATGCCTGTTTCAATTTCACCTTCTATTTTCCATGCTTTACCTAATGTCTGATTTTTATACAATTTAATCGGGCTTTGAGTGGGATTGAGAACTAATATTTTTAGCGCATTGTTATTATACTCAGATATAGTTGGGATTGTTCCTAAATGCATTTGACTTATTTTCTCATCAAGATTGTTTATAAAATATGCTTGCTTGCTTGCTGAGTGTTCGTCTAACCTTCCCTCAATAATTGTTTGTGAATTCGGTTTTATCAAAAGTGCTTCTTTTACTGATATTTTAAAACAACCTTCCTTAACTGGTTCATATTTTTCCTTTTCATCTTCCCCTATTTTAAATTTTCTATTTTTAAAATCAAAGGTTAGGGAGGGCCACAGTTCAAATACATCGCATCCTAGAATTAAGTCAAAGTTTTTATCCTCAAATATGTTATTGTCTATGAAGAATATTGAGGTGTTGCATTCAATATTACCTAATATTACTTTTACTTCCCCTTTATTAAGCGCACTAATTGCATGACCTGAAGCACTAACTGCTTCTGCTTTTGTAGGCACTAAGTTCCAATTATTTTTAATTGCCAGATTAATGGGTGCTACTGATATGCTTGCTCCCGTGTCCAAGAGACACCTTAATTTTACATTATTTATCATTACAGTAGTGGTAGGAAGAGACTGACTGTGTCCTTTTATTGCGAGAAGATTTAACCCCTTAGGCTCCTGCGGAAGGATCGGAGTGTATTTGATTTCTGGGTTTATTTCTTTTAATTCTATAGTTTGGGTTAATATTTGTTTTGGCCGGTCTACATTGCTTTTTGCTTCCTTTGGTTTGTGTTGGGTCCTGTATTTTTGTCCAATTAGTATATCCCTTATTATTCCATTACCTAAGTATCTTTGCATCATAATAACTAGCAACCTTAGGGTGAAATCAATCAGCGATATACAAGTTATTATAGTTATAAAGATTCTCCATTCATGGGTCCAGTCACCAAAGATGTGATTACTAAATTCACTTTTTGCTTTTTGCCATGTGT